CTTCACGCCTCGTCGCACGCATGGCTTGCCTTTTGTCTACCTCAATTTTGGTAAACGGAAGAAAGGCGGGGAAAGGTGAAGGGATGCCACTGAAAAAAAATAAATATTTACAAAAATTCGATATTAAATGTCGTTGAGAAACTGTAGATTTAAAAGCTTTGTTAGACCCTTGAACATCCTCTAAAAATACCAATTTTTCAAGTTCTACAATCTCCTTCAAATATTCCCAGTGCATTAATGAAAAGCATGAGGATATGTTAGAGGAACTATTCTATGTTTGTTGTCTGTGCATTTCAATTGGGAGCTTTCTGCATTGTGCCGGCGTGTAATTGAAAACTTAAGCAGAAACCCAACACCCCCCTGGAAAAACGCGCAACAAATTTTCCAATCAACACAGTACACCGCGCCTACTACTACTAGTACCCCACTCCATGCCACCCACTCATTTCCTGCTCCGCTTCCTTCCAGCATATCCTGTATCCCTCCGGCCACGCCTCCGAAAATCAGAATCAGCTTGTTGCTGTTTGTTCAACAAACGTTTATTAGCCGCGAATAGTTTTAATCGCATGCAATTTGTTGATTGTGGCCAGTCGGAGCAGATTTGTCCGGGCTTCCACCACCCCCACACTAACTGGGCCTTAAGCCCGCGGAACTTGGCAATTTTCACGTCGTTTTAGGGCAGGAAAGGGTTAAGGTGGAGGAGTGGCCGGCAGGTAAACAGGTGAGCAACCGTCGCCGCCCCACTTTGAAGACGGGGCACAAATTTTTCTGTGTTGTGCACTTAATTGCAGCTTGTTTGTTGCATGTCGCAAACTTTGACGATGCCCTAACAACTCAAGTGGGTACTTTTAATCAGAACCGTGTTTTTAAAGTCTTGATAGATTGAATGAAAAGGTATATACTATCAATTGTGAGCTGAAAAATCTTATAAATGAATCGAAAGTTACCTATTTTTAATCTTTTAAGATAAAGTTACAAAAAAAAACTATGTTTCAAGCAATAGTTTAAACTTCCATTGTACTTATTAGCCGATACTGCCAAAATTTGTTGAATTATTTAATTCCAAAATAGTCCTTTTAAAAATTCTTCAAAAATGTTAAAAATGTTGTTGAAAGAGCATTCCATCCGTTAGCAGTTTTCCAAAAGTTTCAAAGTTTCTGTCTGCAGGCTCTTTAAACATTTCTCAGGATTGCGTGGCGAAAATTAATTATACTCCGAAATCAGAAACGAAACACCAAAGAAAATCTCGGCACGAAACGAAATTCCTTGCCACGTGTTGAAAGTTGCAACTTGGGACATGCAAAGTTGATTTGAATTCGCTGTGAAGTCTCTGCGATTTTTTCCAGCGGAGGAAGGAAAGATTTAGAGAGTCTTTGGAATCTATTTTGGCATTCCTTTGGGCCACAATCTCCAGGTGATTCTCCGACATCTTTCAGCCGAGACAGGCATTAACGGTAAACGAAGAAAAGTGCCCACAACCCAAGAGAAACACCTCATAACTCGTTTAGGCCAAGCCAAGACCCAGCTCTTGGAATGGTCAAAGCTATGCAGCAAGTGTCAAACAGGCCAACAAGCCAGCAATCCAAGCCGGATCGGGCAAGGCAACAAGAATCAAGAATCGTCTATAGCCAATTTTGGACAATCTGCACTAAATTGTCCATTTAAGCAGGCTAGGCTAGGCAGACTAACTGACAAACTGCGGCACAGAGAGAAATAATTATTAATAATTTTGAGATTTTAATAAAAATTTAAAGATTAGATTTTCGAAATGTCTAAGACTGTGATTTTTGAGAGAGGTATAGTAGTTAGTGGTTATTAGAATCCTTTCACTTAAGATGTATCCCCTTTGGCGATAATATTTCTCCCTGTGCAGCCACAACGTGAGCTGTTCCCCTTAGATCAACTGACTGCAATCAATCTGCTCGCATTTACACCTCTGCACTCGAACTGGATTGTTCGGTAGAGGCTGGTAGTAGTAGCATTATGAGATTTATGAGGCCAAGGCACAGTTGCAAGGGCGTTAGCATCGATGCAGAAACATTTCAGTCTCCCTGGTGTTTGGGAGGTGGATATACATATATGTGGCGACTGCCACTGATGACGCTGCTGTGCCGGTATCGCGTTACTATTTCATGTAACTTAATTCTTGCATTAAACTGCATTCATTAACTGTTTCTGTTTTGTTGCATTTCCATCGGCCACAGTTGCCACAGCGACCGCAAAAAGTATACGCCCGCATTCAGATCATGCTTGTTGGGAGAAAAGCGAGTGAAAAGCGTCGGAAAATATTTAGTGAGCTGACCTACCGCAAACAAAAGAAAACAATAAACATTTCATTTACCGCACAGACACAAAACTTTCTCAAATTCATTGTTGAGTACACACATTGTAACGAAATGAAGCCCTTGGCAGTGAATTAATTTCAATACTTGTTAAATGTTTCCCATATCGGTTACTGCATTTCAATGGTTGATGTTATTCTGTTTACATTCAACTAATCATTAATAATTTGTTTACTTTATACATTATGAACGGAAAACTAATATATACAATATTATACCCATATCACCCACCCATCTATTCCTATTTTAACATTCAAATGAATAAAACTCGTTGTTTATCTTCTACAAACACTAGCCGCGATCTTTAAATAGTTTTATTTGTTTTCCAGCTAAAAGTTTCGATATTTAGTTTTAGCACCTAGCCAGCTTGTTTTGTTTCTCTCTAGGTATTAATCACAAAACACATATTTCATAAATCTGAACAAGATAAAATTTAGGGCAGCGCTACCCACAAAGAGTATTTGGTTTAAAAATTACATTCATTTTAGTCATTTATCTCGCATTCATTTTGGCACCGTTGCGAATTCAACACCTTGACTAAACCATTTTTGAGGATTTGCAAGGCGACTGAGTGACAGCTCATAGAGACCGAGTCATTGGCTTCGAATGGGAACCGGCGTGAGTCAGAAACAGAAACAGATCGAGAAGATACTCGGAAATCCGTGGATTGCGCAATGCAATGAGCAACCAGAATTTTTGTTTTCCAAACCAATTTGGAAGCGCGTCCAAGAACAAATTGTATTTATGAGTTTTCCTCTATTTTATATTTTTTGTTCTGTTCGGATTGATGCGTTTCGTTTCGGGTTTTCGGCTTCAGTGGGTTTTATGGCGGAAGCACTACTCAAGAATCGACTTCAGTTCATTGAAGCCAATTCGAGAGCCGTTTACGGAAGTTTTTGGCGGGGTGGGTCCCAAAAAAAAAAAATTATATACAACCGTTCCGCCCGATTGCACAAACCCCATATGCTCCCGTTGTCTTTGAAACTGAAACAAAATTGTTAATTGCCTTGGGATGGATGGGTATGGGGATGGGTTCCAAATAAGCCGAAAGACTCTAGTCTAAAGTCTGTTTTTCTTCACTCCACTTTCAGATGAAGTCCAACACGTACGAGCTGCACAACTACGCCGACCTGAATGTGATGGAAAGTCCGGAGGACTCCAAGGATTCCCGGAAAAGAAAGGCGGCCAGCAAGGTAGAAAAGTACTCACTGCGACAGAAGCGCCAAAAGAGAAACCCACAATCGGAAGATGTTACTTCAGCCAATCTATCCGACTTTCAGCTGAAATTGGATCCCGTGGTGGAGCCAGTGACTAAGTCCAGGAAAAATACATCCACGAAGGCCAAAACGAAAGCACCGCCGTTGAGCAAGTACCGCCGGAAAACCGCGAATGCTCGGGAACGGACCAGGATGCGGGAAATCAATACGGCTTTCGAAACCCTCCGGCACTGTGTCCCCCAGGCCATTACCGGCGAGGATGCGGCCAATACCAACGAGAAGCTGACCAAGATCACTACCCTAAGACTGGCCATGAAGTACATCAGTATGCTGAGCGAGGCCATACAAGATCCCAGCTACGAAAGTGAGTTTATTGGCGAGTGCCTGGAGGAGAGCGCCAACAGGGAGACCAGGCTGGACGTGGAAGTGTTCGATGACACCGAGTTGGAGGTGGAGAAACCCAAGTCCCCGCCTGTGACGAAGAAGGCTTCTAAAGCTAAGGGCTCCGGCAAGAAAAACTCAACAGCCAGCAAAAGACAAAGCCAGAAACAGACAAAGTCCGCACCACAAATCCCGCCAGTTAGCTCCGGAGAGTCTTGCTATGCCACCTCCTCGATAGGATCGCCAGCCTCATCTGCCTACGCTTCGCTGTCCTCCTCCTCTAACAGCAGTCCTGGGCTGGAGGCGGAATGCTTGATAGGCCTGCAGGGAATCGGCGATCTGGATACCATGCTTATGGATGCATCCGATGGGGATTCACTATCCTGCCTGAGTCCCGGATATGAGAGCCTGCTCACGGGAGGCGGCGGTGAGTCCTTGCTACCTGGCTGTCGTGGCGACCTGCCCATGTCCGGTCTGGAGAAGTCCGATGTGGAGCTCAGTCTGAGATTGCTGGATCACCACTCCAGGGACTCCTTTGACTTCGCCAGCGACCAACAGCCCTCGGCCTGCATCAGTTCCCTGGCCAGCCTGGATGGCTATCCATTCGCCGATATTCTACATCCCGACTTTCCCGACATGTTTCTCACGTGACGCGTATTTATTAGATCCTATTTTTCACTGCTCCTCCTAAGCCTAATCCTCGTTATAAGTTAGAGTGCGAGTTCTAACCCGACTTTCACCTTTAGCCATTAAATGCGATGCACCCTCATGGGTGGAATTCATTGTGTCATAAAAAGCAGCTCTGGACTACCACTGATCCACTGCAACATCGGCATCTGACGGAGAGAGGATGGATCTCCTCTCGGCCACATCCACATGATAACTCAACTAGTGATCTAAGCATTTCTTTGTGACGCATTTCTCGTTATCGTGTAAATAAAGCACCAAGTGTTGTTTCATGACTTAAAATATAAATGTTTATTTTCTGGGACTCACCTATGAATAAGTCTTGAAAAATGTAAGTTATTAAGTTTCAATAAATTTGTATAATTTTACTGCCAACCACAGACACCCTGCCATTACATTTTATTACAAAAATACTTGCAATTTAATTTAATTTCCAACGAAATGTCTTCCATCGCGGCAAAGGATGAGGTATTCGTCCCGGAAAAAGACTTTCCCGAAGTTCACAAGATGATGAAACAATTCATTCCCTCGGAAGATGACCTCGAAAAGATCATGCAGTTGATGGATCGCGAGATCAGTATGGGTCTAAGCCGCGAGGGCCACGACCGCTCCACGGTACCCTGTAAGCTGAGCTACGTGACGGACCTCCCCAATGGGAGGGAACGTGGCCAGTTCCTGGCCCTCGAGATGATGCCGACAAACTGCCGGATCATGCTGGTCAAGTTCAGCAGCGAACGCGATGTGTACACCAGTTCCAAGTGTGTGATCATGCCGCACACTGTGGCGGCGGGGAAGGGTACCGAGGTATTCAACTTCCTGGCCACCAATATAGCCACTTTCGTGAAGGAAAAGAAAGTGGAAAAGGAAAATCTTCCCATGGGCATTGCCTTTGCATTTACACTGAACAAAACCGGCTTGGATGCGGGCACCCTGGTGTCCTGGACCAAGGAGTTTGGGGCCACCGGTGCCATTGGCAAGGATGTGGTCCAATTGCTTCGGGACGCACTGGCCAAGTTTCCAGAAATATCCGTCGAGATAATGGGCATTATCAATGTCGCTGCTGGCTCTCTTCTAGCCCTGTGCTGGGCCCAGCCAAATACAAGAATGGGTCTCATCATGGGAAGTATTGCCAACTCTTGCTATGTTGAGAGAGTGGAGAAGTGCGACCTGTACCAGGGCGATCCTAGCAAGAAAGTAATGATTATAAATTCGGGTAAATAGGTTAATTAAGAGGTAATAGAAAGAAGTAAACAGTATTTATTTCAGATTGGGCGCATTTTGGAGACGGAGGCCAACTAGATTTTATCCGCAATGAATTCGATCGCCAACTGGACGCCGAGTCCATTACTCCGGGTCAAAGGATCTACGAAAAGTTCAGCGGTGCCTTGTTTATGGCGGAGCTTGTCAGGATTGTGGTCCTCCGGCTGATGAAAATGGGCATTATTTTTGCCGAAGATCGTCGTGACTATATTGGCATTCAGTGGAAAATGGACATGGTCTCGGTGATCGAGATCGAGTCGGACCCGCCAGGGGTGTACACCAAAGCGCAGGAAGTGATGGACAAGTTCAAGATCCGCCACTGCAAGGAGAAGGATCTGGCTGCCCTGAAGTACATCTGCACGACCATCACCAATCGCGCCGCCATGGTGGTATCTAGCGGAGTGGCCGCCCTAATAAATCGAATGAAGATGCCCCAGATTTCCATAGCCGTCGATGGAGGCATCTATCGCCTGCATCCAAGCTATGCGGCAGTCCTGAACAAGTACACAAATAAGCTCGTAAATCCACAACACGCCTTCGAATTTGTAATCACCCAGGATAGCTGCGGAGTGGGTGCTGCCATCATGGCGGGCATGGCCCACGCCATGAAGTACAAGTCGGATTCCAAGCTCTTTGAAATGGATTACTAGGATTACTATTAAAAATAGTTCATTTTCACAATAAAGTTACTTTTTACCTTTAAGGGACTTTAGAAGATATAGGATCTTCTAGGATCATATAAACTGGACCATTTCGGGCTTCCTACTTGTCTTTATTATTTATACCCATGCCATAATGAAATTTATTTATAATAATAGCCATATTTAAAAATAGAATTACCCTAAAAAACTAATAAAATTTGGAATTACTTAGATTGGGCCGCAGTGGCTGCCACTAGGGCGGCTCCCTTGCCAGACCCATCCTCCGAGACGGTGAGCTCGAACTTTACGCCCGGCTTCAGAAGCTGCTTCATGTACATGGTCAGCATGTCATGGTACTTGGGATGGTAGCGGTAGACACTGCCATCGATGCCGACCACCACCTCGTTGATGTTCATCTTGTTAATGAGGGTTACCAGGCCGCAGGCGCAGAGCTTGGCGGATCGGGAGGAGACGGCCTCGCAGATTCGGCGTAAGTTGATTTTGTCCGCTTCGTTATTCCCCATGAATCCCATATCGCGAATCACTTTGTTGGTATGACGATATTCACCAACCGCGTCGCTCTCGACGTCCGAGAGATAGGCCGACTGAAAGGCCCATCGATTTTGGATTTTCTGCGAGGTCTCGCCATGGAACATGACTCCCTTGGCAATCATTTCGACCACAATCAGCCTAACTATCTCGCCCATGTACATTCCGGAAATGCACTTCTCGAATGTCTGTCTACCGGGATTCGGGGTCACCTTGTCCACTATCTTGTCGTAGGAGGTCCTTGCAAACTCCAGCACTCCGTTGTCCCCAAAGGCGCCCCACTCACAGTTAATGATCATCGACTGCTTGGGGCTGGTCTGGTAGTTCTCGAAGCACTCGGCATTCACCGTCTTCTCCACGTAGCAGGCATTTGTTCCGGTGCCCACAATCAGTCCAATCCTACAGTTGCGGTTGTGGTAGGCGCAGGACATGAGGGTGCCCACGGTGTCGTTGAGAATGGCCACGATGTTGATCCTCACCTCGCCTCGTCGCTCTATGGCCTGCTGCAGCAATTCGACTACGTTTTTTCCCACGACTCCGGGGACATTGAAGCCCTTGGTCCAGGACACCAGTGTTCCTTTGTTGATGCCCTTCTGTTGGCACGGAAACGAGAAGGTGAATCCTAATGGCAGCGACTCGTTCTCTAGGCCATTCTCAATGCAAAAGTCTCCCAGGCTTGCGGCTATGAAATCGAACAACTCATCTGCGGTTCCTGTCATCAGCGTGCTGGGAAACACATAGCTCTTGGATTGGATGTCCACCCCAGCTTCGCCGTTTAAGACTACAAGGAGCACTCGGAAATTGGAGCCGCCCAGATCAAGGGCGAGGCACTTGCCCCGCTCCTTGCCAGTCGGTAAATCCTGAACGTAACTCACAAAGCACTTGATCACCGCCCTCGGATGTGTGTCTTTCGCCAGGCCCATCTTCATCTCCTTGGTCATGCGCTCCACCACCTCGGCCATCTTCTCCTGGTCGAGCAGGAATCCCTTGATCGCATTCTCGACCTCCGGATGCACTGGCATGTTTGATCTTAATGTCTTTGGGGCCCAGAAATCGGCAAAGCGCCAGAGGAGACGTTAATTTTGAATACCGATCGAAAATTAGAAAATAGAATGAAAAACAATTTGAAAGTGTAGGCAAGACCAAATTGTAGGAAAGGAAAATTTTTTTTAAATGAAAATATTCATGTTTGACAATAAATTTTTGAGTGACTTTCATTGAAAGTTTAACAATTTCTCCTCTGTGCCTTGGCCGACGATCTGAAATCAAGAGAAAAACACAAAATATGAATAAAGAAATATTCTTGAATCTTAATTGTCCAATCTCTTCATTATAAATTTAAATTTTTGATATACCGGGAAACAAACTTTTGAACTGTAAGCAAACTTTCCAACACTGCACCTTTCCAGCCCTGGCTAGTGCTGCCAATATGTGAAATGTAAAATGTATGTAAAATTATCGATTATATTTTGATGCATGGTGTTATCAACAACCCTACATATAAAGTTGAGGCCGTTCTGTTACTGATTACTCGGTCTCGCGATTTTTAATCCAAAATACCAAAGAAAATGCAGGACCTGAAGCAACCGGACTCCTTGCGTCTGCCAAACGGTGACGCATCCTCTGGGGAAGAGGTCAAGTCGCCGTTCCTCATCGGCGTGGCCGGAGGCACCGCTAGCGGGAAGTCCACGGTGTGCAAAAAGATCATGGAGCAACTCGGACAGGCGGAGATGGATCACACGCAGCGCCAGGTGGTGGCCATCAGCCAGGACAGCTTCTACCGCGAACTAACGCCCGCGGAAAAGGCCAAAGCCCAGAAGGGGCTGTTCAACTTTGACCATCCGGATGCCTTCAACGAGGAGCTGATGTACGCCACGCTGCAGAACATTCTCAAGGGGCACAAGGTGGAGATACCCAGCTATGACTACCGCACCAATTCATTGTGAGTATTCTATATGGCCTAATAATCGAATGGTCTAATAATAACACAAACTTTTGGCTTTCAGAGACTTTGAAAACATGCTGGTCATCTACCCAGCCGATGTGGTGCTGTTCGAAGGCATTTTGGTCTTTTATTTCCCAAAAATACGTGACCTCTTCCACATGAAGCTCTTCGTGGACACCGACTCTGACACCAGATTGGCCAGACGAGGTGAGATTCTACTAATATATAGTAAATGGGTCAAAGATAATATATATTAATGATTTTTTTTGCAGTGCCACGTGATATCAATGAGCGTGGGCGTGATTTGGATGCTGTGCTCACCCAGTACATGACCTTTGTGAAGCCTGCCTTTGAGGAATTCTGCTCGCCGGTAAGCCTATCCCCAGAAATCTTATTAATCGAATAAATAATTGAGAACCACACCAATTTCAGACGAAAAAGTTTGCTGACGTTATTATACCGCGAGGCGCCGACAACACAGGTGAGGCAACAGCACTCAGACACCTTTCCCCACCTCTGTTGACACTCTTTGCCACACAAACACACACTCTATACTACACTCTTAGCGACTGTAGCGTTTCGTTGAGTTGGTTTACTAATAACCATAGTTCTGTACCTGGTTCTTTAGTTTCTGGTTTTATTAACCCGTTGAGATCAACAAACCCTATCACATATTTAGACTGCTTGATGTTCTCATGAGTATACCTACGTATTATATTGCTATAAACTTTTATATCCTTCTTTGTATCTCTCTGTACTATCTGTTATTTGTACATTTTACGTTACGACTTTTGCGTTGTTTCCGTTTTTTTCCTGTTTTATTGTATCTCTTGCAGTTGCCATTGATCTTATTGTACATCATATCGGGGAGATTCTCGCCACCACCAACAGCGCACAGCACAACAACACAGTCAGGGTAGCGTCGTCCAGCATGAAGCGAGATCACTAAACGCAAAGTAAATCGCTTCTGGGCCGGCCAACTTCCAACACGTCCCCAAGCTTGTACTAATTGCCAAAAAAAAAACAGAAACAGAAACCCAAATAGCGACAATTCAGACGCAGCGGCGCAACCTCCTATTTCGAAGCGCCGGCATCGCTTCTCATTCGGTCTACACACCGTAGCCGATTAACGTAGCTCTAAGATTAAAAAGTATCTTTATACCTAGCTGTATCTACTTTCATATGTTCAACAATACATGGTAGTGTGTATGTAAGATCGTTTCTGCTCATTAAGTTAACCCAAACTGCGTTTGCGCTCCCAGTCTAACACTGGTCCTAATATTTAGCAAAATTATTAAGTTAATATCCACCCTTTGGTCTAACCTTAATCCCAGCTTCGGGTACTTTAGAGGGGTCACAAGCACTCTACTCACAAACACATATGTCACACATCTAACTATTGTATCTATGTTCCGATGGCCGATACTTGTTAATAAGTAATTCAATTACCTCTAATCTGATTTTGATGACAACTTCATTGAGTTTTGGATCATTTTCTTTTAAAAGTTACAACTTCTTAGCTTATTTTGAATTAATAAGACGTTAATTGCATACAGTTCATATGGTATAGCTTTTTAAGATTAAAATTATCTTCAAATATTAAGCCTAAGCACGTTTCAATTCCTTAAAGTTTGAAAATAGAGGTACTTGGTTTATGAGAATACTTACTATAATCTTTAAATCATTCCGTAAGTATCGGGCATCTCGAAAGTCGACACCCACGACCATTTTTTTCTACTTTAAACTATTAACTTTATAAAATATCTGTCTAAAATATAAAAATGCAAGATGTTCAGACTATTGCCCAGCAATGTGTGAAGCTAACTCGGGTGTTTCATTTAGTAAGTACACTACCGGCATTATCAATTGTAAAGCACACTACTCACCTCAGCCACAAACAATACAATAGAGTAAAGTTAACAGAAAATGCCGCCCAACTTAGATATCCTTACTAACTAGAGCTAGAGTAAGTCCTTGGCTTAGACTAAATCACTGGGACCCGCCCCGCTCTGGAGGAGCTCTAAGGTAAGTGGAGATTCTCACGTTGAGTTTGAATGCTAACGGAGGTGCAGAGTTATCCCCAGAATGTATCCCAAAAAGGTGACCGCATGATCTTTTTCTTTCAGTGGCCATCGACTTGATCGTCCAGCACATCAGGGACTTTTTGAACAATCGCTCCAGACATGGATCCACTGGCAACATGGCACTCTACATGAACTTGGAACTCAACGCCCCGGTGGCCGGATTTGCAGGCCCAGGTAAGGCCACTGGCATACACATGCTCCAGCACAAGGCGCGTCCCCACTAACCCCCGATTCGGACTGGAGCGGATACCAACCGGGATTACTAATCGCCCCCCTGCATGCTATCGGTCCATTGCTCTGTTGTACATATAGTAGCTTCAGTAACTATATAGTTTGTATTTCTCTGCGAAAGATGGAGACGATGGAAGTGGCAACGGCACCTACAACGCCATCCGCCGGTTCTCGACCCTCTGCAAGGAGCTCAACATGCAGGGCAACTTCTTCTTCGCCACGAACAAGAACCTGCCGCACCACTGACCTGGCAGCACCACCACTCCAGACCCCAAGACCCCAAGTAGTACAATATATGGCACATCTAGGCGATTGTTGAACTTTGTTGTTATCAATTGTTGTACCTATATAGACATATTTTATTTTTTCAGTAAAGCATATTGGAATTTTAAAATGATTATCTAATATTTTATTAATGTAAGATCAGGAATTGGGTTTTTTCAAAAGATATGCTTTATTTTATTTGAAATATTTTTTAAATAAATAATTTAATCTTTCGTCTAGAAGAAAAATAGCAATAATACTGATATTTGACTCAGACTTAAGATAGAATAGTTCCAATTTTCATTCATCTATAGATCACTTCTTGCACTTGTACATTAAGTTGATTTTCCGTACATCTCCGGCGGAGAATCCACGTCGCTGACCCATCTGGCTGGCATCGGAGCTGGCACGCAGGGCCTTCAAAGTGGGTTGGCCGTTTCGGGAGAAGCTCGTGGCCGAGTAGTGCATCACACTGGCATAGTCGTAGTCCACTCCAAACCCAGACTGAGTCCTGGAGCTGGCCTTCTCAAAGTTGGCCATCATCTCGGGCTTGATGTTGTCGTTCATGACGCGGACATAGGAATCCCGCTCGTGGCGATTCTGCTCATGGAAGAATCCGAGGGCGTGCATCAGTTCGTGAATGGGAGTTCCATAGGTTCGCAGGCAGTTGGGGGACTGGAGATTGACCTCCTGGCGGCCACCCAGGCGACCGATGCTGCTCCAGCAGCCAGATTTGCTGCTTCCAATGGAAATGTAGTCCTTCTCGGTGGTGCGGGGCTTGAAACGAATGCAGGTCTTTGTGTGGTATTCCTAGAAATAGGATACCAGAATGCTTTAATTGTTGTATCTTTAATAGAAAAGAGTCTCTAAGAATATTACCTTAAAAGCATGGTTGATGTTTCCCATCTCCTGGCTGGTAAAAGGTCCTTTGATCTCGTAGGGAACAACGCCGCCCGGCCAGCGGGAACTCAGCGCCAGAATACCATTCCGGGTTCCGTTAGATCGGCCCTCGCGATAGCTCAGTGGAATGAGTATATCACCTTCGTAGTAGGTGCCCAGTTCCTCAGGGTTCTGCGAGGATTCTTCATTGTGGGCCTCCACCAAAGCGCCCGTGGTCTCAGTATCCGGATTACCAAAAATGATATCACTCACATCGGTTAAATCAATCATTTCCTGTGAGTCCATGTCCTCCAGGGGCATGCCACTCCCAAGAGTAAGCCCAAGGATGGCTACGTAAAGAAACAGGTTGGTTTTAGCTGGGTTCTCTGCCATTTTTCCAGTGCTTCCTTTCTACTGTGACTTCTAGCTAGTTCCATAGGCGTTATATAGTCTTACCTAGACCTCCAAAACCGGGGACTGGCTGTCGGCGTTTTTGTTGCTAATTATGCTGGGCGATTAGACGGAGCTTTGTTTGCATATATTTTGCACTCGAATATCCGCGTGCTTCGTAATTTATGGCCTAATATATACAGTAAGCTTTAATCGGTCAATTTGTAAGTAGAACGTAGGAATTTCAAGTATTTAAACTGGAATTTTTATCAGGTTTCGAGTTCAAGTAATAAGAATATTTTTACACCGCTTTTGAAGGGAATTTTCCTTCAATAACAAGAAAAATAAAACATTTATAATAAAAACATATATTATCAATGATTCTTTTATTAAAACAACTTAAAATGGATAAATATATATAATTTCAAATTAAATAGTTGATTATCAGTACATTTTACCAGGGCTACCACTTCCGGTGAGCACAGGGTACACCATGTAATCGATATTTGTATCGATGATCTATCTTGGCGCTTTTACACCTGCAATTCTGGCCACACTGCCGAATACAGTGGAACACGAAGTTTTTTCAAATAAAACTCTCGCACCGTTCGGACGTGTTTCGGCCACCAGGCGCATAGATTCTGTTGGGCTGTTTTTTTGTAGTTGGCTCGAACGAGAACTTAAAACTAAATCGAGTATCAAAACGAGCGGACTCATATTTCGAATCGTGCGCCCTGTTTGCGTTTAAATATTTGTTTGCGATCCCCAAACAGGTGCACAGATTTTGGTATTTCGGGGTTTTTTTTAACGACGATCGAGTGTCAGCGTCGAGGCTACGAGGTTGTTTGTTTGAAAAATAACAAAACATTCGTCGGAAAATAGCGTTTAAAGCCGCCGGAACGCTATTGCCATGTTGGTATTGGCCAATGCGCTCGTGTGCGTGTGAGAAGAACTGCCTGCAGTTCAAAAGGGCAACAACAAAAGCTCACCAACACCAACACCTAGCGTGTTTAAGCCAACTCGTTTGCTGGAGTTCTGGCCCGAAAACAAAGATGGCCTGAGAAATTGGTCGACTCCAAGATCCGAATGTGCTCAATATTCAAATTCAGGCTAGAAAGTGTCGCGTGCGAAAGTGTGCAAATAATAACTGGCGCATAAAAAAAAAAAGAAGGAAACCCAAAAACCCGTTCTAAGTCGGTGTTTGTGGTAGTGTGTGTGTGTGGTAGTGCAATAAACAAAAAACCAGCTCAATGAGTGTCCTCTAACCAAAAAAAAATAAAAAAGAAAACACCAAGCCGACAACTGACCGACCGACACAACCCTTTTTCCAATTCGAACTTGGCCAGCAACGATAAACAACCGATCATGGCTGTGATCGCGAATGCGTCAGCAGCACAACAACACCAACAACAACAACGCAGACAAGTGGCAACAACAACAGCAGTATTGGCCAAGAGAACAACAACAACAATGACGGCTACTACAACGAGAAGTCGAGACCGGACGAAAAGCGCAGCTCAAATAACAACAACGTCGTCGCATTTGCTCAAGCGCGCCATTTCAGCGCCTCAATGGATACCGCTCTTTATATTAATATATTTAGCAACAGGTGAGAGACAATAGAACCAGGAGGGACATCTGGAGAGCGGTGGAGCGGTGGCTCTCTCAAGAAACAGTCATAACTTTATAAGAAGGACCTTAAAAAGAAGTTTGCTTAATAAATTATTTCCATATTGGATGAAAAGTTATTATTTTTGGGTTTTAAAGTGGATCTATTATACCCATTCCTCTTTGAGAATCTTCACTGTAATAAAGCTATTTCCTGAATTCCATATCTTAAAAATTAATCTATTTTAATAAGAGCAGCAACAGGTCAGAAGTTTGTATATCCATTTGGGAAAAGAAAAGTCATGTTTGGGGCCAGGAATTTTCATTGATTTCGGGCATCTGAGGCTCTGAAAAACTTGTTGAACGGGTTTTCCTCCATAAAGTGACTCATTCTGCTGGCATACCTGAGGTCTGATTGTGTTAATTAATCCCCTCACTTCATATTTTTGATGGTTGTATGTTTGTTCTTATCTCTCATACCAGAGCCATGCCTAGAAACAAAACTTTAAATAAATTTGGTGTCTATAAGAGAGTGAGAGCTTTTTTTAATTTTAATTTTATAACTTCCAGTTTAATTGGCATCTGATTGCTCGCATAATAATCACAACTGACAACTCTTGCTGACTCATTAGGTGTAATTATCAGTTACATGTTGGCCAAGTCCCCAGCCAGCATTGTGTGGCCCCCTTTTTGTGTAGTGGATTGTGCAAAAACGACCTACAAAAATGTTGGTTTATTTATTTACAATACCAACCCTCCAACCGACCGGCCAACCATCCGGCTGTTGTTACCCGTAATCTAATCTTTTTGGCCGGAAAGTGAAGTACCCATGTTGCAAAAGCGCGCCCGCAATTCCATTATAGTATAGATATGGATATGGAAGGCAGGTTGGAGGTTGGGAAAGCTCTTAAATGCACTCCCAAACCAAAACATAATTACCTCTATTTTAAGGTATTGGAAAGTATCTCTTCATTTATCAGAGACTACTTAACTTTTCCAAAAAGAAGATGAATAGAGCCTCTCGTGCAAAGAGAAAGGGAGATTTTCCATGGTGGTGCTGGGAAAGCCCCTCGACTGCACCACAATCTCACAACTGGTTTCTATGGCGCATCTATCATAAAATCCAGAAGATACACCGACACGATCATCAGTACTTTTCCTTTGAATTTCCGCCCTTAGAAGATATAATCCATCATATTCTGGAGAAAAATCGCGGCGCAGGTAACTCGATGGAAAAGGTGGAGGGAAATTAACCAAACTACCTGCAGTGCGTTAACGATAACAACACGTGACCCCTCGTGTTGGTGGAAATGGTAGCATAGAATGGAAACACACCCGCATCGGGTACTGTTTCGATGAGCGGTGTCCGGTGTGTTGGCCTGGTCAAGTGTTAAAGTGCAATCGGCCGTGACAGGGTCGCAGTGGGCCTACGCAGCCGGCCGCGACCATTGCCTGACGCTGGCCATTAGTGCAAGTCGTTAGCCAGGTCTATAAAAATAGCCGCATTGAAACTAACAAAAAATGTGATTTGTCCCTAAAGGTTAGACGGCGGGGTTTTTCGCCAAACAAAAGGTTCTTCTATAAAGCTAAAAATATTTAAGTAGGAGTATGTATCTCACAGATACAGTACCCTTTCTAAAAACCTATTTCCGAGTCGGCGGTAAAGCTCAAAGTAGTATTCTTTCTCGTTTCTAGTTGCAACGTTGCCAGTTTTCAGTGGCTGCATCGATTAGCCAGAGCCACCTTGGGAATATACCACCGCAAAAACACCGCAAATATATATGAGAAAATCAGAAAGAAAAAAATATAATCTTTTAAGTAAAAAAACCCCATAGTGGCTTTCGCTTTTACTTACTTTTATTTTATTTTTATTTTATTCAGTTCCATGCCAAACAAATGTTTGAAAATTTGTGGGCGTCGTTCAATGCTGGCTGTTGGGTTGTCTTTTATGCGGCGATCACGTACATAGTTGCGTTTTATCTGGAGGGGTATTTGCATACGCAGCACTACCAACAACCACACTAGATACAAAAATTCCATTGTTAGCATTGACTCACACCAGCTCAGATACAATGGGATCTAACGCACCCAAGCTTCGAAAAAATTGTTAGATAATTTTGGGGGTAACTTTGAAAACAATTATTGGAATCAGAATGCGTAGATTCTAGAGCTGACAGGTACTCTTTGGTTTCTATAATAACCTGTAAAAATATCTGAAATTTATGGAATTTTAAAGATAGAAACCTATTTTTAAAGCTACTTCTTTATGGAACCAGGTTAAACTCAAGATTCTTTCAACTTACAGTTCCAATAACACAGTTTCTAAGCCAATTCTTTATTGAGTTCTCTTCAGAAAAGTTTTCCCCATTAATTCATTCTTTCTTCAAAAAATTTCCATAGCTCTTAAGACTTAATTTGAAAGCCTTTCCAAGGTGCAACGCCCACAAGTTGCTGCAGTCTGTAGGTTCTTAAGGGATCTGGTAGGTGGCTGCTCTTTGGGGACGCACCGGAAAAGATTCTCAGACTCAGGCGTGTTTTCGGTTTTGTTGTTTTATTCAACAGTTCATTGCTTTGTGCCAGTTTGGGAACAAGTCTGGCAGGCAGCCCCTTTTTTCCAGGCCCACCAGAACTTATGTATGTCTGTACAAGGGCCCGATTGTGTTGTTGGCAACACAAATACATACAAATCCGGCGGAACGTCAACACAGTGACTGCCACAAAACTGGTTCCCAGGCGCGCCTGCGCACAAGCGGATCAGAAAACAACAACAACGGCGCCAAATAGCGGGGGAGAGAGTCACTGGCTCTATTTTTGACCGAGCTGAGGTTCAAAGCATTTTTGGGGGAGTACTCTAGCTGTAGTTTATTTTTTTGCAGTTCCCAGAACGGGAAGATTAAAGAATAAGCATTAACTGTCTGCTGAAAGAGTACTTAGACTGGGGGACTTTATAAATTCATTAACCTTAATTATTAAGTGAGAATTAAGTGGAGATCTTTTCTTAAATAACTATCTTACTATCTTTACTATCTTAATTTTTATATCAATTTTCTTTAAGTGTACAAAACCAATGTTGACGCACTCAAGACTCGAATTTGTTTGTGGGTGCCAACTTTTTTTGTGCCTTTTAATCCACAGCTTTCCTGGGAAACGTTTATTTATCAAAACTAATTAGCTTCTGAGCGCCTGAATGTGTATTGTTGTGTTACCTTATAATAGAAGCGGTTTTATTTAAATATTTAAAAATATTTCCTCACCGCATTTCTGGGAAGCTGAAGCGGAAATTAGTGTGGGAACATCTCAGTTCGCATCTCAGTTTCGTTTCGTTCCTAAACAAGGTGTTGGAACAAATGATGGCTCTAAGCAATGGATTCATTCTTCATAGAGACCTAAGTGCATTCAGACATGAAAGATCTAAAAGTGTGTAGGGACTAAGGTGGTGGGAAACATCTATATCTTGGGAAGAAATTTCTTTTAAAAAGAACGCAACAAAGACGTCATAGTTAACACATTTGAGTGTTTGGTAAAAGATGTGTTATTTACTTAAATTATTACACATAAACTGAAAGTTTAGAAAATTAAGACTTTAAAAGCTTCTTGGGAATATATTTGAACTGCAGGCCATAAAATAAAAATATTTCCTACTACTGGCTCTACGATCATTAAATGAAAAATCCCCTCCTTTATTCTGTAATTTATTTACACTTTTAAAGTAAACAACTTTTCTAAATTAAAATTAATAATCTTCCTAACTGAACATCAAATGCAATTAAATTATTTTGGATAATCGCATTATCAACAAGCTATAATTAAAACCCTAATCGTGTCGTGTTTTCACTTTTTCATGAATCGAAAAACGAATAGAAACCCAAAACTGAAAACGAAACTACAACAATTAAAGTGCAATTAAAAAATTTCCAATTTAATTAGACAAAAGCAGAAATAGTAAAGACTTGTGGCTTTCAGACTGAAAAAATAAAATACAAAAATGGTAAAAAAAAAAGTAAAATCGGTCAAAAATAATTTATGCAACTTCTGAAAACATCCGATAAGCAAAAAGCGAATATTTTACTTTACGTAGGCGTTGCGTTAAACAAAAACAATAAAAAAAAAAACAGTAGAAAATATTTAGAGCAAAAATTAAATGGTTATTTCGGTGTGGGTTTAACAAGTGAGGCAATACAACAACAACACAACTGAAAGCCACACAAACATTCAGTTAAAAACAATTGAAGTATGACCAAAAACAGAGCTATCAGTGCAGTGAAAAAAAATACTTTATTTTTTTATAAAACTTTTCGGAGGGGGTAGAACAATCGTAAATAACAATCCCAGCAACCGGTCACGTTAGCCCAGTTAGCAACGCTTAGCTTACTTTTGTGACCAAACAGGCCATAGGGGTTGGACACCCGGGCAGGTGATTTAGAGGGTGGGTACTTGCAGTCAAGTATTTGGAGATCCAAAACCAAAAAACCCCTCAATATAAAGAGAAAATGGCCATTTAGGCTTTGCAGCAGGAGTACTTACATTGCATAGATAAATGCCCATTTTTAGGAAATTTCTGTTTCACTTAAGATACTATTACTATGCCCTGAGGTGTATAATGTACTCGGTATTGTTTTGCATATGCTGGCGGTGATTAGTCATACCAACAGAATGCAATGCAAAATACAAAAACAAAAACAAAGCCAGAGGCGAAAAGCAAAGCAAGCTGAGCTAATTTGCATACATCTACTTATGTTGTACTCGGACTGGAGGCAAGTGTTGCAATGTTTTGTGTTAACTGGGTCTCTCTCTCTCTCTCTCTCTCTCTGGGGGAGGCGGGCCAGGAATGTCGGATCTCTGGATGTGGTAGTACCGCTTCCTTCTTAACAACATTTGCGTGTATTTAGCGCACTTCATTTTGCATAAATCACTTTTTCTTACGTGTGGCAGCAAATAACATGGGAAGTCTTCAGATGCGGGCCTCGAAATGAGTAATTATCTCGACCAAAGATTACAGATCTCGAGCGTTTTCTCTTTTTTAAAAAATTAACAGGTATAGGGAAACTGGTGGAAATAGCCAGCATTTTTGTACTAACGATATTGCCAATAAGCATTCACATTTTAAGGAAATTACTAAAGAGTTTCCTGCTTAGTTAATCTCTCAACAATTTGCATAATTTCTTAAAGTTGAAGAATACTAGGTAGTACTACCTTCAAGTTTATTTACATTTTTTTGGCAGACTTCGCCATTTACCACGCCCCTGCGCGGTTAAGAACCGGCACAATACAATCTCTGTCCCCGAAAAAAAACCCTCACCGAAACATCATTAAAAAGCTTAAAAAGCATTTCCAGAAGAATGCCCGCTCTTGACAAAAGACCCGAGAAACTATTAAACTGTATCTTTTTATGGCACCGCTAAAAAAAAACAGAATTCGCCAGCTCTCTAGAGCAAAGTTCTCAAATTCAGAGCCCCATTCGAGTCATTCAAGACTCCAAATAATATAAACAAACACAGAGACAAAAAATATATATCAAAGCTTGAAATATAATTCTTGTCGTGGTTATGATTATGAAATTTCCGTTCTGTTCACGGACAGAGATCCAAACGCCATTAGGAGAATCTATAATTCGACTTCTATATACAAGACCGATTTGTATTTGTGCACATTTTTTAAATGACACTTTTGTCGTTTAGGTTTGAATATTTTTTCGCCCGCTTAGTTTGGTACGTGAGTATAATATAATTATGAGCTACTTTACTGTCGGCTTATTTACTTGCTCAGTGGGTACACCTTGGGATCTCCACCACACCACACCTTGTACCTCACCTGGCTGACCCACTTGGTACAAAATCGCCTTTAATTTTCAAATAAAATGTCCAAGAGACGACAAAATCGATGGCCTCATAAACTATTGTACTTTTGCGGGGTTTTAACATCGTTCAGGCTCTCTCGAGGTCTCCCGGGCGCTTTCTAAGCTTGTGCCAGCCATGGGTCAGGGCAGCCGGCCCAAAGGGCACAGCACAGCCGACCGGCTCCCGAGTCAGAAAGGTGCTAAAATGATCTCTTCGTTATAATGGCAGAGTGTTAAAATACATACGAATGTGCCAGCTTTATTGGCGCTAAAAAAAAAGTTAATAGATGGGGTTTAATTTTATATAATTATGCAAGTCATGAATGGTTTCATGTTCATGTGAAATACCTTTCTGGAAATTATTTAAAATTTCAACTAATTTCATAAAAAATAAAAGTGTCTGTTTGTGTCTAAATTTCCTTTCTTTCTGAGCCGCTTTCTTTCCGTTTCAATATCTTTTTTTTGTAAAGTCTGGTGGTATTGATGGAAAAACCAGCTTATGAACATGCTAGTTTACTTATGGTAACAGCACTCATAGTTGGCTCTTTACGCCTCGTGCACTGAGAGTCCAAGAAAGCTTGTTAATTTCGTTTTGATGTTTTTGTTTGAAAAGTGAGGGAAGCTGCTGGGGGAATCGATTCTGCCAGCAAATGAAAGTTGAAAACAGAGAGGGGGTCTTAACTGATTACCATTTATGTGGCATGTGCCGGGCCATGGCAACATTCGTCTAATTTGGTCAATGCTACTCGAAAGCAAAAACACTTTCTTAGCCAAAGAAATACTGCTGAAATGGCACTGGGAAAATGTAAGCCAAAGTAAACCAATTGGCCATTTGGCTGGCCAGTGTTCCAAATACGCGAAATGAGGAAGTGTCTACGGTTACAAATGCGTTGGCCAAATGCGAATGAAATGCGATTAGTTAAATGAGAGCCCGACTTGGCCCGAACCCGAACCCGAACCGACCTGGCCTTGTCATGCTTTTCACCCATCACCCATCATTACCCAGTACATTTCAATTCCAACCAACTAACCAACTGCAATCTTGATCTTCTCTCGCAGATGTCGCCTCGGTGGAGGTGCCGACCAAGGAGGCGTACTTTAATGGCTCCACTTACCTCCGCCTGACCACGCCGATGCCCATTTGGGACCATTCGGCGATTAGTTTCCGCTCGTGCCGCGGCGGTGAGATCCTCGCCCAGCAGTACAACAAAAACTCAATCGTAATCTCAGTGCTCAACGACTTTCTGCAAATATCACTGGCGGGACCCGCTGTCCACGGCCCCAACAACCGGCTGGATGTCAAGCTGCCCTACCAACTGCTCGACAACCGCTGGCATACGCTCCAGTTCAAGTACGAGTACGGCAATCTCTATCTCCATGTGGATCGTGCGGCAAGCATATTTGGTAAGTGATTCCCCCCCTCCTTTCAAAAGGGGGTTCAAAATTGGATTGGTGGCGTCGTGTGTGAAATGTTGCAAAGCCAATGGGAGTGAATCACATCACGAGGGTTGAGTAATGCAATTGTGCCGCTAAATGGGACGGTGAGGAACCAAATGACGGACCTAATAGTTTAATCCGCCAGAAGATAGCGATGAAAAGAGTGAAAATTGGAAAATTATATAGAATTTGATTCATTAAAGGGGCGTTTATAGTATTGATAGCATAGTTCTAACACCTTAACTTCCTCCCCCAGCCAACTCCACCTACAACAGCCAATTCCTCACCAACCAAGACATCGGCTACAAGGATGCCATCTTGATATTGGGCAACTCCTTCTCCGGCTGCCTCCTCGACGGACCTGGCTTGCAGTTTGTGAACAACTCCACCGTCCAGAACGTGGTCTTTGGAGTGTGTCCCTTGACCCCGGGCCCCTGCAGCGATCATGATCTCTTCACCCGACTGCCGGACAACTACTGTCTGAACGATCCATGCATGGGCCACGGAACCTGCTCCTCCAGCCCGGAGGGCTACGAGTGTCGGTGCACGGCCCGGTACTCCGGGAAGAACTGCCAAAAGGACAATGGATCGCCGTGTGCCAAGAATCCGTGCGTGAATGGAGGATCCTGCTTGGAGAACTCGCGCGGGGACTACCAGTGCTTCTGTGACGCCACCCATAGTGGCCAGCACTGTGAGACGGAGGTGAACATCCACCCACTGTGCCACACGAATCCCTGCCTGAACAACGGCGCCTGTGTGGTCATCGGAGGGAATGTGGCCTGCGAGTGCCCCAAGGGATATGCGGGTGGCAGGTGCGAGATCGACACCGACGAGTGCGCCTCGCAGCCGTGCCAGAACAACGGGAGCTGCATCGACCGGATTAATGGGTTCAGCTGCGACTGCTCCGGAACTGGGTACATGGGCGCCTTCTGCCAGACGAACATCAACGAGTGCGACAAGAATCCCTGCCTGAATGGCGGCCGGTGCTTCGACACCTACGGCTGGTACACCTGCCAGTGCCTGGACGGATGGGGCGGCGAGATCTGCGATCGACCGATGACCTGCCAGACGCAGCAGTGCCTCAACGGTGGAACCTGCGTGGACAAGGCCATCGGCTTCCAGTGCATCTGTCCGCCGGAGTACAGTGGAGAGCTGTGCCAGCTGGCACCCAGCTGCGCCCAGCAGTGTCCCATCGACTCGGAGTGCGTGGGCGGCAAGTGCGTGTGTAAGCCAGGAACATCGGGTAAGCTATATAGGCTATATAGCCTTTATTACCATATTTTTGCATGAATTTTTAGCTTTGGGGATCTGCATGGTTCATATTTTAAAAATTAATTTAAATCTTTTGCTTTATTTGGGCTTTGCGGTCATGGTTTTAACAAAAAAATATAAATTTAAACAAAAAGCTTCCGATTTGGAGCCGCAATCTCCGCTCGAGCTGGACATTTCCGACTCCATGCTGTGTGGGAGCGAGAAAAAGAAGCGCTACATATCGCCCGAGTGGCTGAAACGCAAGCGTTGTGAACTAAAGCTGAGTACGTGGCGGAAACGGGGGCTTTAGTAGCTAGATTGGCTAGCTAATCACTTAAACTAACCATTATAATCATATATTTATAGATAATCTGTATATATATATTGCTTTACCTTTTCGAAACTAATGGTGTTACTTTATAATCCTAATCCTTATCACGTAATATGGTGTATATCTTAAATGGCTATAACCCCAGGCCCAATTGGTCACTGTCTGCCGACAACAACAACACCAGAACCAGAACCGATACTAGAACAATTGCCAACAACAACAACAATGACAACAACAAGAACCACAACAGCAATCCCTATCCCAGCTAGCTTAAATACCTTAACCACAACAAAGATACCTCCAATAACAACAAGTACAACAACCACAAAATCAACAACAACAATTAGCAATAAACTTCAACAACAACAACAACAACAACAACAGCCACCAACTCAACGATCGGCCTCCCTGAATGCATGTCCCCAAAATAACTGCTTGAACGGTGGCACCTGTCTGGGCTATAGTAGCAATTATACCTGTATATGTGCTAGTGGATACACAGGTTTGGCATATTCCCACATCGAAAGGGTTGTCCTAAAAGTCTGTCTGCATGCGAGTCTGCATCCACTTTAATTTTCAGTTTAATTTCAATGCGGTTAATGGCCCTAAAGTAAGCTTGATTGTCCGGAATTTGTATGAGATGACTTAGAATTCCTGCTGGATTTCCTTCCTTCCTCTCTTGCTGGCCTCTATCTTTATAAACAGGGTCAATTCTTAGCAAATCTGTATCTTTATTATCAAAACAGAGTAGCTATCTTATCTTAAATAAATGATTAAGTCTAAAAGATACTGTACTTTTAACAAGATAATTGATTTACAAACAGTAGCCAGCAGAAAGCTAATAAAATAATATTTAGACTTAATATTTACCTAAAAAAAGTAAACTTAAATACACATACTTTTAGTGCAACCCTAGTTAGACTGACTGTAAATATTTAAAAGAGTAGATTTAGTACAAAATACTTAATATTTTTGGTAAAAAAAGGGTTAAGCCTGAATTAAAACTAATACAAACTCCCTTCCAAATCCCAGGTTACAACTGTCAGACCAGCACCGGCGATGGCGTAGCTGCTTTGGCCCTCACCCCCATCAACTGCAATGCCACCAATGGCAAGTGCCTGAACGGAGGCACTTGCTCCATGAACGGCACCCATTGCTATTGCGCCGTGGGATACTCCGGAGATCGCTGCGAAAAGGCTGAAAACTGCTCCCCATTAAACTGCCAGGAGCCGATGGTGTGCGTCCAGAACCAGTGCCTCTGTCCGGAGAACAAGGTGTGCAATCAGTGCGCCACCCAGCCGTGTCAGAATGGAGGCGAGTGCGCCGAACTGCCGAACGGGGACTACGAATGCAAGTGCACCCGCGGATGGACTGGACGGACATGTGGCAACGATGTGGACGAGTGCACGGTGCACCCGAAGATCTGCGGAAATGGAATCTGCAAGAACGAGAGGGGATCCTACAAGTGCTACTGTACTCCTGGATTCACCGGCATTCACTGCGACTCAGATGTGGACGAGTGCCTGAGCTTCCCGTGCCTCAATGGAGCCACGTGCCACAACAAGGTAGGTTGATGAGACCCGGATTTGAAGGCCCAAACTGTGTCTGTTACTAAAGTGTAATTAGTTGTTTTTCTTTAAATATGGAAAGCATCGGATATTGAGACAAGTGAGTGGAGATGTCGTTCAGCTAGCTCCCAATATGTTACTCTATCCCTACTATCTACTACTCTATCCCCAAAAGATAGCTTACATTATATTAATATCCTCTTGGTTTTTCCCGTCCAGATCAATGCCTATGAATGCGTCTGCCAGCCGGGCTACCAAGGCGAGAACTGCGAGGTCAATATTGACGAGTGCGAAAGCAATCCCTGCTCGAATGGATCCACCTGCATCGACATGATCAACAACTTCACCTGCTCCTGCATCCCGGGAATGACGGGTCGCATTTGCGACATCGATATAGACGACTGTGTGGGAGATCCCTGCTTGAACGGAGGTCACTGCATCGATCAATTGGGCGGATTCCGATGCGACTGCAGTGGAACGGGCTACGAGGGAGAGAACTGCGAACTGAACATCGACGAGTGCATCTCGAATCCGTGCACCAACGGTGCCAAATGTGTCGACCAGGTTAAGGACTATCTGTGCGAGTGCCACGTGGGCTACAAGGGCAAGAACTGTGAGCAGGATATCAACGAGTGCGAGAGCAATCCCTGCCAGTACAACAGCCAGTGCCTGGAGCGATCCAACACGACTCTCTACCAAATGAGTCGCACCACCGACCTGCCAAAGGTCTTTAGCCAATCGTTTAGCTTTGAAAACGCCAGTGGGTGAGTATCTTATAGACTTTTTATTTATTCTCAAAGCTAATCCTATTTTATATTCAGATACGAATGCGTCTGTGTCCAGGGAATTACTGGAAAAAATTGCGAAATAAATATAAACGAATGCGAGAGCAATCCCTGCAGCAAACACGGAAATTGCAATGATGGGGTAGGTTAAATTAATTTTGAAAAATAAAATATTGCTAATTAATAAATATTATTGATAGATTGGAACGTATACCTGCGAGTGCGATCCTGGCTTCGAGGGCACCCACTGCGAAATAAACATAGACGAGTGCGATCGCTACAATCCCTGCCAGACCGGCACCTGTGTCGACGAAATCAACGACTACAAGTGCGACTGCGATGCCAACTTTGGTGGCAAGAACTGCTCAGTGCCTCTGATCGGATGCCGCACAAATGTAGGTCCTTCAAACTTTACCATCTAGTATGGTTCTAATTCTTGGTTCTATTTCTATCATAGCCTTGTTTAAACGACGGCACCTGTCTCCCTTACCTGGTGAATGAGACTATCCATCGGTATAATTGCACCTGCGAGAACGGATTCCAGGGTAACACTTGCGAGAAGACCACAACGCTGTCCATGGTGGCCACCAGCTTGATTTCCGTAACCACGGAACGAGAGGAGGGCTACGACATCAACCTACAGTTCCGGACAACTCTACCCAACGGAGTGCTGGCCTTTGGAACTTCGGGAGAAAAGAACGAGCCTGTTAGCTACATACTGGAGCTGATCAACGGAAGACTGAATCTGCACTCCTCGTTGTTGAACAAGTGGGAGGGTGTCTTCATTGGCTCCAAGCTGAACGACAGCAACTGGCACAAAGTTTTCGTGGCCATCAACACATCGCATCTGGTGCTTTCGGCCAACGACGAGCAGGCCATCTTCCCTGTGGGTTCTTATGAGACGGCCAACAACAGCCAGCCCTCGTTCCCGCGTACCTACCTCGGGGGAACCATACCCAACCTGAAGTCCTATCTGCGCCACCTCACTCACCAGCCCTCGGCTTTTGTCGGGTGCATGCAGGACATTGTGGTCAACGGAAAATGGATCTTCCCGGACGAGCAGAGTGCCAACTATACCTATGGAGACACCAAGTTGGAAAATGTCCAGAGCGGCTGTCCACGAACGGAACAATGCAAACCAAATCCCTGCCATTCGAATGGCGAGTGCACGGATCTGTGGCACACCTTCGCCTGTCACTGTCCAAGACCCTTCTTCGGGCACACCTGCCAGTACAGTAAGTGTCTTAAAGAAATCCTTATTATTATACTTATTATTAAACAAACTACCTAAGGGGAAAGTATAGTCCAAAATGAAGACTATGTACCATATTCACCAATATCCATCCCCTTAAAAAATTGGGTCCCCTCCCAAATCTGGAAAATGCCTGGGGAGGGCCATATGACCCACCACGATAGCCATATCTTTTCTAATACCCATCCGATCCTATAGCGGAATACCTTAAACGATTTGTGGAAGGATTCTCTACCAATTTTGATTAAAATCCTGGAACAAAATATTTTTTAGATTTTTTGTCAAATTTTTTGGAGGGTCCCCTTCAAAATCTGAAAAATGCATGGAGAGGGCCATACGACCCACCGCGATAGCCATATCTTTGCTAATACCCATCCGATCCTTCAGGGGAATACCTTAAACGATTTGTGGAAGGATTCTCTACCAGTTTTGATCAAAATCCTGGAACTAAATATTTTTTAGATTTTTTGTCAAATTTTCTGGGTCCCCTTCAAAATGTGAAAAATGCATGGGGAGGGCCATACGACCCACCGCGATAGCCATATCTTTGCTAATACCCATCCGATCCTTAAGGGGAATACTTTAAACGATTTGTGGAAGGATTAACTATCAATTTTGATCAAAATCCTGGAACAAAATATTTTTTAGATTTTAAGATGATTCTCCATTGAAAATAACACGAAATAATAATTTCTATTCCAGATATGACTGCTGCCACTTTTGGACACGAGAACACCACCCACTCGGCTGTAATTGTGGAGACGACGGATGTTGCCAGGCGGGCCATTCGGTCCATACTAGATATATCCATGTTTATTCGCACCCGCGAACCCACTGGCCAAGTCTTCTACTTGGGCAGTGATCCTCGCAAGGCACCCACTAAAAGTGAGTATTATTCTTACTCTTTGGAAGCTGAAACTTCTCCAATCATGGCAATCTTAATGGGATAATAATTGAATCTCCCTTCCAGACATTGGTGACTCATATGTGGCAGCCAAGCTGCATGGTGGCGAACTGCTAGTGAAGATGCAGTTCAGTGGAACCCCGGAGGCATACACCGTCGGTGGCCAAAAGCTGGATAACGGCTACAACCATCTGATCGAGGTGGTGCGCAACCAGACGCTCGTGCAGGTCAAACTCAATGGCACCGAGTACTTCCGCAAGACACTGTCGACGACGGGTCTGCTGGACGCACAGGTGCTCTACTTGGGTGGTCCTGCACCTACGCGCGAATCCCAGCTAGGAGTAACCACAGAACCGATACCCGGATCGATGGCGATTCCAGGCACTGGAGGGGTTCCCATACCGCCAGAGGATACCGCAGTGCCCAAGGAGGCTGATGATAGTCGCGACTACTTCAAGGGCATTATCCAGGACGTCAAGGTGAGCAACGGGTCGCTCAACCTGATTGTGGAGATGTATCCCCTGAACGCCACGGATGTCCAAGTAAATGCCAAGCCCCTGGGAGCTGTCCAAATCGATAAGCGATCCGTTTTGGCGGGAGAGGTATCCGACGATCTGTGCCGCAAGAATCCTTGTCGGCACAATGCCGAGTGCCGCAACACCTGGAACGACTACAGCTGCAAGTGCCCCAATGGCTACAAGGGAAAGGACTGCCAGGAGATCGAATTCTGCCAGCTGGTCACGTGCCCAGGCGAGAGTGTCTGCCAGAATTTGGACGATGGCTACGAGTGCCTCACGAACATTACATTCACTGGTCAGGAGCGCTCCCCACTAGCCTTCTACTTCTTCCAAGAGCCTCTATCGGAGGAGATTGTGGGCGAGACAGCCCCCAAACAAGCTCTGAAACCGGTCATCGATATAGCCTACCGCACCCGTGCCGGAGGAACTCTTCTGTTTATCGACAATGGGGATAGCTTCTTTGAGATCGGGGTGAATGGAGGTCGTGTGACTGTGGCCTGGAAACTGAGTAAAATCCTTTATGGATTCTCGGCTCATTTCGATAAGGAGAACACTGATGGCGAGTGGAGCAGAATCTATATTCGAGCCCACAATGGAAAGCTGGAGGGCGGCTGGAAAGGCTGGGAGTCAATGGTGGACCCTGCGCCCGCCTTCTCAAATGACATTGAACAGGGAGCCATTCAGTCGCTAATCGCCAGCAGCAACCAGATTTATTTGGGCGGCATGCCAGAATCCCGGCAGGCTCGAGGAACCACTCAGTCTGCCCAGCAAGGCTCGCAATTCAAGGGATGTGTAGGCGAGGCTCGAGTAGGCGATCTCCTGCTTCCCTACTTCACCAACACCGATCTCTATCCACACACAGAGAATGTATCTGTTCAGTTGAAGGCCCAGTTCCGGTTAAATGCCACCCGCCCGGAGGAGGGCTGCATCCTGTGCTTCCAGACGGATTGCAAGAACAACGGATTCTGCCGTGCTCCGTCCGATGAGTATGCCTGCACCTGCCAGGCCGGCTTCGAGGGGGATGACTGTGGCACAGATATCGATGAGTGTCTGGACACCGTGTGCCAGAACAACGGAACGTGTGTCAACCTGGTGGCGGACTTCCTCTGCCAATGCGAGCCAGGATTCGAGGGCAAGCACTGCGAGCTGAACATTGACGAGTGTGCCGAACAGCCCTGCCAAAATGGTGGAAACTGTACGGATTTGATTGCTGGTTTCTTGTGCGACTGCCCGGAGGATTATACGGGTGTCCAGTGCGAAGTCCTCAAGCAGATGACCTGCGAGAACGAACCTTGCCGGAATGGATCCACTTGCGACAATGGTTTCAGTAAGTAGCATACTATAGTTAACCCTAGGAATCCTCCTTAATAAAATGTGTGTTTTGAACCTTAGATGCATCAACTGGAAACAATTTCACGTGTACTTGTGCCTCTGGATTTGAGGGTCCCCTGTGTGACCTTCCCTTCTGCGAACGGACTCCTTGTGACAATGGAGGGCTCTGCCTGACCACTGGACCTGTAAGTATTATTTTATTCCCTTACTTGCCTCAAATCTAAAGCACCTTTTTTTCAGATTCCAATGTGCAAGTGCAGTCTGGGTTACACGGGTCGACTGTGCGAGCAGGACATCAATGAGTGTGAGTCCAATCCCTGCCAGAATGGTGGCCAATGCAAGGACCTTGTGGGCAAGTACGAGTGTGACTGCCAAGGCACTGGTTTTGAGGGTCTGCGCTGTGAAAACGACATTGACGAGTGCAGTGTGGAGGGCGAGTACTGCGGAGGACTGGGTCGCTGCTTCAACAAGCGCGGCTCCTTCCAGTGCATCTGCCAGAAGCCGTACTGCGGTGCCTACTGCAACTTTACGGATCCCTGCAATGCCACGGACCTCTGCGCCAATGGCGGTCGCTGTGTGGAAAGCTGCGGTGCCAAGCCTGATTACTATTGTGAGTGCCCGGAGGGTTTCGCTGGCAAGAACTGCACAGCACCGGTAAGTTTGAAATTCTTTTTAAAAAATGACCTTATTTCCTAACTAAACAATGGATCTTACAGATAACCGCCAAGGAGGACGGACCCTCGACCACAGACATCGCCATCATTGTAATTCCCGTGGTTGTGGTGCTACTACTGATCGCAGGAGCCCTGCTAGGCACCTTCCTGGTAATGGCTCGGAACAAGCGTGCCACTCGCGGCACTTACAGTCCCAGCGCCCAGGAATACTGCAATCCGCGCCTGGAAATGGACAATGTGCTGAAACCCCCGCCGGAAGAGCGTCTCATTTAGTTTCGAGAAGATCGATTAGCAAAACGAACGATATTTTTAAATCCGCCCATATATGTACACCTAACTGTAGGAGTAATGCAATGTTTTTCTATTAAGTTCGCCCCGTAATTATTATTAAAATTTATATCTTAAGGTGCTCAAAGCAACAGCAGCAGCAGCAGTAGCCTCCGATTCCCCCTGCCTATGCGTTAGTTAGTTAATGATGCCGTTGTCTATTTATTCTAGTAGTTTATATGACGATCGTATCGCTCTTTAGTCGTTATGTAGTTTCGTTCCAATAGGTTAGACTCAGTATTCGATTTCTCGTACATTTAATCCTAAGCTGCGAACAAAGTTGAGCCCTAAAACACCAATCCCCCCAAGCACTTTTACATTCCGAGCGAAAGCCCTACAAGTGCATTGTACGACTATTTTTGTAAATAGATTTGCCGATTCCTACACTTATTATTAGCTGAGCTAAAAGCGACGAGAAATGAACCCTATATGCCTATATATACGAGAGTATATATCAGTAAATGTGGCCTTATGTAATAAAAGAAGCATAATATAGTAACGAAATCATTTTCAAACAATAAGAACTTGAGAAACTACGAGTATTTTGTTAAGCAATTCAAGTAAAAAGACATATTTTGCTCTAGAACTTCTAAGCGTAAACTTAAGAGACTGTACTATATAATAATTATTAAATATTTCGACTTTTTTCCAAACCCTCCCCCGACTTTTATTCATCAAACAATGGAATAGTTTCCAATTGGTAGCAACTATTGCTAAAATTTATTCGTCAAACTCTTCGTGACGGGTTCTGAGTGGTTTGAATACAAACAAATAATCATGAACAAACATTAGTTTGGTTTTGCATACTTGTGAAAGAGAGCTGCTGCTATTAACTAACATATGAGATATTAAATATACGCAATAGGATAAAAGCAAATCAAGTTTAAATATGTATGTGTAATTCAGTTTATGTGGAAATAGGATTATCCAAGAAGTTAGCTAGGTAGCCAGTAAAACATTTGCTAGATAGTGTTGGGGATAGCTCAGCCCATGGATGCCACCCATTTGAACTTGCTCTGCATCTCCGGATGGTAGAATATGCACTCCAGCTTGTTCACACAGTTCTTGCCGAACCGACACGGCTTCGGGTGGTAGAAGGTGCATCCAATCTTGCTGCAGTTCGGATAGTACTTGCACATCGTTGTCGCCGTCGTGGAGGTAACTGGCGCCGAGATTGACTTGTAATTCTGCACCGGTATCACATGCGAGGCTGTAAATATGAACAATAGTTTAAATCGGAAGTTCAGATAATGGGATTAGAATTCCTTACATAAAGGCGGTGCCGTAAGCTGGACATGACTGAGATCCCTTTGTCCGCTGTGGGCATAGTTGCAGTCGATGCTCATACAAGACATATCAAACTTGCACTTGGGGTGCGAATACATGCACTTATCGGCAAACTTGCAGTTTGGAAAAGATTTGCATGGCGCCGAGGGATGATAGTACTCGCAGAACTGCTTTGTGCAGTTGGGGTGGTACTTGCAGCGCTCCTTGGGCTTGTTGACCTTCAGCACAGTAGAGTCCACGCTAACGGCGCTTACTGAAAGAACAAAGGTAACATTATTGTATTTCAGGTTTTACCTTTTATCAAAGGACTATACGTACATGCCGGCAGATTGTCGTACTTCCTATCCTCCGCGTTGCGAATGGGTATTCTTCGCTTTTCCACAGTGACCGCATCTCGTTCCCTGCTGTCGGGCCGTCGCTTCTTGGTGGAACTCGGCTCTTCCTCGTTCTTCAGTGTGAATCGTATGGGAGTATGCTTGCTTTTGGTAGAAGTGGACGCAGCGGTGGACGAAGTAGCCACTTGCTCCTCGCCAGGGCTGCGATTCGAACTTGTGTTTGTGGATCTATCTTTGCTAGCGGCTCGTTTCTCCGGCCTCATTTTGGCTGGCAGTGGAGGCGTTGTCGAGCGTGCCTCGTCGGGTGCGTTTGCCTTATTGTCTCTGTGGCCATTGGCCGGATTAGTGACCCCTTTTTGCTGGCGTTTGCTAGCCCCTCGTTTTCTGGGCGAACCGTTCATTTCATCATCCTCATCAGTATCATTCTTTATGATTATCTTCTTGATCTCTTGAGGCTGTCGAAGGACTTCGCTGCGATTTAGGTTGCGGGATGATTGTAGCGAGGGCGAGGCACTGTTGGAGGAGCGGCTCCTCTCCCGAGGATTCGAGCGGTGCCGCCTTTCAGTCGTAGTCGATGTGGGTTCAGTGCTGGATGAGCTCACTTGTGGTGTAGAGACTGGCGAGGAAGTATCGCGGCGCCGCGAATCGCTTTGCCTCTTACGGATCGAACTGCTTGGCTTGCTGTTACCGCCTCCTGGCTGGTCTCCGTTCAGGGTAACTACGAATTGGGTCTTAAGCGACTCATCATGTGTGTTTATGTGAAGGTCTATGTCCTCTATTAACTGAGGCACAAAGTTCTCGAACTCCTCTGCATTTGGACTGGGCGTGTACTCCTCCTGCACCACCTTGATCTCGGCGTGGCTCTCGTTGGAGCGCCTGGGCCTTTTACTGTCCCTTTGAGTCACATTCACAACTAGCTCGCGGGTACTCCGCCGGAAAAGCTCGTTGTTGGGCGCAGTCCGTTTACTGCGATCTCTTTCGCGTTCACGTTCTGGCTTTCCGGTAGACTTGCGTTTGCCAAGCGAGGAGCTTATCTTCTCCGTTTCCTCGCTCTCTTTACGGGAAGATGTCTTGGCCAGAATCGTCGAACGCTGAGCATCAGCCACGGCGCGCAGAAGTAGATTCTTGCAAGCCTGCCGACGAGGTGACACCTGCGGACGGGGCTTGATCTTAATTACAGAATTTACTGGCTTGTCTGCGATATCCTCATCATCCGAAGGTTCCGGGGGCTTGCGCACGGCCACAATAACCCTTGAGCCAATGCGTTGCTTGGGTTTTGCTGCATTTGGACTCGGCGAGCGACGCTTACGACTCGTATCCCTCGAGTTATCACGTCGATCCTTTGAACGGTCTCGAGACCGATCCTTTGACCGCTCCCGCTGGCTCCGATCCCTGCTAGATTCTGGCTCACTGCGACGCCGATGGGCTGGCACGTATAACTCCTTTTGAGAACGCTGCGAGCTGCGCGACTCCATGGCTTTCGTTCCCAAACGATCATGCACTGAACGCCGTTCTGAGCGGTCCTCCTTGGAAGGCTGGTCACCTTCTGGGGTAAAGGCCTCTTGTCGAGAATCAATCTCAGGCTCAGACTCTGGTGGCTTCTCTGGAGTCTTTTCCTTCCTATTAAATACAATAGGGCTCTTTACTTTCCGAGGCGGCAGCTCTTTTTGTAAAGGTTCCTCCATTGGCTCCTGATCCACAGACTCTTCCTGGGCACTTAGGTTCAACAAATCTTCATCTTCCTCTTCACTTTCATCTTCAATTTCGCCTATTTGACGTAAATGTTTCTTGGCTGCATGAATCTTTTTCTGGATCTCTGCTAACTCGGCAAGGTCTTTCTGTCTGTTCAGTCCGGATGTGGTTGAGCTGATCTCGGATGGTGCAGGAATATCGGGTTCGCGGGCTGAAGGTTCCTCCTCCTCGATAGACTTGCGGTTTTTCTTCTTTGGAACCATCTCGCCAATATCCAAAGTCTTTTTGGCTTTTTCCAGCAACTCTTCGGCGAAAACGTCTGTTATAGAGGTGATAACGGGCATGGCATCAGCAGAACTAGACTGCGGCTCCTGCAACTCATCTCCAGATTTCCGATTTGGCCTCTTTTCCTTCTTGGAGCTCTTTTTATCCTTCTCCTTCGGTTTTGAAGCTTCCCCCTGACCCTTGGACTTTCTCTTCTTGCTGGAAGCTGATGAGAACCATTAGAAACACTATTTTAAGTGCGAAAAATCTATGACATACCACTTGAAGTAGGTAGGGTAACCTCCTGCAGCTTTTGAAGCACTTCGTGCAGCCATGTCACAAAAAGGTCGGTCTGATCTCCCAGAAATAGATTCAGTTCGGCGTTCATCTGCTGCTTCGTTCGCTTGTTGGCCACCATAACCATTACATAGTCCGGCAGCTCATCGTCTATAAAGCCGGAAGACCCGCCTGTCCCGAGCTCCAGCAGCTTCGCCTTGACGGCACTCTGTAAGAAACATTTAGTGGGGGAGTTCGGATTACGAGTTCATTGATTTTCCGCAATCACTTACGCGCATCTTCTGGCCAATCTCGCTGCCCAAATTGCACTCCATCTTAGCTAGATTCTCTAACCGTTCCAAACAATGATTACTTGTATCATTCGCTGACGTTTATTATTTGGATATATCCGTGTTTTCTTTCATGAGAAAATGGTAAGCTCTCATAAAAAAATAATTATCGCAGCTGCTCCGATAGCAAATCTAGAGGCGGAAGTTCACAGTAGTGATGGTCCTAAGCCAACCACCAGGTAAGTCAATTGGATTATTTTGAATTGACAATATTTAACCATTATATAAATTATATTTTAACATAGAGCTCAGTCTTAATTAATACTGACATACGCTTTAAAGCGATTTAAAGCAATTTTAATTCAGAATTCTTTATAAGGCCATAAAAATATTCTAAATTTTAAGTAACAAATATTTCCAATCAGTCTTGTTTGAAGCTCTTCAATTCATATCACTTCTGTCTTTTATTTGCGAATGTTTCCCAGCAAACGTATCTCTCTTTTTGCTTATTGAAATAAATTATGATATGATGACGGTAGAATTTATATATTTGTCAAAATTATCATTTTCAGCTATGCAAAATTCACAAGGTATTATGAAAATGTTGATATTTTTGCAAAACGTCAGTGACAACACTATCGGTATACGAACAATCGATATATGGTCTCGCATCGAAACTCTGCGCATCGATTATTGTAGTGTCACACAAAAAGAAGAAGCTGAAAAAAGAATTTTGGAAGAAAGCAACTGCAATTTTGTAATAACCCGAGCCTTGCATCGCAATGAATAATGGAAAATAGACAGTCAAGTGCCAGTGATGTGATAGTACCAGGTGCGTACTTAGTGATGACCCGTAAATGTCTGAAAATGTCCCAGCCAGCCGACTAGGTTGAGCGAAATGTGAGGCTGCTGCCTACTGTTCGGTTTTGTGGGTTCCGTCGCCTTTACGGGCCGTGAAATCTACTTCCCCGTGGAATATTGCAATTTGGCGATTTTCTGCGATTCTGCCAGCAACTTGTTGCACTCATTGTGTGTAATTCTGTTTCTTGCAGAGCTCTACTTCCTCATCTCCAAGTTCCTGGCTGCGGGGCCGCTGGAGGAGACGGCAAAGGTCGGTACACAGCGACGGATCGAATCGAGAAATGCGACCCTCTCGATGTCCAAAAAGAGCGCTCTTTTCAGCGGTCGCATTTCGCGGCTTTGTTTACAAACATTTTACTAACCATTTTTTTGCAAATTATGTGTCTTACAGGTGTTAATCCGGGAGCTCGAACAGAAGAAGGTAAGTGCATGGGGCCTGGGGGGTGGACCGCAGCCATCTCCCGGGGGATTGGGTCTGGAAGCCTGAAAAAAAGAAAGCCCCAACCGTTTGTTTATACGCTTTGTTTTGGTTTTGTTGTTGTTTCTGTTTCTGCTACTGCTTCTGCCGGCAGAGGCCGATGACAAAGCCCCATGCTCGTACATATGTGCGTCCGCTTGTCTCAGAGTTGGAAATCAAACTGAGACGTGGGATAGTCCATCGTCCGTCTGGCCCTGGTCTACCGCTGAGTAGGTGAAAAGTCTAAAAAAAAAATTTCAAGGGATGCCCCACTACGTCACAGTCATAAGCGTCATTGATTGGAAATGCAAGTGATAACAGCTGCACTGAGCGAAAAAAGTCCAGACTATCGCGTGCTAGAGGAGGGGCTTACTTATCAAAGAAGAAGACTGATTTTATTTTTATATCGAATTGATGTAATAATAGTGTTGAAAATAATTAATAGTTATAATTATAAATGACAGCTTTCGAGTCACTGAAAGAAAAAAAGGTGACTTCTGTTTTGGGGGTGGGGGATTACTATGTGGAGCATTATTCTAAAGAGAATCTTAATTCTTTTGTAGTAAATGAGTTTATTAAATTGAGGTTTAAGTTCCCCGAAAAAGTTTATAATTTATTGCCTCTCAAATCGCGTGCAACGTTATCTCATTCCTACCGTACGCTTCTATTTATACAGGTTTTGCCCCGACGCATCGACTGGCAGGGAAATGAGCATGAACAGACCTTCTCCGAATTGGTGAGTGATATAGTTAATTATTTGTAGCATTTTAATTTTGTTTTTAATAATTTGTCAAAGCGGGGGTCTTGCATAAGTCTTTTTTTTTTGTTGATATATGTATTTTCGTGTGCGTGCGCCTTTGTGACGTCACGTCGAAGCATCGATTGACGAATAGAGAAAATAGCAGGGAAACGCACGCGTGGGAAAATGAATTTATTTTTTGCATTTAGACAATAAAAGTGCAATAATCAATCAAATTAAGTTTTAATTAATAACCAATTAATAGTTTTAATAAAAAAAAAAAAATTTTTTTTCAAAAATGTAAAAGGTATTGGGAAAAATCCTGTAAACATCGTACAAATTTATTTTTTGAGAAAAAAACAACTTTTAAAAATGCATACTAATTTTTTATAAAAAATTGCAAATAAGTCGCCGACATTTTGCTTTCGCACACATATGCAGCTGGCTCACATGAACAGCAAGCCACCACTTTACCTTACCTGGCGGTCGTTAGAGCGAGATGGTTATATGTTCGCACTAATTGACAAACAGCTGCCTCTAGTTATCGCTGCATTTATCGTTATCGGTTCTAAAGGGCGCCTAAATTTAAATTTCAAAACTTATGTAGTTTCCTAAATAGAGATCTCAGTTTGAATTTAAAATGAAAAACAAAACTTTTTATTTTCATTTGCAGGAACAAAAATACGCCCATATTGGCGACAACCATCTGTTGGAGATATGCAGCCGCCTGTGCCCATTGGTGGAGCGGGAGCTGCCGCCCAGTGTTCCGGGGATAAATTCCCTCCTGGGTACCGGGCGTCAGAACCTGTTGCGAACCCAAGAGACCGTTTATCGTCACCGCTCCCTGCGCGACTATTGCACCCGCCTCCATGGCGTGTCACTGCCCGATTCAGACTTGACCAGACCTACCCACAACTTGCGTAAGTGGTGAAATTCTTTGAAATCCATTGAGTCATTCTAATAATTGAAATATATCTTTCAGTACGAGTTATTTCTGGTCGGGAGCATGGCGGTCATGTACGTCGCAAGTTGCTGGTGCCCACAGATCTCTACCGGAAGACGAAGCTGCTCCGACGCACAGTCGGTCACCTCTCGTCGGTGTACTGCGTGCTCTTCGACCGCACCGGGCGTTACATCATCACGGGAGCGGATGATCTGCTTATCAAGATTTGGTCTGCGGCTGATGGTAGGCTGCTGGCCACCTTGAGAGGCGCCTCTTCTGAGATCACAGATATTGCCATCAACTTGGACAACACAATGCTGGCCGCCGGCTCGGTGGATCGAATCCTTCGGGTTTGGGACATGCAGACTACCTCACCCATCGCCGTTCTCAGCGCGCATACTGGAATGATAACCTCGGTGAACTTCTGCCCGTCGCCTCGCAGTGACCTCAAGTATTTGGTGACCACCAGCACAGATGGATCGATTGCCTTTTGGCAGTATTCTACTCCCCGCGGTCAAAAGATAACCTTTGCTCCGAGGCCGACCCAGTACCACGAAAAGCTGCGCCCCGGTCAGGCCCAGATGATGTGCACAACCTTCTCACCTGGTGGCATATTCCTGGCCGCGGGATCCGCCGACCACCATGTCCGCGTCTACATGATGGGCGAAGACGGACCGAAACGCATCCTCGAGACGGAGGCGTACACGGATGCAGTCGACTCTGTGCAGTGGTCGCACCGTGGGTTGAGATTTATTTCGGGGAGTAAGGACGGCACTGCCCACATTTGGACTTTTGAGTCGCAACAGTGGAAGAGCGTGAAACTCTGCATGACCGAACGTCTGCCAAGGTAAGCGATCCACTATCATAAATATTTGCAAAGTATTCAATGTTCTCCATTTCAGCTGCCCGGAGCCGGAGGAGGGAAAGAAACTTAAAGTTACGATGGTTGCTTGGGATGCTTCCGATCGTTATTGTATTACCGCCGTTAACGATTTCACAGTGAGTTACCCTTATTCCAAATATATACCCTTTAAGATCGCCTATCAATGAGTTTTTTTGTTGAACAGATTAAAATCTGGGACTCCAAGACAGCCAAGCTGCATCGCGTCCTGCGGGGTCACAAAGACGAGCTGTATGTTTTGGAGTCGAATCCCAGAGATGAGCATGTCCTGCTCTCCGCCGGTCACGACGGTCATGTCTTTCTGTGGGACATCGAACAGGGTGTCTGTGTGGCGAGCTTCTTTAATGACATCGACGGCCAAGGCCACGGTAGCGTGTTTGATGCTAAGTGGTCTCCAGATGGCACGATGATAGCGGCCACTGACTCTCACGGACACATCCTCATCTTTGGTCTTGGCATGTGCATTGAAAAATACAAAACGGTAAGGCTTAGATAGGGCATTCTTTGAAGAATCTGTCAATAATTTGAGTTTGAATTCAGCTTCCCACAGAGCTGTTCTTTCACACCGACTACCGACCACTTTTACGGGACTCCCAGCACCACGTTATAGACGAGCAGACCCAGATAATGCCACATTTAATGCCGCCGCCGTTCCTCGTCGACTCTGACGGCAATCCGCATCCCACCAAGTATCAACGGTTTGTGCCCGGAAGGGAGAACTGCAGCACGGACCAACTTATTCCCAATCTGACGGTCGGTGTGGATGGCGTGGTTGTCGAAGACAATGTTAATGCCCAGCAGAACCCCGGCGGTGCTGGTGCTGGTGCTGCAGCTCAAGCTGTAGTTCCAGTTGCAGCGGCTGGGGCAGCGCCTGGTGCTAACTACTCCCACATAGACCGCATGATAGCCGCCTTGGCCAACCGCCAGTCAGTGAGTGCGAACGGGAATGATGCCAATCCGAGCGGCGACAATCAAGGATATGAGCGGATCACCAATCGCCAAGTACCCGACTCCAACAGCAGACAATCCCCACGTGGCAATGTGTTGGGTGGGCGACTGAGCACTCCTCGCCAGGGCTGGGGACCGTCCGCCGCTGCGGCAGAGGAGCAGCCTCCTGTAGAGCCTGCAGCAGCTCAGGCTCCCCCCCAACAGCCGCTTCCGCTTAAGTTTGTCCGGCGCACCTACGTGCGTCCCATGAAATATGCCCAGTTGCAGAACCTTAAGCAAACAATCTACTCTGCCGGCCAGTTCGAGAAGCAGGAGTACAAGCGGGAAATGCGCCGCAGACCAATCATGATAAACACTGCCAGTGCAGCGTCTTCCCAGCAGGCGGGAAGCATAGGCCGACCGCGAAACACTCGATCCAATGGAAGTGCACCACGTCCCGGGGGTCGGAGGCGTGGCGCCCAAGCAGGGGCCGCGCAACAGCAGCCAGCCTACAGAACTCGAGCCGTGCGCGACCAAGAGCAGGATAACTATGAAGAGGCTCAGCCGCACGAAGAGGAAGAGGAGGATGTATCTAGCAACTCATCAGGAGACACCAGCTACTCGAATGTAGAGGAGCATCTGGATGACAGCAGTTCCGACTCGGACACGGATAGTTCAGACTACTCGGATTGGGTGGCTGATACCCCTGGCCCCAATCTAGAGCCGCCCAAGCGCTCCAAGCGCAAACCCATATCGCGAAGGCCTCGCAGTAGTGACGACAGCAGCGATGATGAAACGGCCGGCAAGGCGATACAAGCAGCCTCAGGTGGACAAGTGATAGCGCGGAAGGTGGGCCGGAAGACCATACTCTTCCCTCCCACGGATGCCAACGGGGAAATTCCGGAGCTGTACCGGCCAGCGGAATGGCTATCGGAGGTCATACCGCGCAAGGCTCCCTACTATCCGCAAATGGGCGACGAAATAGTCTACTTCCGGCAGGGACACGCCAGCTACTTGGATGCCGTGCGACTGAAGAAGGTCTATAAGCTGTCGCACAGCTCGGAGCCGTGGAACTTTCATACGCTCCGAGACCACGAACTGGTCCGGGTGATCGGCATCAAGTACGAGATCCGGCCGCCGCGGCTGTGCTGCCTCAAGCTGGCCATCATCGATGAGGAGGGAAACATGACGGGGACTACGTTCAAAATCAAGTACCACGACATGCCCGACGTTTTGGACTTCTTGGTTTTGCGGCAAACCTTCGATCTGGCTGTGCAGCGAAACTGGAGCATTGGTGACCGGTTCCGGTGCATGATCGGCGATGGTTGGTGGATGGGCCAGATTGAGTCTCGCCAAGCTCTCTCCGCCGACTTTCCCGACTCCTACTTCTCGTGTTTCCGCGTCCGTTGGGACAACGGCGAGTACGAGCGTATGAGCCCCTGGGACATGGAACCGATCGACCAGGAACGTGTCCCCGACGAAGTGGGTGGTGCGGTTCCCGTCCTGCCCGAAGAAATCCGTGCCACACTATATCAGCCCAAGTCTGAGGAGTGGCATCGCGGTGATCGCGATGGAACTTGCCGGAGGATCATCAACGGCTTGGAGCAGGTGAGTTGTTTTGGTTTTAGTCAGTAACCCCTAGCTAATATTGTCATTTCATGAAAGGTAATGCGTCTGTCCATCGCCGAGCACTTCTTGGCCCCCGTCGACCTCAATATTTATCCAGACTACGCCTATTTGGTCGAGTACCCCATCGACCTAACCACCGTAAAGTCACGGTTTGAGAACCACTTTTACCGCCGCATCACCTCAGCACAGTTCGATGTGCGCTACCTGGCCACCAATGCAGAGCAGTACAACCGCCGGCACACGATTATTGTAAAGCATGCTCGGATCGTCACCGATCTCTGCCTGCGAATCATCAGGTGAGCTACAAAGAGGAGCAACTAGGGACATGGTTTTGACTCTGTATTTGAATCTTTACAGGGAAGCGGATGAGATTGACGTGGCTGCCGTTTACCATCAGTTGGTGGACGTGTATCACTCATCCGAGTCGGAGAATGAGGCAGACTCGGATGTTGTTCCGTCCACCAGCACTGGGCCAACCACCTCGGCAGCTGCAGCGGCAGCCAGGCAACGAGTCTCCTCCACCAGACGGTGAGAATGTTTTATAAAAATTCCAAAAAAAGTACAATAATAAATGGCTTTATTTTAGTTCCACGCGGACCCACTCCGAGGGAGACTGGCGAGCCGACTGCCGGCAGTTACTGGATGTGATGTGGGCCAGGCCAGACTCACTGCCCTTCCGGGAGCCTGTGGACACCATAGAGTTTCCCGATTATTTGGAAATCATCGCCACGCCGATGGACCTGCGCACAGTTAAGGAGGATCTGCTGGGTGGGAACTACGATGATCCGCTGGACTTTGCCAAGGATGTGCGACTGATATTTCAGAACTCGAAGAACTACAACACCAACAAGCGCTCGCGGGTGAGTGGAGTGATTGGAGCTTGCAGATGATTGGCAGATCGGTTACAGATCGTCATTTGTTGCATTCCCAGACTCGAGTCGTGAGTCGCGAGTCTCGAGATCGGCTTCGCTCTCATTTAGTGCTTGATTTAGTTTTGATGCTTAGTTTGTTGACCACACCCATGCCACACCCACCACATCTAACATGAACGCAAGCTCATCCATCTGTTCTTTACTTTTCTTTTGCCTTCCGTGAACGTGTCTTCGATCTTGACCTTCATCCCAACTCATAACCATCAAAATCGAACCAAACCAAAAAAATCGAATAACAAAAATAACCCATCGACCATTTCGATCAAAATAACTAACCAAATGAATGACGATCTCGGTGACTATCATCTAATATAGGATAATATAGCGGTAAGGTTGATCCTTTCTCCCATGCTTGGGGTACTACTAACCACTTTCCTGTAGAGCTCCTTGAAGGGCTTAGCGAAGGTTCTCTCCAACCTCTGCTAAGCCTTGGATGTTAAGAAATACTTCCTACAAATGTGGAATAATTTATTTAATAGCTATCCCCCTTTCTTTCAGATCTATTCAATGACCCTGCGCCTGAGCGCCCTCTTCGAGTCTCATATCAAGACTGTGGTCACCAACTGGAAGGCGGCCAGAAGACGCGCAAATAAGAACAAGTCGGGCAGCAGCGGTGGTGGTGGGCGAGGCGGTGGCTCCAGTACCAGTCCCCCCAAGAGGACAAGAAACGAACGCTCCACTCGCCGCAACCAGAAGCCACCGGCGGCCGCCAGAAGATTGCCATTGCCGCATTCTAGCGACGATGAGGATGACGACGACGATGACAATGATGAGGAGGCTTCGGCTACCAGAGCGCCACGATCCCGCCGACGCAATGGAGTGGCAGTAGCTGCTAGCTCCTCCAGCTCCAATCGGGTGACTTCCTCCTCATCCACTGCCAACCAACAGCGGCGTCACCAGATCAGCAGTAGTGAGGAAGAAGAGGAGGAGGAAGAGGACGATGAGTCCAGCAGCAGCAGCGACGACGATGAGGATGAGGAGGAGGCTCACTCCCATGCAAGTTCCCCGCAGCAGGCACGCCCTCGAAGAGGCAGACAACGTCAGCGCCTAAGCGACGAGGACGAGGACTCCGAGGAGAGCTACAACCCCCAGAAGCGCAAGTCCAGCAACCGTAATAGAAGCCGAAACGGTCACTCGAGCAAGCGACGACGCCTAGACAAGAGTCCAGCTGCCACGAATGGGTCCAGTGGGTCCGGAACAACCCGGCGCACCCGCCGCTTAGCGGGCAGCTCCGAGGAGACTGCCTCCCATTCCCAGCATGACGAAAGTACCCAAGACAGTCAGACGGGACGGCGAAAAGGTCGCTCGGCAAAGAACAGCCGATCCCAGCCGGTTGGGAATGGACCCAGTACCAGTGCCGCTGCGGCTGCCAGTGCCAGCTCCTTCAGCCAAGCGAGTCCTTTGCGCAACACCCGCGCCAATGGAGGCAGATCCCACAATGCGGCGGAAAACGATCACAGCTATCACCTACCAGCTCGCAGCGGCAGAATCATTGAGTCGGATACGGAATCGTATCTATCCAGAAGACCCACGCGCCAAAGCGCTAAGCGGGCGCTTCTCGATTGGGGGCGTGGCAGCGACATCGAGGACGAGGAAAGTGAGGAGGCGGAAGAGGTAAGTCCACGATCTTTCATCTAGTCCATGATTAATCGGTTATTCCGTTTCAGATCCTACCGACGCCCACGAAGGACGATGTGCCCTCAACAAGTAGAGCTGCTCTAGCCCAAGCCGGAGGCTCTGGAGTTGTTCGTCAACTGCGCACCAACCGGAACACTGTGGTCCGTCCCGTTCAGAGCGACGACGAGGACGACAGTGACAACGAGCCGCTGGCCAATAACCAGCAAAGTGAGTGGGACGAGTCTTGAAACCACTTTTGGTCAACTAATCACATTGATTCCCACTTTAGGAACTGTCCCATCACCTGCAAAAACAAGCTCAACGTCCGCGGCACCACATCCACTGAGCCTGCGCCGCCGACTTCCCTCGCCACCCCTGCGGAGCACCCACATGACGCGCTCTCATGCCACCTCAACTACAACTTCTGCCAGCCAGGGGCAGCAGCCCACTGTGTCCACCCATGACCACAGCTACCTGGCCACTGCCAGTTCTGCGGCGCGCGCCCCCCGACGTGTTCTGTCCCGACATCAGCGCAATGCAGACGAGCTGGACACCAGCCTGGACCCATTGGAGAGCTCACGCCTGCTCTCAGCCATAAGCAACCACCGGCGACCCACCTCCACCACGAATAGCAATAGTACTAGTAACAGTAATGTGGTCACACGACGTCTGCGTGGGCGCAGAAGTCAGGCCAACTCTCAAGACGAGGATCAGGAAGAGCCAGAGGAGGAGGAGGCAGCTGCCAGCGACGAGGGTACCGACGGGGGCTCTAATTCGCGAACCTACGAGGAAGAGGGAGAGAACGACTCTGAAGACGATTCCGAAGACGATCAGCCGCTGACCAGCTACGTCTCCACCAACAATGGGCGATCTTCACGAAAGGCGAAAACTACCTCATCCTCCTCCTCCAATACGCGCCCGCTCCGGAGCAACCGACGCCCACCCTCCGCTCAGTCATTCGTCAACGATGACGAGGAGGATGAGGATTACGTGGGAACACGTAGTCGGCGAAACAATCGCAGAGGCACTCAGCGAAGTGGCCGGAATCAGAAAAGACCGAGATACAATGAGGAATCCGAGGAGGAGGAGGATGCAGGCCCATATCGGAGGAAGAGAGTCCGAAACGGCAATGCTCATGCCAGCTCCCAGGAGAGATCGCAGCCGGAGCCGGAACCGGAGGAGGAGGAGGAGGACGACGACGAAGGAGATAGCTCAGTGGACAGCGATTACAGCGAACAGAAGGTGAGCGTGAGCAGCCGGGGAAGAGTGCGCAAGATTTCGGCCAAGGCGCGCAGCATCTTCAAGGAGTGACCCTAGACTGTTTTATGTATAAATTAAATCTAAACGAGGATAACCTTTGCTAGAGTCGCTTTCTTATTATTGATTAATGTGTAAGAGTATGAACCACGTCACTTGTCATTGTCATCGCGAATACCCACACCCACACACAGCCCATCCCGATTGGCATCCGTAGATTTAAGCAGAAAGAGTGTTCGTTTCGCGTGTTCTCGTGTTTTATCCATATCCATATCCATCAGAATATTTTTTGATTATATTGTTCAAGTCTTGCGTTGATCGGCGGCGACAGCGATCCTACATAGTGTGTGTAGGACGCGTCGCTCTGACCGAGCAACAGTTCTACATGTATTTCTACTCCAATATATAGGTACTACTATACATATATATTAGAAAGGTAGCACTCGGAATCACACTTCATTTAAAATAGTTTTAGAATAAAGTATCAAGAAAACACACTAACTTTTTTGCCTTAATCTAAGAATCTATGAAATTTTTACAATCTAGAGGGCTTTCGAACGAATCTACTTGACCGCCATGGTGTAGTTCTTGACCCACTCCTCTGCCTGTTGCTTCACCTTGGCCACCGTGGCCTCCGTGCCGTGGCTCTCCTCCAGCTGCAGGTATTTCTTGTAGATCACTTGCATCTTGTTAGGCTTCAGCTTCTGCAGCACTGCGCGCTCCAAGACATTTCTGCAGGAACAAGGATACAAGGATATTAGTTTTAAACACCTATATTTCACTAAGTATCTCACCTGGCGGAGTCGATGAGCCCAGCCTTGATCAACATGTCCACGTAAACCGACCAGATATCTATTCGCTTTGGATAAGAGGTGACCACGTCGTCGAGCAGCGTCTGTGCCATGTCGTTGGCATCGTTTCGGGCATACAATTTGGCAAAGGAAACAATGCAGCTAATGTCTGGAATCATAAAGGATGAAGTCTTAGTTACTTCCAAGGATGAGAATCCAGAAACTTACGTTCTTGGTTGGGCAGCACTTTCAAGGCTCTTTGTAGGAGGCTGTGCACCTGGTCGGACTTTCCCAGCCAGAAGTAGGACTCGGCCACCAAGGGCCATATCCTCGCCTGCGATTTGAACTTGTTGAGGATGGTGGTCAGAGTCGAGGAGAGGCGCTCCCTCTGCTTGTTCTTCTTCAGGATGTCCACCACGCATATGTAGATCTCTAGAGGATCATTGCACTTGAGGGCTTCCTTCAGCACCTCATCGAAGTTGCTGCCGTAGGCAAGCTCCATGTTGAGCAGAGCGCTCCACACGTTCCTCAGCTCCTGGGTTTCTCGGAAGGATATCGTGGAAATGGCCCTCCTCGCCAGATCGCGAGCCTTTTCGATCTCCGTGTTGGACAGCAGGAAGGCGATGTACTTCAGCCACGATATGCTGTTGTTCGGCTGGGCAATGACCAGGCGCTCGTACTGATCGATGGTCTCCAGCCGAGCCTTGGGGTCGGCATTCCGCTCCTCGATTTCCCGCAACCGCTGCTCCTCCTTGACCTCCGCCTTGGCCTTCTCCTTGGCACTCAGTCGCTTCTTCTTAGCTGGCTGTGCCTCTGCTGCATCTTGATCCTCATCCTCGTCGCTGGAGTTGGTCTTAGCCTGGTTGGGATCGCTCTCCCAGAAGCTAGACACGCCCGGCATTCGCTTTTTCGTGTCAGTTCCATTGGTCTTTGGGGTTTCCTGCTTGACCTTCTTGGCCGGAGCTTTATCCTCGAAAAACAACTGTCCATTCTGCTTGGCCGTCTCTCGCGCCTTTCCATTGGTCAGAGGTTGGTTCTTCTTTTGGCCATTGGTTATGGTGGGTGTGGCAGTTTCTGCAGCCTTTTTCTTCTTCTTAGCTGAAGGCTCCTCCGGCTTAGGTTTCTTTTTCGCTTCATCGGTTTTCGCTTTCTTCGGAGGAGTCTCCACTGTTAGTTTCGCTTTCTTTGGAGGAGTCTCTACTTCTAGTTTCGCTTTCTTTGGGGGAGACTCCACTTCTAGTTTCGCTTTCTTGGCTTTCACTGCCGGCTCCTCTGCGTTAGATCGCTTGGCTCCCCTCCACAGCCGCCACACATCCTCGGGCACAGCGATGAGCTGGTTGTCGTGGATGAAGGCAATGTTGCAGAAGTCACCCTGGCGGAGCCCAGCGCTGGCCGAGTTTTCAACATCGTTGGGATGCAGGCGCACCGGGCAGATGACCAACGGATTGATGCCCTTCTTCAGGGAGCACAACACAACGGACTCCAGCTTCAGCAGCACCTTCGCCTTCATGCCAGCCTTTCCGATCAGATTCTTGGGCAGATCCCCACCGGAGGATATGTGGTCAATGTCCACCTTCTTGTTGCTGATGAGCAAGACATCGCTAGAATAGTCGACCCACAGGACAACTGCCTGGTGCTTGCTGCCCAACGGAGGAGCAGTTGCCGATCCAGCCAGACTAGAGAGGACCAAGGCGCTGGTCTTCGAAGGACCCTCCACCGTGTAGACCCAGTCGTGGGACTCCGAGTTAATGCCCTGGAACACCACGCTGATCTTTTCGCCCACGGAGTACTTGGCAATGGGAGCCGAGATCTCCGCCAGGCCTGTCTTAATCTGGGCCACTTCATCCAGATATCTGGGGATGGGAAAAAATTAGAATCATTTTCAAAGAAAGTTTCCAATCGAAGTCCTACCTTTCCACCGATTTGGCAGTGTCCGTCAAGTCTCCACTCCACACATCCGTCAGCTTGGCGGACACTGTCAGGGTCTTAGTCTCAGGCTCCTTGCTCAGCACCTTCACCATCAGCAGCTGCTCCGGAACCAGCTCCACTGGCGTGTTTTTGACGGCATTCAGACGCAGCATCTTCACGTGGACCTTCACTGGCTTGTTGTAGTCCCTGACGGACACCATGAGGTCCACCACTTGATCGGTGGCGTTCTTGACATAGGAGCGAATGATGTCACCGACCTGGATCGACTTAAAGTCCTTCGTTATCTGACTACTGAAGTAGGCCACATCGCGCAAGCTGAAGATGTTCTGGACGATGCAGGCTGCCTCGGTGAGTGAGCCCACAGGGTGCACCCGGACCTGTGCCTGAAGGAGCTCCAAGTGATCGGAGAGCAACCTCAGAGGGATGAGGCCCACAAACTCCTCCGTTTTCGGAAGGCCCTCCTCGTCGTCCTCCTTGTCGTCGGCGGCGTAGGTTATTTTAATCTCCAATCCAGCATCCAGGGCGTTCGTTATCTCCACCGGGCAGATCTCTCCCAGCTGGAACTTGTCCTCCGGCAGGGTCAGCGTTATCTTGTCCTTGTTTCTGCTCAGAATGCGGAACTTGGTGGTCTGGCCCTCAAAGAAGGAGCTCTGGGCCTTCAGGTTCTTCCTATAGAGTATTCCCTCAATGCCATTTCCAAACTTCACCAAAACGAAGCTGTCATCGCAACGGACAACGGTTCCCGTGTAGACATTGCCCACCTGGGCGGAGCTCAGGTCGGTTAGCAGCTTCAATCCCTTGTCCAAGTACTCGGTGCGGTTGCTCAGGTAGCAGATCCTGCGCTCGGAGTTTACCTCCAGAACGCGGCACCGCAACGGCTGGCCAACCTCGTACCGGACATTCGGTGCCAGGTATACCTGTTCCAGGCTGGCGGTCACCTTGCCGATCTTCAGGGTCCAGCCGTTGATCTTCTCGTTCTTTTTCACAATCTTCGCGGTGACGATGTCGCCAGTGTTTACGTCCGTCAGGCTGAAGACCTTCTCGTCCACCACGTTCGGTGCGTCGGAGCAGTAGTACATGGATTCGATGACGTCGTAGCCCAGGATGCGCACCTTGTGCTTCGTTTTGCGCCCGTACTTGGACAGCACTTCGTCCTTGTCGTAGTTGCCCTTGTAGTTGGACCGAATGGACTTGAAGGATATGATGCCTTTCAGCTTCTTGTTGAGGAGCAGAACTACGCCACCGCTGCCCAGGCGAAGCACCTTTGCCTTCTCCACCACTGATCCGACTTGGATGGGTTCTACCTCCTCATCACCCTCCTCTTCGATCCCTGTTTCCGGATCTGGCTTAATGTCCAGATTGAGGGTTAAGTACACCAGTTTGGTGAGCGGCATCACGTACAGCACCCTGGCGTAGTAGTCCTGGTTGACCTCATAGGCCTCTAAGGCATCTAGCGGAGTGGCCAGATGGTGCTCGTTAATATAGGCGGCAAAGGACTCGTTCATAATGCTGCCCTTAAGGCCATCCTTTAAGTGCTTGCTCACTTTAAACCGCACGATGCTGCCGGGGAGGATGTAGTCCAGATTCGATTCGTTCTGGCTCTTGATTTTTATTTGGCTCTGCTCCACCAGGACGCAGGTGGCGGTGCTCTTGTGGGTGTCGTGTTGGATCTGCTGCACTTTAATAAAAGCCAACTGACCCACGTGAAGCGTTTGCTTCGACTCCTCGCAGGCCACAAAAGCCTGCAGTCCCTGCACTCCCGTCTCGATCACGTAGCCGTGCTCCTGGATCTCCTCGATGGCTCCGGAGAAGATGAATCCCTTCTTGATGTTCTTGTGATGAAGATTGGAGTGGACCTCCGATGGCTTCAGAGAGAGTAACAAGGTGGTGCGGTTTCCGTTCAGATTTTCGGTCTTGATGGCTCGCCCGTAGACTATCCGGCCCGGCTCGAACAGATCCGTAAGGTCATGGTAATCACTGGTGTCCCCGGACATTGCCGCTTTCGCAACTCTCGTATAGGCCTCCGATATATCCGCCACCAAAGTGCGTGCAAACATCCTCCCAGGCAAGGCCACCTGGAGGGCGGTGGGGGTGACTCCCTTGACCACTCCCATGACCAGCATGTCCTCCTGCAGGGTGTCCATGTTGAGGGTCTCCGCGGAGAAGGCCTCCAGCTGCTCGTTAACGGGCTCATCGCCAAGATCCAACAGGTTGTCCTTTGGTTTTGAAGACTTTTTCACCTTCTTTTGCGACGCACCGAAAACCTAAGAGGGAAAAATATGAGCTACGCTTTTCTTGAGCACTTCCCCGCCAAAAACTTACAATATTTGAATTATTGTCGGCGGTCTTGGCGTCTGTGTGTATTGTCCCTCCGCGGGGAAAGCTTTTTTCATTGGGAACCATGGCTAAAATGATTAATTCAGCGCTTTAGAAATATAAATTAAGCAACGTGCGTAGCTAGCTACACGTGCTGAAGAAATAAATGCATGGACAGTGTTGGAAAACGTTCTAAATAGCAGATTGTGGGTGGATTTCAGAAATTCAAATTTTAAATGCTTGAATCATTTTAAAAAACTATATTCATTTTCATATATTTTATGTATATATAATATAACTGAATATATTTATATATCTTCAGGATAATTTTCTTTTTTTTAAGTTCATTTTAATGTTAGTTATGAAGAGTAATTTGAATTAATATTTATTTAGCAAATTTAGCAAAAACGTTTTGAAAAACAGTGCCCAAAACAGTATTATATAGTTCATACATATTTTTTTTTAAATTGATCTTCTGAATTTTCTCAATAAAACTATAAAATAGTCGAAATAAATGTTTTATATATCTTGCAAATTTACAATTTTATAAGGCGCGATTTTAAACAGTGTTGGAAAGAGCGCAAATTCAACAGAGCTGATAACAAACCATCCAGGTCATGCAGAATCTCTCGTGTATCGCCTCTTTACTGCGGCACACATGTGGAATTCCATCAATTTGAAAACAACTTGAACAAAATGCAAACTTTACGTGAATTTACGCGTAAAACCAAAAGGGGCAATATCCTAAAGATCGTGCGGGAGCACTATCTGCGAGATGACATCGGTTGCGGCTCCGAACTGTGCCGGAAATGCTTCCAGAACGAGGTGTACCAACTGACCTCCCAGCACGAGATTCAGTGCAGTCTCTTCAAGTTCCCGCACTACATCGTTTTGGACACAAATGTGGTGCTAGACCAGATTGATGTTCTGGAAGAGGATGTGCTGCGCAACGTCATCGTCCTGACAACGGTCCTGAACGAGGTGAAGCACAAGAGCTCCTCCATTTACAAGCGCTTTAACGAGATCGTCCATGACCGGACCAGGCATTTTTATGTTTTTGTCAACGAGCACCACAAGTGAGTAATGAATACCAAGATGCATATGTGTTAAATAGTAACCTTCTCCTACTATATTCTTCTCAAGGGACACCTATGCGGATCGCGAACCTGACGAAACCGCTAACGATCGCAATGATCGTGCCATTCGTTTGGCCACCAAATGGTACGACGACCATATCCGGGCATCCCAATCCTCCAAAGACCTGGATCGCACTGGAAAAACTGCCACGCGCGTTATTCTTCTCACAGACGATGCCGGAAATCGCGCCAAGGCTGAAGCGGAGGGTATTTTAGTGGCTTCTGCGTCGGAGTATGTCAAATCCTTGGAAGATTTCCCCCTTCTGGTGGATAAATTGTCCCACAAGTCCTTCGACAGCGAGAAGCAGGCCCTTCCCCAGTATCCAGCGCATCTTAGCATGAAAGAACTGCTAGAGGGTCTGCGTCAGAAGAAGCTGCTCCAAGGCGCTTTTCAGGCTTCCAGGGAGAACTACCTCGAAGGCAGCGTCAACGTAGAGTCTTTCGAGAAAGCGGTATGCAATGTAAAATAATTTAATTAGTTTTCATCAAACTAAAGCTCTTATGATCGTAGATCCTTATCCAAGGCCGCGAGGCACTAAACCGAGCTGTGGATGGAGACCTAGTAGCCGTTGAACTGCTTCCCGAAAGCGAATGGTCGGCCCCTAGTGAAATAGTTTTGGAGGAAAAAAACGTCTATGCCGACGATGTGCCCAGCGAAGAACGCGCCGAGCAGGAGAAAGATATGCTGCAGCAGGTCCAGGCAGCTTCAGCTGCCTCAACTGAGGAGCGCTCGCCGACGGGAAGGATTGTGGGAATTGTACGCCGCAAGTGGCGCCAGTACTGCGGTATTCTGCAACCTAGCCTCATACAGGACACTAACCGTCATATTTTTGTGCCGGCCGATCGAAAAATTCCCCGAATTCGAATTGAAACGCGACAGGCAGCCAAGCTGCAGAACCAGCGGATCATAGTCACCATCGATACATGGCCGAGAAACTCACGCTATCCCCACGGCCACTTTGTTCGGTCTCTGGGACCACTGGGTGATATGGCCACCGAGAATGAGGTAATCCTGCTGGAGCACGATGTACCGCATTGCAAGTTCTCGGAGGAGGTGCTGAGTTTTCTGCCCAAGATGCCCTGGACTATTACCGAAGAGGATTATGCTAAGCGTGTGGATTTGAGAGATTTGTACATCTGCTCCGTGGATCCGCCAGGTTGCACAGATATCGACGATGCTTTGCATTGTCGTGAACTGCCTAATGGAAACCTAGAGGTGGGTGTTCACATTGCTGATGTGAGCCACTTCATTCGACCCGGCAATGCGTTGGACAAGGAGGCAGCGGCAAGAGGAACCACTGTGTATCTAGTGGGAAAACGTATCGACATGGTTCCCGAGCTGCTAAGTTCGAACCTCTGCTCATTGGTTGGTGGCGTGGAACGCTTCGCCTTCTCTTGTGTGTGGGAGGTGGACCACGAGGCAAACGTGCTTAACAAGCGATTCCACAAGAGTGTCATCAAGTCCAAGCGGGCCATGACGTACGAAGAGGCCCAGGTTATGATTGACGACGCCGCGGATCAGGGCGAAATTGCCAAGTCACTGAGAAATCTTAACAAACTGGCTAAGATCTTGAAGAAACGTAGAATGGACAACGGGGCCTTAGTCCTAGCATCTCCTGAGATCCGCTTCCAGGTGGACAGCGAGACCCATGAGCCTCTTGAGGTGGAGGCCAAGCAGATGAGGGAAACCAACTCAATGGTGGAGGAGTTCATGTTGCTGGCAAACATCACGGTGGCGGAGCATATTGCAGCAGAGTTCACCGAGTGTGCTGTGCTGCGTCGTCATCCCAAACCTCCGCCCACAAACTTTGATCCATTGGTGAAAGCTGCCCGCTATCAAGGATTCCAAGTGAGTTTGTTTAACAATTTTCTTTCATACAAATTTTAAAAAAATTTTTAATTTTTTAGGTAGATACCGATTCCGGCTTGGAGCTGGCTCATTCGCTGGACAAGTGCGTCAAAGAGGATAACCCTTACTTTAATACCATGATTCGTATTCTCACTACGCGCTGTATGATGCAGGCGGTGTACTTCATTAGTGGAAGCCTCCAGAAGGATGAGTACTTCCATTATGGTCTAGCAGCTCCCATCTACACCCATTTCACCTCACCCATTCGTCGCTACTCCGACATCATGGTCCATCGGCTATTGGCTGCCTCCATTGGCGCCGATAGCACCTACGCCCAGCTGCTGGAGCGGAAATCCAATGAGGAACTGTGTCATAACCTTAACTATCGGCACAAGATGGCCCAATATGCAGGTCGCGCTTCGGTGGCCCTCAATACGCATCTCTTCTTCCGTGGAAAGGAGGAGGATGAGGAAGGGTAAGTTCTAAAAAGTTTATGATTAATAAATATTAAAATATTTTTTATTTCCAGTTATGTTCTCTTTGTACGTAAAAACGCACTGCAAGTACTCATTCCCAAGTACGGACTGGAGGGCACTCTGTACCTGAAGTCGGATAAGGATGGCAAGGACGGACTGGAGCGTATCAAGGCTGAAATTATATTCACCTTCAACGAGGAGGATCATACGCAGCGTTGCGGCAACTTTGTGTTCCATTCGTTCGACCCTGTAACAGTGCGACTCAGTCTGGATTCCAGCAATGTGCAGCACGAGAAACTCGTATTCCGGTTGGTCAAGCCCTACATTAAGGGTTTCAGTGTGGAGACCAAGGCCGATGATAAGGACAACCAAGCGCCACCGCCCTCCAAAAAATCAAAGAAGGATAAGAAGAAAAAGTAATTCTATTTTGTACCACTAAGTTGAGTTAGGTTAAGCCAATCAAATTTATAAACAAATTCATTTTAAATAAATGAAGTATTTTTTTAAAAGAAAACTCTCTTTTTCCAATCCCACCGTTCCTTCTGATTGTCTCTGAGAATTTCGAATTAAAACCTTTGATCGGGTATTTCTTAAAGGCTTGGCTTTTTTAGTTGCGTTCTACAATTTCCAGTGGCATTTCAAAGAATCGACTCCATTGTGACGGTTGTGTTTCGCTTGATTGTACGACTATTTATATAGGATATATATAGTGTTGATATCTTCAAGAGAATATAATAAGTTTGATAAAATACCATTGAAATAATCGAAGATTATAATGGAAATTGGTGCTAGTGCTGTGGATATGAGTTCCGAAAATAGTAAGTTTTGGAAAACGACTTCCGAATATATAAAAAAGCATGTGGATGTAATGGCATGACTTTAATGGAATAATTGAAATCCAGGTTGTATTTATTTTTGAGTATTTGAGTGACTTAAATAAAGAACCCAAAAGAAGCTTTAAATCAATTTTCAACTAAAACTTATAGACTCCCCTTTTAATATCCTCATCTTAAAGCTAAAAAAGAGGGTAAAACTTTCCCTAAAATATTGTTTAGACTGTGATATAATTGATTAAAGTTTAGTTTGCTTTCCAAGTAAAGTTTTCCAAAACAACACTCAATATTAATGATTCCGATTAACTTATGCAAGACGTAGGCTTCCAGGGTCCAACTTCCAGCCAGAATGACGTGTGCCTTATGCTCCGGCGGCGTCTGGTTCTCGGGCACATATATACTTATCCATGTACTAAATGGGCTTACAGAAATCAGTTGAGTGACCGCGACATTTAGAAAATTTAAAATTCAATTTCGCCTCAATGGCGTAGGTTGGTGGTGTTGTAATTTAGTTTAGCCGCCTAATTTAATGCAGTACTCGGCTCGGCTAGTGGGAACAATGAACTCGTCTAATTGATGGTCACCTTTTCGCAGGCGAAAACATCTGCGGCATGCCCGTCGACTCGCACGATCCCCTGTACCTGGAAGCCTATCGCAAGAGTGTCCAGGATCCAGTGGCCTTTTGGGAGGAGCAAGCTCAACTCCTCGACTGGGACCGACCTTGGCAGCAGGTCCTGGACAACAGCAATCCTCCTTTCACAAAGTGGTATGTGGGGGGCTACCTGAATGCCTGCTACAATGCAATCGATCGGCACATCCTTGCTGGCAGGGGCTCCAAGGTGGCCCTTATCCACGACAGCCCTATGACGGGAACAGTGCGCCGCGTCACCTACCAGGAGCTATACGACCAGATCGTCCTTCTAGCTGGTGGTCTAGCCAAATTGGGCGTCACCAAGGGAGACCGAGTTGTGATTTACATGCCTCTCATCCCAGAGACTATCATCGCTATGCTGGCCATCGTCCGGCTTGGCGCTATCCACTCCGTCGTCTTTGGAGGATTCGCTGCCAGGGAACTCTGTTCGCGAATCGAGCATGTGGAGCCCAAGCTGGTTATCGCCTCAAACGTGGGCGTGGAGCCGGGTAAGGTTGTTCCGTACCTGGACATCCTGCACTCGGCCATCAACATGTCGCGTTGGAAGCCGCCCCAGCGAAATATCATCTTCCACCGGGACATTTCTCCAGACACCACGAAACTAGATGAACAAGCCGATGTCCTCTGGTCAGATGTCCTGGCCATGTCCAAGAATGAGGCACCCATCGCTTGTGTGTCCATCGAAGCAAACGATCCACTCTACATCCTGTACACCTCTGGTACCACGGACAAGCCGAAGGGCGTCCTACGAACCATTGGAGGCCACCTAGTAGCCCTCATGTATACGCTGCGTACCATCTACGGAATAAATCCCGGCGACACCTGGTGGGCGGCCTCGGACATGGGCTGGGTGGTAGGCCACTCGTATATCTGCTATGGTCCACTCTGCTTGGGAGCCACCAGCGTCATGTACGAGGGAAAGCCGGACCGCACCCCGGATCCTGGGCAGTATTTCCGGTAAGTCCCAAAAAAATAATTCCTAAATTACTTATAAAGATTATAACCTTAATGAACCTTATCCCTAAATGCTGTAGGATAATCGACCAGTACAAGGTTCGTTCGATTTTCTCCGTGCCCACCTCATTCCGGGTAATCCGTCGCGCCGATCCGGACATCAGCTATGGTCGTCAGTATTCCACCAAGTCTCTGCGAGCTATTTTCATTGCCGGCGAACATTGTGATTACGAGACTAAGGCGTGGATTGAGAAGACCTTCAAGGTTCCGGTACTGAATCATTGGTGGCAGACGGAAACTGGATCTGCGGTGACTGCCACCTGTCTGGGCTACCAGCAGAATCTTAGTCCACCCACATATTCCACGGGCCTGCCCCTCATGGGCTACGACAGTGAGTGATGCTCTAGATAGGTTGGCTGATGAAGTCTTTCAAGCCCTAGGTCATCTCTCTTGCAGTTAAAATCCTGAAACCGGATGGTTGTGAGGCCCTGCCGACAGAGCTTGGAAGGATTGTCCTGAAATTGCCCCTGCCCCCCGGAAATATGGCCACTTTATACAAGAACGAGGAGCTATATCGTAAACTTTACTTTCAGAAATACCCGGTAAGTGATGAGGAATTATTTTTAAAAGAAAGTTTGAATGGATTAAAGAGCCCCCTATTTAGGGCTACTACGACACCATGGATGCTGGTTACAAGGACGAACGTGGCTATATCTTTGTCACGGCTCGCGATGATGATGTTATCAACGTTGCTGGACATCGCTTGTCCACCTCCAGTTTGGAAGATGCCGTTCTCCGACACCCCGACGTAGTTGATGTGGCTGTGTTTGGAGTACCCGAGGCGACAAAGGGTCAGGTGCCACTGTGCTTGTACATTCCCGTGGAGAACTGCAAAAAAACGGACGCCAAGCTATCGGCGGAGATAATCAAACTAATCCGGGATGTGGTGGGACCCATTGCCGCCTTCCGACTAATCACCTCCGTGAACAACCTGCCCCGCACCCGCTCCGGCAAGACGATGCGCAAGGCGATGGCGGACTTTGCCCGCAACGAAAAGGTTGTCCTGCCAGCCACCATCGATGATGCCAGTGTCTTCACCGAGATCCGACGGGCTCTCCAGCAGCTCGGCTACGCGATGACCGCTCCGGAACCCATTGTGGCCAAGTTGCTGGACTGAAGAGGTTCTCCATATTTGGTTTCTAATTAGTTTGTACAACGATCCTCATGAGTGAAATAAAGTTTAAATAAATGTTTCTGGGTATTTTCCTCCCGTTAGTTGTTAAGTTGCGTAGGCCGGCGAAAATAATTTAAATGTTAATCGTTGGGCACTACTAACTATATATATGTATGACCTATTCCACTTTTCTCCCTTCGCCACTGACACTATTCGCATACAACTGAAACCCAATCAGTTTATTCAAATTTTGTGCAAATTTCGTGATACATTGTTCGTACGGCGACGCGTGTTAGCCTCTTTTTCCGCCACTCTCGATTTTCCCTCGGATTGTGCCACATATGGCACACTCATTGCATTATTTGGCCGGATTTGTCCACATCAAAGATGACAGCAAATGGCAGCTGAATGTAACTCAATTAGTGGGCGTTGTGGTAATGCACTGGCCACAGTGGAGAGGCTAGATGGGGAATTATGACTATCAGGAACAGGGGTTACTTTACTTACTTTAGTATTTTGATATTTAATAATAAAAAAATGATATAATTTTTTAATATTTGTGATACGCAAATTCACATAATATAGAACCTGTCTTAGATCCATCTTAATAGCTACTGATAGTTTTAATACATTTATAAACCGAACTTGAGGTTTCAAAATATGAATCCCACTAGATAAAGATATTTAATAAATGTCTATATATTTAAAATATATTTATGATTTATTGTAGAGCTTCCAAAACATCCCACAGCCTCTTACATTTTTGCAGCCGAATCCATTAGTCTTACTAACGACATAAAAGAGAAACAAATTAGATTTACTTATTGGTTAATTCAAAGTCTCGACCATTGCTCAATTTGCATCTCCCTTCATGGAAATGCCCTCTGAAAAGATTCTGACGTCACAGTCAAAATTCTCAAGACACTTTTGCATTCCAACCACGAACAGATTCAAATTAATTGCAACGCTTCGCCTGCAAATCCCAGCATCATAAATCGAAGATTACTCTGCTCCCGGACTGGAGTGCAGCTGGCGGGACAAGGACTTTAAACTTTCAGCTTAAAGCCACTCCGTGGGAGTGACCGTAAACAGGAAATGGCCCGTAAGTGGAGTATTAATCGTTGTAACTACCTATAAATATGTGGTGGCTTCGACCACTGATCATAAAAGAGCAACTTTTACAACATAATTAAGAGCTGATAAACTTATATAATAGACAAACATATTGGGCAACTCGATGGGATCCAGGAGAAAGTTTACCCAGAACACACAGCTAGCGCCGCATCGTGCTCTGGTCGGTGTCGGTGGCGTATGAGCAATGTTTGAGCACGCCCACCAAGTATCCAGCCAGGAGCGCAACATGTGGTCCCCTGACTACTGTCTCTTTGTTCGTGTGAATCCTGCTTGTGTCGGTGTGTGTTTCCAGCCAGCCAATCGCAGGGCACCGTGCCTTCTGGGCTCTTCCTCGACGGAAGTAAATAAAAGCGGATGTCCTGTGCAGGCAGGACATCATTCAAGTTCTTGCGTTCAACAAGTTCAAGTAACTAGTGCAGCAAACTAACTTTTTGTAACAATTTCTTCCCGGAGACACTCTCATATCCCAAAAACCTTATCAGGTGTGTAGTATATGAATTATGGTTGTTTTATTTAGTAAAAAGTGTTTAGAATTTGGTGTTTTTTTGTGAATTAAATATTAATGGAAGATCTTAAAATATTATGCTTTTAGTCATAAAGTGTTTAAAATATTATGCTTATAGTCATATAGTGTTTAACTAAATCAACATTTTTAAAAAGACTAGTTCATGTTTTTGTTCTTCAAAATTATTAGGTTTCTTTCTAATGCGGATATTTAAGAAAATAGCTTTACTAACTTCTGCTTGTTTTTTTTAATATTTGTGGAAATTATTCAAACATAAGGAAAGGATATTGTCCGACTAATCGGAATCTAGTTAGAACTGATTAATTTAAAATATGTTATCCATCTTCCATGCTTTAAGCATGCAATTGCGTCTAATTTGCATTCAGTGCACACTAGTTGAGTCTGAAACAGGACAAAGCTGTTTCCTGGATCCCTGGAACGTGCCCTTTGGGTTCTCTGAAATGGCCCGTTGCCCCCACTTCCTGACAATAGGTTGCCGTTGTCAATAGGTTGCTTATAAGCCAAATAGATGCATGGGTGACACGTTCGCATGCACGGCCCCTTCTCGTACAGGTGTTTGTATGCCAACTGCATTTGGTTGTCGGCACACGGGGCGTATGGGGAGTGTAAGCCCATCAACGTCACTCAGGTGGGAAGGATCGGCACAGATTACCATAGCCTCAGGCCGTTAATAGAAACAAATTGCTTGCCGCGTAAACATATTAGGGCAGCATTAAGGATAAATGGGGTGGGATTTAAAATGGAAACTTGGCCACCAGCCTGCAACAGAGCAGAACTCCATTTATGCATAATACTTTGCCATGGCTACGCTGTTGGAAGCGAGTGGCAATCAGGCACGTAGCATTAGGATCATTACACTTAATCAAAATTAGTTGAGCCAGAACGATGAGTGGCCCTCCAGCCAGGATGAGTAAGGAGAGACTTCCCTAGCTTTCGACTGCTGTTCCTGATAATCTAATAAGCTTGTCACCAGTCAGCGATGTCAATTATCCTTAGAGCTCCCCGTCCTACTACCATTCCACCTTCATGTCTTGCAGCATGTCCTTCGCACAGTTCTTTGTTGCCTGCTGCCTGGCCGTTATCCTGCTGGCTGTGGCCAATACACAGGCAGCGAACCAGGCTCCTCCGCTTTGCCAGGTCGGCATTGTCGACGAGATGCCCCAGCACATCAGGAAGGTCTGCCAGGCTCTGGAGAATTCGGATCAATTGAGTTCGGCCCTAAAATCTTACATCAACAACGAGGCTTCAGGTACGTCCAAGTTTAAGCAAAAGGATATCGATTTTAGGATTTCATTTATCCCTCAGCTCTTGTGGCCAACTCTGATGACCTTCTGAAGAATTACAACAAGCGTACAGACGTCGATCATGTCTTTTTGCGATTCGGCAAACGGCGTTAAGGATATGCTTCCTGATGGATCCCTTGCTAAATGATTTCACGGACGAACCCACGACACAGGACCTTGATCAACGAGCGGCGAAAAGCGTTTTTGTTCACCAAGCACAACCCAATTCTGGCGTCTTCAGCATAATTATGTAAATCTAATCAATGGAAACTCAGAACTATACTCAATTGGAAGCTCTCTAGTTCATTAAATAGCAAATCGATGTGTCCAATGTTTCTATAAAAATTCACACACAATTGTACATATTCAAAGACCCCCGAAATGTACTAACAAAACTTGATTTAAATATTTGTGTTTTTTAATGTTATACAAACACAGCAAAGTAAATAATGTAAATGTATTGGTAAATTCAAAAATATCTCAAATATATTTCCCTAGCATGAAGCATTATTATAAAATATCCAAAAAATATGTTCAAGTTTATAAAATTACTTCCGATTAAATTTTTAATAAAGACAAACTTTTCCTCTCAATAAGTGAATGCATGGCAAAATGCAATATAATATGGTTTATCTGGTTTTTGGGCAGATTTTATAACCTTCCAGAGTGTATTATAATTTTGGTCAAAAATCGGAGAATCGGATGGGAATTGGGAAAGATATAGACATCACTGTGGACCATATAGGGAAAACCCCATTTTCAAGGGATCCCATCACGAAAAATGGACAAAAAGTCTAAAAAATATTTTGTCTCAGGATATTGATGCAGAATGGTGGGGAATCGATCCAGAAATCGTTTAAGGTACTCCGCTTGAGAATCGGATGAGAATTGGGGAAGATACAGCCATCACTGTGGTCCATATAGGGGAAAACCCCATTTTCAGGGGACCTCATCACGAAAAAGGGACAAAAAATGTATTAAATATTTTGTCTCAGGATTTTGATGCAGAATGGTGGGGAATCGATCCAGAAATCGTTTAAGGTACTCCGCTTGAGAATCGGATGGGAATTGGGAAAGATATAGCCATCACTGTGGGTCATATAGGGAAAACCCCATTATCAAGGGATCACATCACGAAAAATGGACAAAAAATCTAAAAAATATTTTGTCTCAGGATTTTGATGCAGAACGGCGGAGAATCAATCCAGAAATCGTTTAAGGTACTCCGCTTGAGAATCGGATGGGAATTGGGAAAGATATACCCATCAGTGTGGGCCATATAGGGGAAAACCCCATTTTCAGGGGACCCCATCACGAAAAAGGGACAAAAAATGTATTAAATATTTTGTCTCAGGATTTTGATGCAGAATGGCGGAGAATCGATCCAGAAATCGTTTGAGGTACTCCGCTTGAGAATCGGATGAGAATTGGGGAAGATATAGCCATCACTGTGGGCCATATAGGGAAAACCCCATTTTCAAGGGATCACATCACGAAAAAGGGACAAAAAATCTAAAAAATATTTTGTCTCAGGATTTTGATGCAGAATGGCGGAGAATCGATCCAGAAATCGTTAAAGGCACTCCGCTTGAGAATCGGATGAGAATTAGAGAAGATATAGCCATCACTGTGGGCCATATAGGGAAAACCCCATTTTCAAGGGATCACATCACGAAAAAGGGACAAAAAATCTAAGAAATATTTTGTCTCAGGATTTTGATGCAGAATGGCGGAGAATCGATCCAGAAATCGTTTGAGGTACTCCGCTTGAGAATCGGATGGGAATTGGGGAAGATATAGCCATCACTGTGGTCCCTATAGGGAAAAATCCCATTTTCAAGGGATCACATCACGAAAAAGGGACAAAAAATCTAAAAAATATTTTGTCTCAGGATTTTGATGCAGAATGGCGGAGAATCGATCCAAAAATCGTTAAAGGTACTCCGCTTGAGAATCGGATGAGAATTAGAGAAGATATAGCCATCACTGTGGGCCATATAGGGAAAACCCCATTTTCAAGGGATCACATCACGAAAAAGGGACAAAAAATCTAAAAAATATTTTGTCTCAGGATTTTGATGCAGAATGGCGGAGAATCGATCCAGAAATCGTTTGAGGTACTCCGCTTGAGAATCGGATGGGAATTGGGGAAGATATAGCCATCACTGTGGTCCCTATAGGGAAAAATCCCATTTTCAAGGGATCACATCACGAAAAAGGGACAAAAAATCTAAAAAATATTTTGTCTCAGGATTTTGATGCAGAATGGCGGAGAATCGATCCAGAAATCGTTTAAGGTACTCCGCTTGAGAATCGGATGAGAATTAGAGAAGATATAGCCATCACTGTGGGCCATATAGGGAAAACCCCATTTTCAAGGGATCACATCACGAAAAAGGGACAAAAAATCTAAAAAATATTTTGTCTCAGGATTTTGATGCAGAATGGTGCAGAATCAATGTAGAAATTGTTTAAGGTACTCCGCTTGAGAATCGGATGGGAATTGGGAAAGATAAAGCCATCACTGTGGGCCATATAGGGGAAAACCCCATTTTCAAGGGATCCTTTCACAAAAAATGGACAAAAAATCTAAAAAATATTTTGTCTCAGGATTTTGATGCAGAATGGTGGGGAATCGATCCAGAAATCGTTTAAGGTACTCCGCTTGAGAATCGGATGGGAATTGGGAAGCATATAGCTATCACTGTGGGCCATATAGGGGAAAACCCCATTTTCAAGGGATCCCATCACGAAAAATGGACAAAAAATCTAAAAAATATTTTGTCTCAGGATTTTGATGCAGAATGGTGGGGAATCGATCCAGAAATGGTTTAAGGTACTCCGCTTGAGAATCGGCGAAGATATAGCTATCGCTGTGGACCTTATAGGGAAAAACCCCATTTTTAAGGGAACCCATCACGAAAAAGGGACAAAAAATCTAAAAAATATTTTGTCTCAGGATTTTGATGCAGAATGGTGGGGAATCGATCCAGAAATCGTTTAAGGTACTCCTCTTGAGAATCGGATGGGAATTGGGGAAGATATAGCCATCACTGTGGTCCCTATAGGGAAAAATCCCATTTTCAAGGGATCACATCACGAAAAAGGGACAAAAAATCTAAAAAATATTTTGTCTCAGGATTTTGATGCAGAATGGCGGAGAATCGATCCAGAAATCGTTTAAGGTACTCCGCTTGAGAATCGGATGAGAATTAGAGAAGATATAGCCATCACTGTGGGCCATATAGGGAAAACCCCATTTTCAAGGGATCACATCACGAAAAAGGGACAAAAAATCTAAAAAATATTTTGTCTCAGGATTTTGATGCAGAATGGTGCAGAATCAATGTAGAAATTGTTTAAGGTACTCCGCTTGAGAATCGGATGGGAATTGGGAAAGATAAAGCCATCACTGTGGGCCATATAGGGGAAAACCCCATTTTCAAGGGATCCTTTCACAAAAAATGGACAAAAAATCTAAAAAATATTTTGTCTCAGGATTTTGATGCAGAATGGCGGAGAATCGATCCAGAAATCGTTTAAGGTACTCCGCTTGAGAATCGGATGAGAATCGGCGAAGATATAGCTATCGCTGTGGACCTTATAGGGGAAAACCCCATTTTCAAGGGAACCCATCACGAAAAAGGGACAAAAAATCTAAAAAATATTTTGTCTTAGGATTTTGATGCAAAATGGTGGGGAATCGATCCAGAAATCGTTTAAGGTACTCCGCTTGAGAATCGGATGGGAATTGGGAAACATATAGCCATCACTGTGGGCCATATAGGGGAAAATCCCATTTTCAAGGGACCCCATCACGAAAAAGGGACAAAAAATCTAAAAAATATTTTGTCTCAGGATTTTGATGCAGAATGGTGGGGAATCGATCCAGAAATCGTTTAAGGTACTCCGCTTGAGAATCGGATGGGAATTGGGAAGCATATAGCTATCACTGTGGGCCATATAGGGAAAACCCCATTTTCAAGGGATCCCATCACGAAAAATGGACAAAAAATCTAAAAAATATTTTGTCTCAGGATTTTGATGCAGAATGGTGGGGAATCGATCCAGAAATGGTTTAAGGTACTCCGCTTGAGAATCGGCGAAGATATAGCTATCGCTGTGGACCTTATAGGGAAAAACCCCATTTTTAAGGGAACCCATCACGAAAAAGGGACAAAAAATCTAAAAAATATTTTGTCTCAGGATTTTGATGCAGAATGGTGGGGAATCGATCCAGAAATCGTTTAAGGTACTCCGCTAGAGAATCGGATGGGAATTGGGAAGCATATAGCCATCACTGTGGGCCCTATAGGGGAAAACCCCATTTTCAAGGGATTTTCACAAAAAATGGACAAAAAATCTAAAAAATATTTTGTCTCAGGATTTTGATGCAGAATGGCGGAGAATCGATCCAGAAATCGTTTAAGGTACTCCGCTTGAGAATCGGATGAGAATCGGCGAAGATATAGCTATCGCTGTGGACCTTATAGGGGAAAACCCCATTTTCAAGGGACCCCATCACGAAAAAGGGACAAAAAATCTAACAAATATTTTGTCTTAGGATTTTGATGCAAAATGGTGGGGAATCGATCCAGAAATCGTTTAAGGTACTCCGCTTAAGAATCGGATGGGAATTGAGAAAGATATAGCCATCAGTGTGGGCCATATAGGGGAAAACCCCATTTTCAAGGGATCCCATCACGAAAAATGAACAAAAAATCTAAAAAATATTTTGTCTCAGGATTTTGATGCAGAATGGTGGGGAATCGATCCAGAAATCGTTTAAGGTACTCCGCTTGAGAATCGGATGGGAATTGGGAAAGATATAGCCATCACTGTGGGCCATATAGGGGAAAATCCCATTTTCAAGGGACCCCATCACGAAAAAGGGACAAAAAATCTAAAAAATATTTTGTCTCAGGATTTTGATGCAGAATGGTGGGGAATCGATCTAAAAATCGTTTAAGGTACTCCGCTTGAGAATCGGATGGGAATTGAGAAAGATATAGCCATCACTGTGGGCCATATAGGGGAAAACCCCATTTTCAAGGGACCCCATCACGAAAAAGGGACAAAAAATCTAAAAAATATTTTGTCTCAGGATTTTGATGCAGAATGGTGCAGAATCAATGTAGAAATCGTTTAAGGTACTCCGCTTGAGAATCGGATGGGAATTGGGAAAGATAAAGCCATCACTGTGGGTCATATAGGGGAAAACCCCATTTTCAAGGGACCCCATCACGAAAAAGGGACAAAAAATCTAAAAAATATTTTGTCTCAGGATTTTGATGCAGAATGGTGGGGAATCGATCCAGAAATCGTTTAAGGTACTCCGCTTGAGAATCGGATGGGAATTGGGAAAGATATAGCCATCACTGTGGGCCATATAGGGGAAAACCCCATTTTCAAAGGATTGCATCACGATACAAGGATACAATTTGGATAAGGATCAGTTTACTATATGCCATATTTGCGATAAATATCCAATCTGAACCGAAAGAGGTATATCATTTCGGCTCTGCCCGAATTACCTCTTTTCTCGTGTTTTTAAATAACTATATAAAATAATACATAATTTTAAAATCCACAAGTTGTTTGGCACCTGTTCCAATAAAAGTCGGTATCTTTGTTTTATAATTTTTATTCAACATTCCTCAAAACGACTAAAAATGCTTTCAAAAATAAATTTAATTTTGAAAAAACTAATTTTTAAAGTTTTTAAAAGTTTACTTGAAACTCTGATGAAATGTATTTATTTTTAGGAATCAGAAATTTGTTGTAGATTATTTTAGAGACCTCAATTTAAAAAAATAATCATTATTCGGGATATCTATAAATACATATTTATTATTCCTATATTTTGAATCTCTGAAAGACGTTTTTAAAAAAATGTACTCTGAAAAATTGAAAAGTGTCTCAACCCATATTCAGCCCATCAGATTCGTTTACTCCAATTCATATATTAAAGACGTAATGAAATACATCTTTCGACTTTAGGATAAGTATTAAATGAGTTAATAGTTAATTAATTATTGTGCATATATTGTACAGTTGCAGTTGATTTAATATGTACTTCTGGAACATCGCCAAACGCTATTTCCTTTGGAAACTGTTGCAGATACTTTCGCTCCATTGGGATATATTTTCATATTCAATATTTGTTTTATCTTTTTGCTGAAAAAAATTATTAAAAGTTTCCATTTAATTGCATATTCAATTTAAATATTTGTTGCCATTTGTAAGTTTTTATTAAATTAATAAAAAATCAAACAAATAATAAACTAAGTTAAATCAAATTATTTGACACGAAAACATGAAATAATGCTGAACCGGGTTCTTCACGTTCTTAAAACTCCAAAGCGTGTAAATAAAAATATGATTTTATGCTCTAAAGAATAATTTTTTTAACTGATCTCTTTATAAGTCAGTAAATGCTTGCATTTTGATTTTCGGGTTATTTTTTTTTTTAAATTTTTGTTTGGGTTTCTTTTCATCATAAGTAATTTTTAGTCGCTTGTTTTTAGATTTCATTTTTGAAATATTTGTACTGTGACACAATTAACTTAAATGATTTTATCTTGTTCCTGTTCACGCAAATTTTTAACTCGCATCAGAGTCTAAAAACTACTAAATTAAAAACCGACGTTCTAACCTCTCACTATGTTTTTTTTGTTTAGAATTTTTGTTTAATTTTAATTTCAGGTATATCTTCTTGTTTGTACTTTGAGATGTCATCATTTCATATAAAATATTTTTCAGTCTTTTTCATTAAATCACTTCTGATATGTTCTCAGCATATCTCTTTCAACTTTTCTTAACCATAACAAATAAAATCATTTTAACATAAACGAAAATATATAAATAACATAAAAGTGCAACATTAAAAACAAAATATTTTATTAATTTAAAATCTCATTTTTTACTTGTTTTTTTTTTCGTGTTGTATAGTTTTTGGATTACCACCAATGACAAATCCATTCCTTCAGATTTGATAAGCGTTTACGCTATCATTTTGTTAATATTCATATCTCATTCCTGTAAAAAACAACTAGATTCTACAATTTATGTGGAAAATGCGGCAATAGGGCCGCCTTTTGCATTGATTTTTAGAACTCAACAGCTTTAAAAATATAAAAATGATTAATAGGGCTAATATCAAAAGACATTCTTAAATCAGACAAAAAATTTGACTAGGATATATAATTGCACAATAGTACAAGAAGCATGTTGAGCTCTTTATATTCTAAAGTTATTTTTTTGTTCAAGAATATTTTTGGCTTTTTTTTTTCTTAACTTACCAAAAGTTGTTAAAAATTATTTTTGCTTTTTGAAATTTTTTATCATTTTGTTTGGTTTCTAATTTTTGAGTAATCTTAACGTTTTACCTCAACCATTTTTACGTTTTCGAATTTTAAAATATAGCGCGACACTAATTTTTATTTTCGAATGACTGTTGTCGTTGAAACTTTCGAAACGTTTTTCTTCATTTTTTTTAAGACTTTCATGAGTGTTCTTCAGGTACATATGGCATTTAAGGCTTGCAGGTTATTTGTTCTTTGGGTTTTGAAGATCTTGTTAGATTGGCTTTTATCTCAGTACTTTGTTTATACTTAATTGTTTGGCAGTAGTTTCTTTCATTTGTCTCTCGTGTTACTATGATTTTTTGTTGCTTATAGCTTGCAGTGCTTCACGTTTCGTAAATATATTCAGTCTTGGGTGTTTTGCTTTTGTAATAATTCACTCATTATTTGATTTCGCTTCATTTTTTGTTTCTTAATTATTCGTTTTTAATCGATTGAATTTTTGGTTTAAACAAAATATTTGAAATAATATATGTACGTTTAAATAAGTTTAATCCATTAAACACATTTTTGAATATTATTTTATTGACTTTGATATTGGTTATGATTTTGCATCTTTTGCTAATATATTTCGTGTATTTCGTTATTGGTTTTTTTCAGCTTATTTTATAAGAATTACATACGTATGAACTTTTGTTGCTATCAAAAAATGGTTAAAATAAAAAAAAATTAAATAAGAAATTCTGATTTCTGTGTTTTCACGTCAATATTGTAAATAAAGCAACAATCTTGCAAAATCATAAATGTTTTCAGATACTACTCGAGTATTTGGGAGTGGAAACAAAACTTTTGGGGGTTCATAGAGTTGTTTTCGTTTTTGAGCTTATCAACTAAAATCTATACATTGCATTCTCTTGTGTACAATATGACATATTTCACAAAATATAAAAATTTAGCAGGTTCATCCGAGTGAGAATGAACGCTCTCGTGCTTCCGTCATATAAATATTATGGTTTTAAGCTTATTTTTTTTGGTTACAGTAGAGATAGTATTATAAAAGAGGCTTTAGAGGAGCACAGACTTTCATTTTTAGGCCGAAGCTCAGTACGGATAGCTCCGTTTGTCTACTAACAAAACATTGATTAACAGGCATTCCAAGAAGTTTTAATTATTTTCATCTGGTTTGAGGGTGGAGGGTTGACAAAACGAAAACAAATGAAGAAAATAGTTTTGGGCTTATATAGAAAGACGTTGCAACACGAGTTACTTAAATGCTAAGAAAAAGGGAACTGTAATCTTAAATCTAAAAATTATATGTTCTGAGGGTCTATGTGAGTGTTGTGTATTACATATATCAAGTTTCTTCTGCAAAATTTATATTCCCTTCCATTTACTTGATTTCTGTTTGCCCTAATCCCTTTACTTGGTCTCCCGGCCTATCCGAGCACGCACAGCGTTCTGTTCTCTATCTCTGGAAAGCCATCAGAAGTGGGAGTGGGATGCGGATGCGGTTGTTTAGTAGTAACCAGCTGTACCCGAATAGTTCTGAGAATAGGCTTGCGAATCTGCAAAGACACCGGTAATTTCATTATGTTAAAGGAATAATATCGGGCACATTCTTTTCTTTATATTAAGAAGGTATAGGAAAAGTTGTAACTAAAATATTTTGAAAAACCTAATGCTATTAGTGACATACCATAGCCCGCATAGGAGCGTTCATCGTAGCCTGCGCTCGCTTGCTGACTGTAGTCAGCCTGACCTGTGGCGTTATAGTCAACGGCAGTCGAGCCGTATTGCTGGCTATAGTCCTGACCGTACTGGTAGCGCGTGTCTTGTTGCGCAGTGTAGCCTGTGGAGCTGCTAAAATATATGCCGGATTATTAGTTTCATCTTAATCAAATGGGTAGAAGGCAAAATTATGAAAAGATCACCCACTTGTAGCTCTGGTACTGGCTTTGATCGTACTCTGTGCCTTGATGAGCCCCATAGCTGCCGCTAGCTGGCGCAGTAGTCGAAGTGTGGCTAGTGTAGCTGCTGCCGCTACTCTGGCCGTAGCCGTTGTAGCCCTGCTGGGCTGTCTGGGAACTGTAGCCGCTCTGGGCGTATGGATCCACCTGCTGGGTCTGGTCGTGTGCCTGGTATCCATGGTGGCTGCAAGAATTTATTGTTTATATAAATATTAAACAAAAGAATATCGGATTACATTCAAAGAAACACTCGCTCCAAGACTTACCTCTGAGCAGGAGCATGATGGCTCGGGGGTGATCCGTAAGAGGATGGGGGTGCCATGCTTCCGCCACCACCGCCGCCGCCCATATGCTGCTGGGAACTGTGATACTTGGGCGTCATGGGTCTCTGGCTGTAAGGACCGCCCTCGTAGCGTCCACGTTTGGGTCCAGGACCACCGGGTGCGCCGCGTTTGAGAGCTGGTACCGGTGCAAGTTGTGTATTGGAATTATGTGCCTGATGATGGTGATGCAAGGGGGGCCGACTCATACCTTGATTGTAACCGCCCCTACCGCGTGGGGCTCCGCGTCGAGGCATTGATCCGTGATCTCCGCCCGGACCTCCGCCCATCGAGTTGCTATGGTGTCCGTGAGGACCTCCGTACATGCTGCCGCCGCCGCTGCCGTTCATGTGCGGGTTGTAGCCGCCACCACGTCCGCGTCCACTGAAGGGTCCACCGCGTCCGCGCCCGCGACCCATGTAGGGTGGAGGTCCACCACCATTGCTGGAAGCAGATCCACCGGAGGGCGGAACACTGGATGCCGGGGTTTGTCCATCGGTGACTTCTTCACTGGCGGCCGGCTCTCCTGGTTGATCCGCACTAACTGTGGAAGCGGGCACTGGGGACACAGTCTTGTTGTTTTCAGCACCTGTGTGTTGTTTGGGAGCTGTTTAGGATTGAAATCGGGTTGGATTGGATTGGACTTTAAAGTGGAGGTAAGGGTAAAATGTGCTTACGTTGCTGGTACATGGGTGGACGTCCACCCCTCATTCCCATCGGACCACCACCACGCGGCTGGTAGCCACCACCCCCGCGGCCCTGGTACCCAGGGCCACCGCGAGGACCGCGCATTCCGCGTGGCGGCCCAGACATCATACCACCACCCATGGGTGGTCCGCCACCCATTCCACCGCCCCCTCGCATGCCCATAAAGTGGCCACCACGTCCGCGTCCACGGCCTCGATCGAATCCTCCCCGCATCGGGGCTCCACCACCGCGTCCGCGGTATCCACCGCCACCACCACGTGGCCCACCGACCGGAGGGGAAGACACTTGTGGTCCATCCATGCTCTTTGCTCTCTTGCTTTCGGTAACTTTAGCTTCACACACACTTTTTCACCCACGAACGCAGATGCCGGAGACTACGGTTCTAAGATTCTCGAAAGGATTTACTGAATGCGATGCGTCGGATAGGAGCTCTATTGAATGTTCACTGGCCTGCGAGATATAGGCAACGTTTTCAACAACTTTTTTTCCTTAAATAACTTATTTATCTAAACATTTTCGAGAGTCCAAGCGCGTTAAAAAAAACGCGTGAAAAAATATGGCGGCGACTATTGATTTTCGCTTCAGGGCAGGAGGTGCGTTGATAAATCCAGGGATACCGTACCTTTAGATACAAACTATCGAATAAATATATCTGCAAAATATTTGCAATTTTTATAATTAAGACGAAGAATACTTGCAAGAAATTGTATAAATCATTCTTTTATTTAAAATATTTTCTCTAACAAATTGTTTTTTTTTTATATTCCAGTTTAGAATCTTAAAATATTTGCATCTCTGTGGTATAAACATATCCCTTATATAAAAGTTGGGATCTATTTATGTATTTCTATAAATATGCTCCAAGAAATAAATTATTTTTAAAACTGTAAAACATATAATTAGATTTTTATTAAATCATTCCACTTCGACTTCTTACTTCTAATTTCTTACAGTGCATTAAAGGTGTCTCACGTAGCTGGCAGCATGCGGCCACACTGAGTACTGGGAAAATGGAAAACACAAGTTAAAATAGATTAGCGTGAATTGTACTGGTAACAATCTTGTGAAAAGGCGGAACAGGACTGGATAGGATGCCAGGCAAGGTGGGGGTGAAGATCAAGGCGGCACGCAACCTGCCGGTGATGGACAAGAGTGCTGAGACGACGGACGCGTTCGTGGAAATCAAGCTTGCCTCGGTGACCCACAAAACGGATGTCTTCCGCAAGAGTTTAAATCCCACCTGGAACACTGATTGGTAAGTAATGAAAGACCTTGATTTGCGCCAATTATACCAAAACTTGGTTTATTTTAAGGTTCCGTTTCGAGGTGGACGATGCCGAGTTGCAGGACGAGCCTCTTCAGATTAGGTTAATGGACTACGACACGTACTCGGCCAACGATGCCATCGGCAAGGTGAACATCAGCTTGAATCCCTTGTGCCTGGAGAGCTCTAGTCAGGCGGTGCACGGAAAGGGCACTGTGCTCTCCGGATGGATTCCTGTTTTCGATACAATGCATGGGATTCGCGGCGAGATCAATGTCATTGTCAAAGTGGACCTCTTTTCGGATGTCAATAAGTTTCGGCAGAGCTCTTGCGGCATCCCCTTTTTCCACTGTTTGTATTCTGAGCAGGGTTTCTACATATTGATCGGACTAGATGTTGTTATGCGAGCAATATTTTCAAGCCCTGTTATCTCAACTTTATGATAGAAAGTGCCTAACCTGTTTCCTTTTGCATTTCAGCCCAGTGTGTGCCCTTTGGATATCGCGCCCAAGTCATTCACGGGTTTGTAGAGGAGCTTGTTGTCAACGATGACCCGGAGTACCAGTGGATCGACAAGATTCGCACGCCCAGAGCTTCCAACGAGGCGCGTCAGGTAGTCTTCCTTAAATTGTCGGGACAGGTTCAGCGACGGATGGGCTTGAAAGCCATTAATATGGGCGCCAATGCCGTTATTGGGTATACCCAGTGCTTCGATCTGGAGGGCGATGTCGGTGTAGTTGCTCGAGGCGTGGGAACGGCGGTAACTTTAATCAAGGACACCAGCAGCAGTCAGCCTAACAGCGCAGATGTGGCACTGATCGAGGAGTGAGTATAAAGTGGGGATCTTTTTTAGTTAATCAGTTATTGAGATTAGTAGTTAAATTATACTATTAGGAGGGTTTTTTTGTTACCCCTTCTGTTTAAAATTTTTGATATTTGTAGATGGATAGTTTAACGAAGATTTCAACAATTTCTAAAGATAATTTTTCTCTTCTCTTGAACGTTCTCCAACCCACACCGTATTTGAAACCGTAACCCCTTCGACCTATGTTCATCCCTCGATCTCTGTAATTTCGCTCCTTGTCGTACCGTATCGTATTGCACGCTTCAAACTTTATTGTTGTTCGTTGTGTCGTGTTTATGTTTATAATACATTTACGTACTACCTTCCTTTTAAAATATACACATGTATATTTAATGGCTAGACTGGCGCAAAAGTATTTAGATTTCCTGAACTGTGCCGGAGCCAGCAGCGCCAGCTTGCCGCTCTCCGGCCGCACGCCCCAATATCGTCTGAATATATACAGGGAGCCTAGCTCGGCACCAACATCTTCAGCAGCAGCGGCGGCAGCAGCTACTCTTTTCTACCTGGAAAGCGCCAGCAGTGACACGGAGGATGCAGAGCTAATGCAGAATCTAATCCGGCAGGAGGACGAGCGCGGCGAAAAGAACCGAGAAAAGAAGCTTCGTCACCGGATGCGTCGATTGACTCTGTCCTCGAGCAAGATTTTCAGCCAGAAATACGCCACTCTGATTCGTCGAATTGAGCCCAAGATCCCCGAGAATGCCACTCAGTCGCTGAGCAGCATTTTCGGGGGAGCCATGGCAGCTCCCTCCAGTTTTCGGCGTCGACGCAAGTCACGCTTTCCAACAGCCTCAATAAAATCCTCTAGTCCCCATAATATAGTCCGCTCGATTAGTAACGATACTGGCGTCCGTCCGGGTCATGCGCCGGTGAAGAGCTTTCTAGCCGTGCCAGGCTTGTCGGAGTATCAGGAAAACACGCGGTCTGCACCGGATCTTCCAGGTGAGGAGTTTAAGGCAAAGGCTCGGCCAACATCGAACTACTCCACAGACTCGGATGAGTCCCTGCAGCTGGCTCTTGAAATAGCTGCCCCCGATAGTAATGGGGAGGACTCGCAGGAGGAAGAGGAGAACGTTCAGGACAACTGGATAAAACCGGGAGAGACACGCAGTTGCGAGAACAGCCAGCAGGACTTAGTTCCAAGGCACCATAATCTGTTGGAAGACTTGAAAAGCTTCTCGCGTCGACTGCAGAAACTAATGCACCTGAAGTCCAATGACAATGAAGTGGAGAAGGGAATCAACCATCGATTTGAGCCATCGCTGGAACGCAAGCCTTACTACAGCTCCCAGCCGGAGTTGCCGACTTGCTACGAGAATTATATGGGCTCCAATCTCAGTGGGTCCTCCTCGATGTTGCAGTTAAATTTCCTACCAAGTTACGGCAAAAGTTTGCAACGCAGTGCCTCAATGAATCACCTAATGGCACCAGAGGCACCACTTTCATCTCTTGCACCACTCCCACCACCCAACACGCTGCTGCTGAAGGCGCCCGAGCTGCGCGTCTGCCCCTCCACGCCCACTCCCACTCGATCCGAACTAGTCACCTTCGATTACGAAAACCCCTATAATAACCCCTCTAGTCTTGACCACTTAGATCATTCTGTAAATATCTCTAATCTCTCTAGTACTAACCATAGTAACCACAATAATGAGTCATCATTGCTTGCTCCATTTGCCATTCGCCAACAACAACCACGCGAACTTAGATCCAGCACTGAAATCCAACAGCAGCCAGGAGCATCGGGATTGGCGGGATCGGTAGTAGGAGCACCCAGTGCCGTAGCCGGATCACCGATGATTCCAACGACTGTGGAGAGCTTAAGTCCGAGCTTGAAGCGATTTGCCTCTCCGGTTAGCAGCAGTCGCCTCAAGCTCACGCCCAGTCCTTCGAAGAGTGGCATTTCGGCGGCCACCAATGCAGACAGTGCCTCCACATCGACCACCTCAACGGCGACCACAATGGTGCCGGCCACCGTCGGCGAGATATGCAGGCGCTCCTCGGACTCCGACCTGAGTGTTACCCCCAAAGGTATGTAATTGGCTAACTGGGGTTTCCCATCCCACTAGTTTAAGGCTTAGCGTTCGGGTCTAGACTGTAGATGTAAGCATTTAACAAGAAGCATTGCTGCTGCTCAATATCTGTGTGTTTGCTGTCACCGTGTGTCCATCTCTCACTCTTCCAATGCTCTCTCTTTGCGTCCGCTGCTGCACCACGCCGTCCGGCATAGTCTTTACATTCCACCGGAAGCGTAAGTAAATGCTCCCGCCTAATCTCGATGTGATTTCGGTGTCCTTTCTTGATGTACCTCTGTGTATCTGTGCGTGAGCCTCTATGTCCTATCACCTATCGCGCTTCTTTTTCGGCCCAGGATGAGGCTCTTCCATGCTATATCTTCTGAATGTTGTTTCTGAATCTGAATCTTTACACTTCATACCCGAAACTGAATACCAGAAAGCATCTAATTAAAATTTCCACACAAAATCAACACATTTTTTATTTAAAATCCATTTCTAACTTTATATTTTAATACTGGAAGGATAATACTTCATTTTTAGGATTATTTCACATTTTTAAATGAGATCAGAAAAACACCAAACCAAATCATTCAAGATATGCAAGATTTCGTGGAAACCTCACATGTTCAAGTCTCAAGCATTTTAAACCATTGAGTCCAAGTCATACCGCTGTAAATATTAATGTATTCACTAAATGTAAGATCCCAAAACTCCAATAAGTTGTGTAATTTTTTTACAATTTTCTATTCGCAGGAAACTCTATTTGTGTGGCCAGTGAGCGCCTGGTGGCCGCCACAGCCATGATGCGTCTAACGCAGCCGGCGGTTGGAGCCAAGCCGGGAACCGCTGCCGATAGCCTGGATATGTTGGAGTATCCCTTCCTGACCATGACAAAGTACCCCACAGGTTTTATTTTGCACCTGGGCGCCACAGTGGCGGCGCGTTCGGTGAAACTTTTGGAACGAGTACCCAATCCCGACGAGCCAGAGGTGCGGGACAGCTGGTGGACCGAGCTGCGCATGGAAATTCGTTCGCACGCACGCTCCTTGGGCTGCAACGTGGTGCTGGGGTACGCTGAAACCACAACCATTTCGTAAGTTATTCCATACCGATAAGTCGTATATTTTTAGCATTTATGGTGATAGCGCTAATAGCCTTATTATCTTCACTTTAGGGATGATGTCTGTGTTTTATCTGCCACTGGAACAGCGGCGGTAATCAACATGGTATTCAATCGATCTGTATCGCAAACCGATATCTTCACCATGTCGAAGGCCACGGCTGGTATGGCCACCATGTCGAATTCGGTGGAGGAGCGCGAGGCCAATGGCAGCACTGGGGAAGCCAGCAAGGATAGCGGTTCCCTGGGCACCGGGAATAGTTCGGGAGGCAAGCGGTTCGGGCTGCCCCCGCTTAATGGACCCCGGAATGCGTGTGCCATCTGCCACATACCCTACAACCTGAACTCGGTGCCCTTCAATGTGAAAATGAAGAAGTGCGCCGTTTGCAAAAAGGGTCGGGTGCCAGATGTTCTTTTGGCCACCTTAGAGGTGCCGGAGTTCATGCAGGTAACGGGCCGTGGATGCTTCATGCAGGCTCAAGTGGTGCGCGCCAAAAGGGATCTGCGAGCGGAACTGAATGCCAAAGAGATTTCCGATGGCCTTCCCTTCTTGGAGTACGAACTGCACCGTGTGTTGATCAACAAACTGAAAGCCAAGGGCATGAATGCCATCTTTGGACTGCGCACCCAGGTGGCCATTGGAGAACGTATGATAGCGTTGATAGCCACAGGCACTGCCTTGTTCCTCACCGCCTTACCAGTGCCCCAGGTGCCCAAGATCGTGGCCGGAAACTCATGGACCGACAAGCAAAAGTTAAACGAGCTTCAGAAGAAACTGCAGGAGACCTTCGAGAGAAATCAAGAGATATACCAGCTCAAGAGCTTGGACCCCGATTTGGCAGCCAATACAGCAACAGCATCGGCAGCCAATGCATCTGGCGACAAGCAATCGGACACCGATGATTCTGATGACGAGGAGATGAACGAGATTGATCTGAATTGCGGCAACAAGGAGCTTTGTGTGCTGGAGGTCGACGACATTGAGGACTTGGAGATTATATCATTGCTAATGGAACCGTATCCACCCGAGGGCTTCCATGTGGTTAACACGCAGCAGGTGCCTGGTATGGTGGAGATGGATACCGTCAAGAATTTACAAATGTTTACACAAGTGTGGAGGGCACGCCTCGAGGTTGGACAAAGTGTCAATGGATTCCCCAAGCACTTCCAGCGGTAAATACTTCTTTGTTTATTATTTTAGTTTAAAAATTATTTAATTTATTAATAATATTTTAAGGCTCTTGCAAACAATATACTTTAAATTGAGGACCATGATACCTTGTGCCATTTGCGATCTTCGTTTTCGGTTGGACTTGCCAGAAACGGTAAGTATTAATATTTGGAAGACCTTGAATATACTCTACCATTTCTACATATTTTAGGATCAAATCCAACTGCTGGTCACTGGAATGGCCATGGGTCTTAGCGATTCCAACAAAATGAAGTGCAGGGGACGTGGACGAGCCTTGCCGTTCCAGCAGCCCCAACAGCAAACGAATGGATTTCACGAGGCGGCCGTGCATGCTACCCAATCCCAGCCTGAGTTAAATGGCAAGCGAATGCTCCAGGAAGAGGACTATATTTTCCCCTTGGACGAGGATCAGATGGTGGATACTCCCACACCGACCAGCACAGCCATACCTCCGTTTGGCATGAGCTCTTTTAAAATGCGCAAAACTTCACCGTCCCGTTTGAGCAACTTGGGTTCGGGTCTGCCATCAACCGGAGTGAAGTCCCTAAATGTGGGACCAGTTCCCCGTAACCGATACGTAAGATGGTCGTTTAAAACAATGTTGACCCCATCAGTCATGTCCTTTAAATTGTAGTTCCCTCTGCGAGATCGTTACGGAGTGGATCTGACACCTCTGAGCTTTATACCTGGTGGTCGTATTGACAAATACCTGGGTAACCTGAATTTCTTTTTCATTCGGGAAAGCACCTCGATTCGGGAAAACGGTGGCATCAGCGGATTTGTCCATGGTTTTATAACCGAACTGCTGGCCGTGGTCCGAGCCCATATTGCTTCCCTTGGAGGTAATGCCATGGTCTCTTTTTACATCACGGAGTTAATGCTGTTCGATAACCAGCACAAAAATCAGGTAAGCCCTACAGAGTACCAACTATAAGGTAACGATAAATGTTTCTTGCTCTTAGGGCCAGTGCCTGATCAGCCTGGGTGGCGATGCTGTCTATGTGAGCTACCATGCCGATGACTGATACAAAAACTTGAGGGGCATATAGCGCCTGTTTTACGCGAATCGTCCCAAAAGCGTATACTCTCTATTTTCTTCCGCTTAGCTAGAACTGTCAGCTCTGCCCGGCAACTGAACTTAATATATTTCTTGTTTACGTAACAACTTTACAGTCCCTGTAGATGGATCCTTTATGCAATATCTGAACTGTGACGAACGTTCTTTCTTTACCTTTACCGAGTAGTGTGATTTTTTCGGTCTTGTTACTTGTTTGCTTAATGTTTTTAGCTTTAAATCAATTGCAATTTCTGTATATAGTTGATGTTTATTGAATATTGAATTTGATGAGTGCGAGGCCCACGTATACTAACGATTTATACAACTGTTGCAACACAAACATGACATTGATATACTCGTACTCCTAGATATCCAATTTTTTGCGTGTAAAATACAATAAATATATTTAAAAATAAAAACAATTGCTCAATTAAATTGATTCGATTAGTTTGGCGTTGTGGAGAGCAGCACGAACATAACCCAGAGGTGGAGCAGTGCCACATAGACAATCACAGAAACTCGCATCATTGGATATCGGCGCAGAAAGGTACCCACTCGGATGCCCATGGAGTCCGCCTGGCGGAGAGCTCGCTTAAAGCGACGGGCCACTCGGTTGTCGAACGGACTCGGATGCATGAGCAGTGGAAACTGGGCTTTAACTGGAGAATAAGAGTAGTAAGCGTGTTAAAAACAAACCCATATCTTTCGATCAACTTAATTACCATCATCTGTGCTGTTGGAAAGCAAGGGATTGCGAGAGCTACCACGCTGGCCCTCCATCTCCACCAGGTGCATGTTTTGTTGTAGTTGCAGTTGAGCCTTCTCATGCTGCAGTCGCAAGGCGTTCCTTTCGCCCGTCACACGCTCCAAAAGACTTTGTCGCTCGACTAGCGACTGGGTGAGAGCTTTGAGTCGTGCTTCATAGTCATTTTTGGCTCCGGCATTGGCACCCTCACTAAGACGCTGCCGCATCTGTTGTATTTGTTGCTCCCGCTCCTGCAAGCGAGTGGCGGAGGCCGCCATTTGGTTACTTAGTTGCTGTCGGAGTGAGGAAATTTCCTGGGTCAGAATGCGCTGTTCCGACTCGGAGGTAACACTGTGCTCTCGAGACTGGCGTAGCTCTTTAGCTAGCGTCTCTTCCCTCTGACGGGCTGAACCGAGCTCGACCTGTCGTTGCTGCTCTTGGGAGAAGTAATCTTCCAGCTGCAGTCGCGCCTTCTGCAACTCCTCGTTAGCATGATTCAGCTCCTGTTTGAGGGCATCGTGTTCCATTTGCATGAAACGGGTTTCGCTGTCTTTGGCAACCAGACTGGGATCAGCACCTTCAGCTGTGGGATTCGCCTTGAGTTCTGCGATCAAGGCGTCCTTGGCCTGCAAGGCCCGTTGAGCTTTCGTTCTGTATTCCTGCAGCTCCTGGCGTTGCTGTTCTGTTTCCTTGGTTTGCATCTGCAGCTTTTGAGAAGTGCTCATATATTCCTGTTGCAGTTTGGCCAGATTTGTCTCCAGCTCGGAGATGGAGTGAACGTAGGCCATGTGAGCCGTCTGCGCCTCGTTCAGATCGTGTATAGCTTTGTCCCGCTCCTCGGAAAGGGTTTGGGCCAGAGACTCCAGCTCCTGGCTGCGCTGCTGCAGGGCAAAGTGCTCGCTGTCGTGGTTAAGCTCATTCAAACGCAGTCTCAGTTCGTCTCGTTCTGCTGTAATCTCGTTCAGAGCGATCTTGAAGGCTGCCAATTCGTGAGTGTCCATGGATTGCTGCTCCGGGCTATTGGCGTTGGAGAAGCTAGCAGACGTTGACATCTTATGGTGTAGGTCCTTGGTCACCACTGATCCTCCTCCCTCGCTCTTAACACTGGATGCACTGTTGGCCACCGAACGTTTGGCTGGAGACAAGGTGGACTTCAATGATTGGAGGGACAAGGATTGTGTGCTGCTGGTTAAGCTTCTTCGCATCGGATCCCCGGATGTCCCGGTTTGACCATCCGTCTGCAGGGCTGTCGCAGCATTCTGATCAATCTTGTTCAGAATGTTTTCGGCCTTGTCCGCCAATCCTGTTATCCAGGATGACATTTTTTGCTAGAAAATAAAACTATCTTGTCGACCAAACACGTAAACAATATCTTTTAGTGTGACCATGCATCGGATTGGCTTGAATTCTCACTTGCCTACTAAACGAGAAAATAACGGTCTTTATTTATTCAAATTTTAAAATATCACGGGATCGCGATATTTTGATTCCACTATTATCTTTCAATATATTCATTACAACCCCAATTTTACTCATAAAATAAAATATGGCTTTATTAAATACTCAACGGGCAGTACTTTGCAGTCCTTGAGCCTAGAAGGTACAAACTATTGTCAAGTCACTTTCCAATACAAAAATCTTTGAACACAACATCAAGTATATCTTCGCAGCTAACGTGTCCGGTGATGCGTTCGATGCAGCGTACGGAATTACGCAGCTTTGCGGCCGCAATGGCCATGTCCGGGTATCGGTCGGGGTTGTAATCTCGCAGAAAGACGTCGATGTGCTCAATGCACCGCTCCAGTTGCTGCCTGTACCGGGTGTTCGTTATGCGGGGACTCTCCGCTCTCGGTTCTCCGCAAAGTTCTTGCAGATGTTTTTCCAAGTTGCCCAGAAACCCAGATATGTTATCGGGCTTATGGCACGAAATGGCGAGGACATTAGAAAGCTTTTCCAGCTGTTGGATCTCTGTCGATGACAGAGTGTCTGTTTTGTTGGCCACCAGCTGCAGTCGCTTACCATTGCACAGATCCAAAGGAATGTCCAGTTCCTTAAGATAGTTATCCACAAATTGTGAGACTGAATCTTCATGATTTATTTCCCTTATTGCTTTGGCATCCGTCATAAGTAGTACCATATCGGATTGGGCTAGGCAGTCTTTAGCTCTCTGTATTCCCTCTTGCTCAATGGTATCCGTTGTGTTTCTCCGCAGTCCGGCCGTATCGGAGAAAACTACGGGGTATCCACCGAAATTGTGCATGGTTTCTATTATATCTCGTGTAGTTCCAGCTTGATCTGTGACTATCGAAACAGATCGCTGGCAGAGAAGGTTAAGCAAACTGCTTTTGCCCACATTGGGGGCTCCAATAATAACAGTTCGGACTCCATCACGGAGCAGCTCTCCCTGCCGCTGATCGCTAAGGTGCTCCCTAATCTCGCGCTTGATAGCGTTTAGTTCCTTTGTCAGTTGTAAGATGACCCCACCTTCGATCTGTTCCTCTTCGGCAAAGTCAATGTAGGCCTCCAGATGAGCTGCACATCGGATGAGTCTCCGGCGCCAGTTGTCGTATAATCGACCCAGTGCTCCTGTACTCTGCAGCAGTGCCTATTAAAGAATAGTTGTGTTACAATTATTTGGTTAGGGTTGGGCAGACAGGCATCCGGTTCTTTACCTGCTTTCTTTGCGCCTCCGTTTCAGCATGTATAAGATCGGCGAGTCCCTCCACTTCAGTTAGATCCAATTTACCACCGAAAAACGCTCTTTTCGTAAACTCTCCTGGTTCCGCTGGTCTCAGACCATCCACTTTTCCCAGGGCATCAAGCATTGCAGCAATTACGGCCAGCGATCCGTGTACCTGAAACTCACAGGAATCCTCTCCGGTAAAAGAAGCAGGTCCAGGAAACCAGAGCAGAAGACCGCGATCGATCATCTCTTTACTAGCTGGATGAAAAAATGATTTTAAGTATGCTTGTCGGGCCTGTTGTAAAAAGATACAAGAATTAATTAAGTATGAATTTTAACTATGCATTAAAAAACTTTGTAAGACTTTTAAGTAATTTCTTAGAATAAAAGTTAGCATCAATTAGAAAGATTTTGAAAATTGATTACACAAGTGGTTTCTTTATTAAATGTGCCAATGAACTATAGAATAAGTATGTGCTCTTTATTTCATTGACCTACCTTTGGTTCATATTCTTTGTTTCCAACAATAGCCCGGAGAGCCTTTTTTGTTTGTGGCCCGGATACTCGGATAACAGAGACGCCGCACTTGACGTTACCGGAACTCAGGCTGTAGATGGTGCACCCACTGCTGGCAAAGCGGTGGAAGCTGCTCCGAAATCCTTGAGCAGCATTTCTTAGGAGCGCCATACTCAAGAACAATGGAAAACAAACCGCGAACGCTTGATTAGCTAAAAACCGATAACTTCAAAACAACAGCTCTTGAAACAACATGGCACAGCTGTTCAAAACAGCTGTACTTTCAGCTAGTTTTTCTGGATATGGCAGCTCTGCTCTAAATGGCGGTAAATTCAAAATGAAACTAAAACTAAAAGAATCTTTGCTATTCAATTTCGGCATGTTTTATTATTATATTCAATTTAGCGTCGAAACCAGAACATATAACATTAGAATTTTTATCATACACACTCGCATGCTTCACATACTAAAGATTTATAACGGCTGAAGCAGTTCTTTTTTAGGCATATTTTCATAGTCGAAAATCCCAGTCCTTTTTAGTAAAAGAATTGTCGCTTTCTGATTAGAAGGGCATCCCTCATCTGAGGTGTTACAATGGACTCCACACACTGACCTCTTCCCCTTGAAAAGCGGTTCCGGTTGACCATGGCTAAATTATTGTCCCACTGGCTGATAAATGAAAGGGCGTTGTCGTCCCAAGGTCTAGCGGTATTAGGGCGCTCTTCCTGGAAAGGAAAGCGTGTAGAAAGTAAGCTATAATCATGTAATGAGCCTACCTGGCTTCGTCGTCGTCGGGGATATGGCTCTACTAGTGGAACGTTAGTATTCCGCTGCTTTGCTGCAACGCTTTCCGGATAATTGTCCCAGGTACAGTCGTACATACGCTGCTTTATCTCCAGAGGATGATACTGGTTATCGTCCAGGCGCTTGTGGTCCTCTTGGGACGAGCTATTTGCACGGCCTCCGTCTAGCTCCCACATGGATCGATTTTTATTCTCTATGTAGGATTTGCTCTTCTCACGCTCTCGGATTAGCTGATGCTCGGGAACGTACTGAGCGATGGTGCTTGGTCGCGGATAGTGCCGAGAAAAGTGACGTATTTGAAAGGATTCTATTCGTGTCCGATGGAGGTCCATCCATCGGTTAACCACGATGCGGCCGAAGCTGTTGAAGTTAACCATACTTAGCCGTGTAATACTTTCAGCTAAATGTAGAAGTAGAAAATGTTTTGAAGTCTCGATTTAATGTTTAGAAATGTTCCTCGATTGGTATGCCGAAACGTTGCCGAAGGGACAGCTTTTAAACAAATGACCCTTAACCGGATATTTTCTAGTGACATGTAATTCCAAAGCCCACCTGATGGACCCCCTGTTTCAATTAGCGTAGTTAAAACCTCTGGCGTTAATTTTCAGCTAGAAGTTCTTCTGCCGGGTACTGGTATCAGTTTCATGTTTGGTGTGTCGCCATGAGGTCTATCATCTTGCTGCTTCTTTCGTTCGGGTTTGTCTCAGTAATACTAGGGAAGTATACGTATTTAATTGAGAATTCCGGATCGTTTGAGGATAAGCTGCTGTCGCGCAAAGTCCGTGGCTTGATATTTCCAGATAAGGCCGCCGTCTTGCTAACCGCTGCCCTAACAAAGCTTATAGTTGGCGGTCGTCCTAGTGGGCTTCAGTATAGTCTCGAGTTCGATATGTATCATCCTTTACCCGACACTGTGGAGGGTTGGCAGCCAAAGATATTAAAACGCTTCAGGCCCAAGACGACGACCAAGCCAAAACGTCGACTGGATTCCACGTCGTATTACCGAAGCCCAACCCTAGAGAGTTATTACCAAAATTATTATCAGAATTATTACCAGAATGCTGGTTTCTGGGGACCTTCTAGAAAGTAAGTTACAGTTTTAGACAAAAGAAAACAATTTTATAATCAAAGTTTAGCTTTTCCAGTATCAGGAGTTCCGCTATTGCTCCAATAACTTACAACCCAACCATGTAAATATTATATAAACTTTTAAACAAAAAAATTTCAACTAATGTCATTACTTTTTAGAGTAAATTCGAAAGCTGAGTCGCAACGGTTTCAAAGGTAGGTAATACCATAAGATAGTGATTTATAAAAAAAAAGGGTAATTATAAATTTTTTCTTACAGTTCCTCCATTAATAGAGATTCATTCTACCAAACACCTGCGAGTATTCCCAAAATTAACTATCTTCATCCAAAAAAAGAGGTCTATGGGTCCTGGTCTGAAGTTCCAAGTTGGAAATTAAATCGCGGCTACAGAGAGCGCAGAGAAATATTTGATCAGTTCGAGGCTATGGGAAAAGTGTAGGCAACGAAAATGAGAATCATAATTTACCCTTTTTTTATTATTAAAGATCCTTCATTGCAGCTTTCAAATAGACCTAAAATCGTGCATCAAAAGAGCCATGTGTGAACTGAGAGCTAAAATAAACGCAGCCCACCACGAGGGTTTTCTTATGGAAGATCTTATGCGAATTGTATTGACGTAAGAATAGTATATGATTGTAGCACTCAAAACGTAAACTAAACCCTACTTTCAGGGTTCCCGAAGAGATACAGGATGGCAAGTACAAACATCGCAAGGACGTCAAGGACTGTGCTCTTTTTTATGCTCCAAGTTGTCCATACAATGTTCTAAACTTTCTAACACAAAACGGCAAAAATATATAATCTAAGTAGGCCGTCAATCAAATTGTCGTGTTTTGTTACTGGGGTAGGAACGGGCACCGACTCTCAATTCATTACACATTCAGCCTCCGAACTGGACAGTCCTCTAAATTCCAGTATCCGAAACCTTCAAAATTCAAAATTCCTAGTTTTTTTTTCGGCGTTCAGTTTTTAAATATTCAAAATTCTTTATTCATTTTCAAATTTTCAGTATAAAATGGTGTTAAACTTAAAAATGGCTGGCGGACTGCTCACTTCCAGTCTAAGGTCGCGAGGTGCCCTGTGCATGTGCCAGCGCTTCGGATCCGGGTGCGCAAAGAAGGGTGGCAAGGACCGGTGCCCCACGGTCAACAAAAACTATCCGTGCGGTAGGCCAGAAAGTGAGCCGAAAATCAAGAGGGTTACGCAGCCAAAGCTCAAATCCATGTGGCTGAACCCGTTCTGCGATCCCGAGGACACGTACTGCCCGTTCAATCCTCGCTTCGACGACATCTACTATGTGGAGTCTGACAAGGCGAAACGCAAGTACTGGCAGACCTGGGTGGCTTGCCCTCCTATCAATATCAAGCCCAAGAAGATCTGCTGCTATGCCCAGGCCAAGCCAGCTCCGGTGAAGCGGCGCAAGCGCCAGGCCAGGCCAGCTACTGCTTGCCCCCAACCCTGTCCCGAACATCAGGAGGGTTCTTGCCCCAAAATTCCCAGACGCTGTCACAAGGAAGGAAGAACCCCGTCCATATGTAACAAAAATCGAGCCCCAGCGGACTGCGTCAAGCCCCTGACCCCGTATCCTTCATTCTCCGAGTGCAAGAGGAGTAAGCTCGCAGCCGCACCCCCGCAGGAGTGCAACTGCACTGCGGTACCTATGTTGTGCGAGGTCTGGGCTATGTATCGCAAGAGAGCCCTAGCCAAGAGCAGAAAACCCAGCCAATAAAATCTGGTCAATTTGGAGTAGACCTAGAAGTTCCAGAAGCCGGGAGCGTACACATTATCTGTCGACTGAAATAAACCATAATCCGGAGTGCGGTGTAAAAATTTATAATTAGTATTGCAAGGGATGGGTTCAAAAAGCTTTATTAGGTCATTCTATCGTTTGGTTTTTTCCCTGAGATAATGAGGTGATGATTGTCTTTCTGGTACAATTGCGATACTCAATAGGCAAAGGGATTTCTAGCCATGTTTGTTATTAGCGTCCAAAGAATTGGGCTGCAGTCTTGGTAAGTCTTTTGGCAATTGGCTCCTCCACGTCCAGCATCCCTTGCGTGCAGATACTTTCCTGCAACGTTGTCCAAGGTGGGTCTGTAAATCAGGAGAATCTAAATACTGTTTTTAAATACATCCAAATATATCAAACGTACACCATTATTGAATTTGCTATTTCACTAAAAATATTGCTGTTTTGAAAGGGCCTTTGAGAGATTTCGCAAATGCTCCTTAGCAGGCATGCTCCAGCATTTTGCCCTCCAATTCTAAATGAAAATAGAATAACATAGTAACCTTTTTTAAAATTTGGAAATATACTTACTGCTCCATGCCTAGTTCAATGGCAGTATATACCCAGGATCTGGCCTCATCATGGGAAAGCTTTGTCTGCATATCCTTGCGCCACTCGCGTGCCGTGGAAACGAACGTCGAGGTGTTCCAGAAGCTCCACCAGTAGATAGGAACGGTGGTGGGAATCCACTGGCCCTGCACGTTGAAGAACCACCAAAAGGATTGGTCCTTGTCGACTTGTTTACAAGGATACGCAAAGCTAGGCACCAACTTAAGGATGAGTATAGGATAAGCTCAAGATCAGGATTCAATGAGTATTTCTACCTTGACAACTCCCTGGCCATCGTAAATCGCCACTCTCTTGGAGCGACTCAGGGGCTTATTGCTGTAACTCAAGCTGCTGTTTCCTTTGGCATCGGGATCGAAGTTGATATGGGTATGGGCTTCTACTAGAGTGGTGGTGGCGATCACCGTTAGAAGCAGAAGCTGCCAGGTCAGACCCGTCTGGACCATGTTGTTTGTTTTCGATTGCAATGCTAACTAACCTGGCTTTGTTTAAACTCGGATCTCCGCACCCATATTTGTTTGGCCAAGAAATTGGCATGTCTCCAAATAAAGACTAAGAACGGAGAATAGGTTGCTACTCTTTGTCCATAGCTGTGATTCTTTAAAAGAAAGAATAGGGTATTGTGTAGAAGACTTTTGATTGGCTGGAACGTCTTATCCAAGAAATTCTAATGATGGAGCATGCGCTCCAGTTTCGGAAGCAGAGGTGTTCTATTGACTAATTCGGTCTAATTGCTTCACACGCATCTATCGCTGGTCGTTGATCCACTCATTTGCAGGTCGCCTAATTAAGTCCCAAATAGACAAAAGAGAGCTAACAATGATTCGGGGCTTCTGGATGCGTGATTCTCGGGCGGATCACAAAACACCATGCGTCGTTCAAAGCAGCACAACGTGGAGAAGATCGGCCAGGTCGCGTTGATAGTGATTGTACTCATATCTCCGATAGGGGGGCTACTGTTGTTTCCATCCACCACGGTGCTTCAGCTCACCTCGTCCATCTCGATACCCCTCGACCTACCCACACGCACCAAGGTCTTCGTGGACATGGGCTTCCAGATGAACTATAACTTGCCCACCACAGTATCGGCATTCTACAACGCCTCCATCTGGGCGGACGAGCTGTCACGGCGACAAAAGCGCCACTTGCCAAATAGTTCTGATGCGGATCTAAAAAGCTTGGATCAGGAACAGGAAGATGCCATGCACCCAGGTGACTTCACAGCAGGTCAGATGTACTTGGGGCTGGAGAACTTGCTTGAGACCTATGGAGTCCACCGATCCTGTCTGCTGCGCTGTGTTTGTGAACTAGCCCGGCATCCTTTTGCGGAAAATCATTACTATGCGCTGGTTACCCAGGCCATCACCTTTCTGCTTACGTAAGTTTAAGACTTTTATTTTATAAGTTATAGAAATATATTTTATTTATTTTATTTTTTATTAATATCAAAATTTGGGTTCCTTTATATTTTTAGACCTTCCCAGCACGAGGGTTTCTCCCAGGATGAGAAGCATTACCGCGACAAATATGAAAGAGCCGAACAGATTGGCTTCCTGGGAGGAGAGTGCCACCTCTCGTATCCTAGCTGTGACACAGACATAATAAACTTAGCCACCCGACTGGTCAGATGAAATAAAGATAATCGAATAGCCTATAATTTGTGTACATTCATTTGGTGATGAAGAAATTATGAACGGAGTGCAAGTGCATCATCATTGAAATCCATAACATTCAGTTGACTGGAAAACAGCCATAAATTCACAGGCAAGTTTGTCTGGCTAGGTACTTAGCTTGGAGCTCAAAAGACTGCTGATTCCTGTGAGAAACTCAAACGGGCAGTTGGTATATAGACCCGCACAATCGTTTCCCATAAATCCGTATTGCTCCGCCTGCTCGTAGGCTTCTCGGTAGACACGTTCTTTGGGACCAAAGGCCTCGTGCATTGATGGTCTGCAAATCAGTTCTTAGTTTAATTTAAATTTTTTTTCAATTCGCAAAAACTTACGTCAGGGTGAAGGTCAGTAAGGCGGTGAGCATGTTGCTTTCCGCATCCTGGAAGGGATGTCGGGCTAGCTCACAAACACTGCGCAACAGACAGGACTCATCGAAGCCGTAGCGCGCTAGCATGTTCTCAAGGCTTTCGTAAAGTTCTCCGGCAGTGAAATCATTAGGATGCATTGACTTTACTCCTCCTGGCAAATACTTCTCAGTCTCGTTCCGCAAATGACGCTTGCCGCGTCGCGAGAACTCATCCGGCCAGATGGTGGCCGCGTAAAAGGACGAGGGCTGACTCGGAAAGGCATAGTTCATTTGCAGACCCCAGTCCCAGAAGAGCTTGCGATCGGGTATTACGACGGGGACGGACAACGAGGAAGTCACCTGGTAAACGGAAGAAGCGGGAAACAGCAAAGGGAACTCCGACGAAGCTGGAAAGCTCCAAAGCGCCAACAGAGCTCCGATGAAGTGTACGCGCTTGAGACACATTTCGATGTGATGTGATCTCCGGACAACACGCACTTCGATAATAAGTGGCTTCCAAAAGTTGCTAATGAAACGCATAGACAGTGCAATTTACAGGTAGGCCTCTTTTTTATTCTTTGTGTTATTTTATTGGTTCTATTGAAATATGACTTGGCTTATGAGCTGTAACAGGTCGTGTTTGCAGTGGGAATACAATCTCGAGCAGTCTCTGCCCAAAAATCCATCTTGCTCGGCCTGCTCGTAGGCTTCTCTATATACATCTTCATCATCTTGAAAGCCTTCATGTTGGGAGGGACTAGCAAAGGATAGAAGATTCTAAAGTCAATAAATATTATCTAATATATAGGAAACTACTTACCTCAGTACGAAAGTAACAATATCAGTCAGCATGTGTCTATGTTTATCATCAAAGGGATGTTGGGCCAATTCACAGACACTTCTCAGCAAACACGTTTCATGGATTCCATAACCTGCTAGATTATCCTCCAAAAAGGCGTAGAGCTCGGCAGCTGAAAAATCCTTTGGATGTATTCCGGTCTCCCCATCATGTCCGTATTTTGCGTAAAAACTTTCATCGGTTAGCTCCAGGGTGGTAACTTCGCGCTTAGCTTTGTAATTGGCAAATCCCGGCCATATGGGTATACTATAAAATTCCGTGAGGTTGTACGGGTAATTATAAGAGATAGCAAAGCACCAATCTATCAAAATGCGACGCTCCGGAAGTAGCTCAGCAATGGGAAAGGAAACCGAAAGAGTTAACTATCAGGAATAGGTTAATATTATAATCTTTCTTTCAGAAAACACTAAAAACTTACACCCAAATTTGACGATGCTGGCCACAGAAGGGAAACTGAGTGATTGGTGAGGAAGGAAACTAAAATAAGTGATCTCAGCCAGCTGAGTTTCATCTTGAGAACCGTGTGTGTTGCGCCAGAAAAAGGTACTGATCTCGATCAGTACAAATACCCAAATCCAACAATTGTCCAACAAATTGGGTCGGTGGGTTAATGGACATATAAGTATGGTAAATAAATCAAGACATCAATCGCTGGCGGGTAAATATTTGGGGAAATGGTTTGCGATGTCAGATTGAAGGCGCCTCCGTTAAGATTCAACGATTTCCGCTCAGTTCAGTTGGTAAAGATGCTACGAGCCACGATCTTTGTTATGCTTGTGCTGCTTGCCGGCTTTTGGCCAAGTCTGGGGGAAAAGAATTCCAAATTGAAAAATAAATCTGAACTGAAAGCGGCAGTAGAGAGAGTTTTTAGCCGAAAACGAAGGGCGCTTTTGTTTCCACCAGGATCGTTTGTGAAGTTCACATGTTCCTTTGCCACTGGCCTCATTGCGACCTATCCGAAGGGTATTACATTTGTGTTGGAGGAGGCTCTCTACTTTCCAATTCCTGGAACACTGGAGGATGTTTACCCTAAAAGGTTCCGGCCCAAAACTACAACGAAGAAGCCAGAAAAGCTTTCGGATTCTATTGTCTATATACCAGGCACCGATTGGCGTTTCAAGGCCCAGACCCTACCGAAGCCCAAATGGAGACAGCCACCTCCAAAAACCCATCGAATTGATGATGAAAGCTATGCAAATCCTTTCAAATGGCAACAGTGGAGCCAATACTCCAAGTATTCGGATCAAAAATGGCAGAATCATCAGTGGAAAGGCTGGAATCAGGAGAAGGTATCAAAGTGGACCACGCCATCTCCCAAGTGGAATCGATACAGTGAAGCGTGGAATTCCCATCATGTCCGTGGCCATCGGGATCGAAGGGACTTGTTTGATCGATTCACCAAATTAAGTACTCTGTGGGTTCAAAGGCTAAAAATTTTAAAATATTTATAATTAGTATCATTTGTGATTTTTTAACAGCATTGGCATTGATGTCAAGTCGTGTATTCTACGGACTATATGTGATAGTAAACGATTGCTTTTGCCGCCAGGATATTCTATGTTGCACGACATGCTTCGTTTGATTTTCACGTAAGTTTAAAAAAAATATTAAAATTGGCCGATTTTCCTATAAGATTGCTTTTAAAGATTACCACGATTGGATGGTTTGAAAGATGAATACAGTCGCATTATGGACCGCGATCCAGACGAGTGCTCCGAGGAATTGAAGACGAAGTGTAATATGAACTTTTTAATTTGGTTACTAAGTGGTAGAGTCGAATAAATACTTATGAATATCTTAAAGTCTGATTTGTAGATTTCTTTTGAAGGTTTGTTTATCCGTATAATTTACAGATTTACCGAAATAGTCCCACCCACCTGCGACACCGTTTATTGTCACGTTCTTATTAAATTAGATTCAATTGTGGATTGAACAATTATCACTACTCAACAAGTCGAAATCGATAAGACCTTCTTGTTAGGGTAACGATGTCTCAATCAGTATTCTTGAGCCATGCGGGGCTGGGTGTTGATCTTATTCTCTTTGGAACTCATCCATTTGGTGGTTCCTCAAGTGGAGTTCAATCATACGAAACTTAATCATGCAGTGGATCGGGTATTTTCAAGGCGAAAGCGTTTTGTTCTGTTTCCTCCGGGCTCCAACTTAAAGTTTACGGGACAACTCAGCAAAGGTCTCATCTCGGCCTATCCAAAAGGTGTATCCATGAATATTGAGCAGGCCTGCTACTACCCAGTGCCCTCCAAAAGGGAGGACGTCTATCCAAAACGATACCGCCAAAGAACAACTACCACGGAGAAGCCAAAAACCACAACAGAACCCACCTATGTTTGGATACCAGGAACCAATTGGCGTTTTAAAGCCACTCCCGTTAAGAAGCCAAATCCGATAAGACTACACAGTCGCATAGATGAGAGACCCCACATATCCTCGTATTCCGATCCTGCTAAATGGGCCCATTGGTCCAAATACGGCCAGCGTTATGAAAACTGGTCATCAGCAAATAAAAACTATCAGACATACAGCCAACCTGGAAAATGGACCAAATGGGCAACAAAGTCCCCCCAGTGGGCAAAGTATGCCAGTTATCCAAATCGCTGGCAGAGATCGGTGGATGGTGAGTACTTCGATCCTGAGGTGGAGCCTTATGCGGATGTGAGGTCTTCGAATTCACTTAGCTATGAGGAACCTTTTGATCCCGACATGACTCCTCATCACCCTCCTCACTATCCGGAGCTTGGTCATGTTGATGACTGGCGGCACTACAACGGACACAGAGATCGTCGGCAGCTATTCGAACATTTTGAAGGATTTAGTAATATGTGAGGACTAGCATTTCGCTTTTAAAATTCTTGAATTTAATACATGTACTTATTTTAGTTTGGGCATCGATGGCAAGGCCTGTGTTTTGAGAGCTATTTGCGATAGCAAGCGACTGCTTTTGCCCAAAGGATATTCGATGCTCCAGGATATAGTGCGGCTGGTTTTTACGTAGGTTTTATCGTTTTTAAAGAATTCTTTCCTGATGTGACTTAAAATGAATTAAATATTAATTTTGCAGATTCCCCACCATAACCGGCGTCGAGGATGACTACTCCCGCATCATGAAAATGGACGCGGACGATTGCGACCTGCACTTCCGCGATTCGTGTAAGCTCAATATTTTAGCTTGGCTGCTGGGAGGCAAATGGAACTGAATAAAACTCATTACAATGGACTTGGGATGTGGGGGTTTATTGTATGAACTGCGCGGCCCACATGGACTGTTTGCACTCCGGATAAAGAGTGGCGCAGTCCTGTTTGGCGGCGTGTGCCTTGTCGTAGTGGGTGTCTCGGTAAGCGACGGGTTCGTTGTCCAAGGCCTCTGGAATGGTGAACACCGCTCGCATTAGTTCGCCCACAAATGTGCCAGGCTCCTGTTCCGCTGACTTTTGTCCCGTTTCGCAGAGCGTGCGGAGCACACAGTGGTAGCCGTGGTGACCACGTCTGTCAAGAAACGGAAAACATGGTTTTGGTTGACCATTAATTAATAATTTCCAGAGCTTGTTTTTGTTTTCTAATTGGCTACTCACTTGTCTAAATACTTTTCGATTCGTTCGTACAAAGACTGACGACTCCTACGGTGATGCTTTATCTGCAGCTCTTCCAATCTGGTCAAGTGCTCCTCGTGCTCACTAGCCACTCCACTACGGCGTTGCCGTTTATGCGGATTTTCTGCATCCGGAATACTGCGCTTTCCAAACACTGGATATATGCGATGGTGACGCGGTGCTGGTGGTCTAGTGGGCCGTCTGGTAGTTGTGGTGGTGGTTGTCCTAGGAGGTACATCTTGTCGCCTTAGTGTCTGCCTATTTCCATAGTAACGATCTTTAAGTCTGTAAAGTATCCTTTTTGAAAAAAATTTTTCTTTGAAATAAGTATTAAAAAACTTACCTCGAGTTGAGTGCCCAGTAGGGGTAGCGTGAGTTCTTGGCAGGAGTATAGGGACGTGTCCACTTGGCGAAAGGATTTCTGGAGCTCATCCCTGGCCCACCGTAGTAGTAGTAGGGGTCTTTGCGCCTGCCTCCCTTCGGACGGCTGTAATAACTGTCAGCATACTGATGAGACGGATGCATCGGAGTCCGGAAAACGGGAGAGGAACTGTAGTAGGAGTTGCTGCCACTCCCGTAGCTTGACAAGTTAATGTAGTTTGGTTTGTAATCCAAGGGACTGCTGGTCGTTGTCTGGTCGTTGGCTGCATCATCCACGTAGGTTATATTCGACACGGTGTCGTTGCGACTTATGTCCAAAGTACCATCCTCCAGCTTGGTCAGCAGATCGTCCAGTTCTTCGCTGGGTGGCTTGCTGGGCAGCTCCCAGGCCAAAGCCACCGTGACGCCCAGAATCAAGTAGTTCGTATGGTCTACAACTCCCACAATTTCGTCGTACACTGAACGGAAGAATAGGAGACCAGTGAGGCGTGAGATTTGTTTGAATTGTGCATAAGGGGGCAGCCAAGGGGGGCTTACAGAAATATTCTTCATTAAATATTATTTCATGTAGCTTAAAGATATTTAATATAATATGAACATGTACTTAAGTCTATAATATTATAGTTTTCAAAACATTTAAAAATAAACTTTTTTTAAAAAAGGTTTTTAACTTTTGAAGCCCCCTTGCGAATGTTTCGTGCCTTTGCCACTGCCTTTTCGGCTAACTGACTTACCGATCTGAAAGGAGCTGCCCTCCGGAAATACCAAATAGCGTCGTTTCCTGGACAACAGCTCTTCCGACTGCCTGCCTTGAACGGATGCGGATTGGGACTCATTCAGCCTCATCTCGATGAGCTGCTCCAGGCTGTTGCTGTCGTCATTGTTTATGTTCAGTGACGGGCTGCCGGTTGCCAGCTCGATGGATCCGCCGGCCTTCAGTCCGTCAGCCAGGATGACACCCAAATGGGCGAACACGATAAGGGGGAGGAGCATTAAAGCCGGTGCCGGGGAATTGGCCATCGGGTTGCAGCTGCGATTGCAGCTCTTCCTTGTTTTCCAGCTCCACATTTTCCTCTTTGCTTGCGGTCCCAGCATACGTCAACTGTCAGCGAAAAGTCCCGCGATGTTGGCCCAAACAGAATCGGACGGGTTCTAAGGTTTGCTCTGAACTTGGACTGCTGTTGCCTGGGCTGTTAATTGTAAGTGGGGTTCTCTTTCTGACGAGAAAGTTTCCAGTTTGAGTTTGAGCTCCGTTCGTTAAATTTCTTTTGCGCTTCTTTTGTCTTTCATTAGTTTTCACACTTTTAGTCTTTGGTGTTTCGGCAAAGTAGTTTGTCTTGCAGGGCGTCGTGAGCTCATTGGACTATTTAAAGGTTCAAATTACTTTTTCACGCTTCCCAACTTGTTCTCCCCTCCTTGGGTATGTTCTTTTTTATCTGAAAAGTAGCACACTTCCACCTAGATGATGATGATGCTCCTACTGCTGTTGGCGAACTCAAGTTGAAGTAATGTGATCACTAGTCACAGTTTTCCTTGGGATAAACAAAACTGGTATTCAGTGAAATGCTTTCAGCTCAAACTGAAGAAACTTTCAAGCAATTTTGGTACAATTTCGCTTATTATTCTGCTCCACAATATCTGAATAGCTGACTCAGCTGTCAAAGGGGAGGGCAAAAGTGAATGATTGAGGTTTTTCCTTCCAACTAATCAGGGCTTGGAAAATTTAAATTTCTTAAGAGTCCTAGTAAGTCTCGTAAACTACAAAATCTCTTATTATATTATGATAGATATTTATTTTCCTTTTTTTTAAAGACTAGTCCAACCAAAATGAGTGACTACAATCGCCGTAAAGTTTTCGACAATTATTCTGCTGTCGGTGTGCTTCCAGATAATGGGGTGACATCAAAAGCTCTAGCTCCTTGGGGTCATCTATATCCAGGCTGCTAGGCAGCTGAAAAATGGCCGAAAGCAGTTCCATTATGAAGCTTTGCGGTTCCGGGCCATCTCTTCCTTGGAGGCGCCTCTGTCTTTGGGCCGATTCGCAGAGAGCTCGTTGTACACAGGAAGTGCCATTAAGACGTTGTCTATAAGAAATTGTATATTGATTTTTTGAATATTTAATAAAGAATTCTTTTATTTTTGACTTACGATTTGTACAGCCTTTCGATTTTTCCGAACAACAGCTGGCGGGAACTGAGATGCTGTTGTAAATGAAATCGCTCAAAATGGGGATCTTGTTCCAGACTTCTTCTCCTTCGGCGTTTAGCGAACACAGGATATATTCGATGCTTGGGTGGGGACTTAAAAACTTGCCGAGGACGCTGGGAGTATCCCGAGCTTGGGAATGAGCTGAGGGATATAAAGGAAAAAATGTATTACTCATACGCAACGTTGTGCAAGATTTTTCTTTTTAGAAGTTTTTGTCTAATAAAATAATAACTAAGATTAAACCATATTGTTTTAAAACTTGTTTGCATTTTTTGCTTGTCTATTTTATTGTGATTATGGGAGTACTTACGTCCACTTTGATGGGTTCCACATGCGTTGCTTTTCACGCCACTTCTGCTGCACCCTCTGACCGTTGCGTGTCCACCAATTGTCCGTTCTTGCCCCAGACCATGGACTTACACCTGCTACCGGCCCGGTCCCGGCCTCCTGGCGCTGCCATTTTGGCCACGACTGTCGCGCATGCCAATTAGCTGGCATCGGCGCCTGGCGCTGCTGTCCATTTGCATTTGCATCGGAATTCACATTTGCAGAATTTGCATAAGTGTATGAGGCAGGGATGCGTTGGATATTCGTGTAGTACGACTGGTAGCCATGGTCATTGGCCGCATATGCCGGCGGATTCGCTGGAAGTGCGTGCGTTGCCTGCCAATTAGCGGCGTCTCGATTGTCCGGATCCTGATTCTGGTTCTGGTTCCAGTTCTGGGAGGGAGCCTCGGGATCGGGCTCGGGGACGCTGTCGTTTCGGCGGACAGTGCCGATGGTGCCGTCGTTGATGCGGGTAAGCACGTTTTCAATCAGCTCGCTGGGCGCCTTGCTGGGCAGCTCCCAGGCCACCGAGCAGGTGATGCCCAGGATGGCGTAGTTGGTGTAGTCCACGATGGGTATGATGATGTCGAAGACTAACTGGAAGGAGGAGCCCTCGGGGAAGAGGAGGTAGCGCTTTTGGCGGTGCAGTCGCATCAACCGGTGGCGCCATCCCTCGTTACTTACCTCCAGCTCCCCCGCAGGTCCTTTTAATGGGTTGATGTTGGTGCCCAATAAATGTTCACCATCGAACGTATCATTACTTTGTGGCGGTCTCTCATTTCGGAAAAGGCAAAGTGGAAGCAGAAAAATTAACAAGAGTCCGAATCCTGTGGCTCCAATTATTTTGATTGTTTTTACCATTTTATGCTTAATGAAAGCCAGTCTCTCTTCCAATATTTAAAGATACACTTTTATTTTTAAGAAATATTTAAATTAAGTATAAAATTAACTTTTTTTATTATTAGTTTATTTGTTAATTATTAGCAAGGGAATCAATATTTCTTTTAAAAGTAACTCTTTTTGTCCATCACTGTAATTAGGTAATTGAACATTGCGATTGCTTCGTGACTTGGCACTCAGGAAGCAAACAGGACAACACAAAATATAAAATCGGCAACTCAAATTTGCATAATTTCACTGTAGCTGTGACGCTTCCACTTTCTGTCCCTGCCAATCATGCGTTAAATTAATGCAATTTTCAATATCATTCCGAGCGCAAGCGATGGCATGGAGGAAAGTTGGTTATGGGTAATGGACACTATTGGTCACTGGGCACTGGGTAATGGTTAAATTGAACGGACCCGCCATCGGCATTGGGCTTCACAATTAAAACACTGTCGCTCCGAAATGCCTCGGCGCTTCGAGCGCAATTGGACGAGAATTTATGAAGCAGATAATTACCATTAGAGGGACAGCGACGAGTCAAGCGAATTGGAATTGGATTTTCGATATTGGCCCGCTCCGGTCACTGGGTTTCTTTTTTTGTGTTATACGATATGTTGATGCCATTAGCTGTCCGAACCGAACTGATGCCGGACATTCGGGGTGGCTGGAACGCATCGAACTCGGTCAGCAGTTCGGTCCGGCAAAGTTTAATTGTACAATTAGCACCCAATTGAGTGTCGTTAACTCGTTTTGTGCCGTTTCAAGTGCTCTTTAAAAAGGTGCTAAGTAGTCCCCAGTATTCCCCAAATATCCCATATCTCCGTGGCCTGCAGCCTCCGATTAATTGCAGTGGAATTTGGTAACAATGTGTAACGGCCCGATAACAGATTGTTAAATTGCAGCATTTAGAGATCCTGATTGGTGGCCACCACAATAAATAATCTTTAATGCATCCATCCAAATTGAATTGGGCAACAGAGGAAGGTCAGCGGAGTTGTTTACACCGGAAATATTTTAATCGCTATGGCTTTCAGATGGATTAAGCGCATTAATCTTTCGCTTTAATGCTCTGTTTGATTAAGTGAATTTTAATTTTATGCTCAACAAGGCGAGAGTATAACACTCGCTTTATTTTTGTTTAATCCGTTTAAAGTTTACACTGACCATTATTATTCACATTAAGGATTAAGTTAGGTGAATGGTGCATAGAGCTTGTACACCTTATTGAATTTATTGTACATTTTTTGAACCTTTAGTTGACCAATTTGTGGATCAATTCTCTACAAATCTGCATCAAAATCTGGAAACAAAATATTATTAAGATTTTTTGTCAAATTTTATGGGGATCCCCTTCAAGATTATGTAAAATGCATGGGAGTGCCTTATGACCCATAGCGAAGGCCATATCTTCCTGAGTTTTCATCCGAATCTTAAGGGGAATACCTTAAACGATTTGTGGATTAATTCTCTACAAATCTGCATCAAAATCTAGAAACAAAATATTTTTTAGATTTTTTGTCAAATTTTATGGGGGTCTCCTTCAAAATTATGATATTTTCTTGGAAGTGCCATATGAGCCACAGCGAAGACCATATCTTTCCGAGTTTTCATCCGAATCTTAAGGGGAATACCTTAAACGATTTGTGGATCAATTCTCTACAAATCTGCATCAAAATCTAGAAACAAAATATTTTTTAGTTTTTTTGTCAAATTTTATGGGGGGTCCCCTTCAAAATTATGATACTTGCTTGGAAGTGCCATATGAGCCACAGCGAAGACCATATCTTTCCGAGTTTTCATCCGAATCTTAAGGGGAATACCTTAAACGATTTGTGGATCAATTCTCTACAAATCTGCATCAAAATCTAGAAACAAAATATTTTTTAGATTTTTTGTCAAATTTTTTTAATTTCTTCAAAATTATGAAACTTGCTTGGGAGTGCCATATGAGCGACAGCGAAGTCCATATCTTTCCCAATTTTCATCTGATTCTTGAACGATTTGTAGATCGTTCCATTTATTGCCACTTTTAGCTTTTGTGCGAACTTGAATTGGCGACACCAATCAATCAGGCATTCGTGGCCAGAACAAAAGTCCGTTCGACATAAGCCCTGCGAGGGTAGATCTTGTATTGTGGGTAGCAGCATCCCAAATGGAAGTCAAAGAGCCGCAGGAGCTTTTAAACAAAGCCAGGTGGCAACAGGCAGCTGGAACACTGCAGCACTCGTGGATGTGTTCGATGTTAAGTCCCAGCCAGAGGCGATTGCTTTCTGGCCCACGCACAATGCCATTCTGGCCTTTGGGCTGGAATGGTAAGAGCACATGAGGCCATTTTCATCAGTGACATGTCACTTTGGTCAGAGTTGAAGAACCACAGAGAAAATGGAGTTGCGGTTTTCTTTTTTCACATCAATGTTTTTGACAATTGTGTAAAGGTGTTGTGGTGTTCTAAATAAAACTCAGACTTAGAAGGAGCGATAATTCTTTACAAAGAATTTAGCCCAAAGAATTCTTCTTCTTAAACTTAAAGCAAAAGAAATTTTTGTGTTCCATTTTTGTACTATTTAATTAATTTGTAAACCTTAAATATATTTTTCTCAGTGCTGTAATGTTTATTTTCTGTCAAGTTTGCAAAAGTCTTCTCTGACGATTTCTTGAGCAAACTAAAAACTGCATTGCCCATTGCTGCCACATCGCCTGCAAAATTAGTTGACCATGCACTCCAGCAGCAAGCAGTTGGCTCTCCACCTGTTTCTCCTATTTGTGGGTAGTTGCAGTCCTGCCAAAAAGCCCTTCCAGTCCAATGGGACTTCTGTTCAGTCGAGTTTGAGTCGCTCGAAGCGCGTGGCCATCTTTAATGGTTCGGGCACAAACAAGGTCGGTCATCAATCGACCTTCCGCATCTCGAATGTCCTATTGTTTTCCCGCAGATTGTTACAGGACTGGCCTATCCCGTCAAAGAGGCGGATCCGGTGGAGTCCTTATGGGGATTCATTAACTACCAAGCGCAATATGTACCCTCCCCAATTCCCATCTATTGGTGGAGTTTCTGGAATACCTCGACTTTTGTTTCAACGGCCAGAGAGTGGCATAAGGATATCAAAATTCAGTGGAGGCAGGACGAAACTCGATTTTGGTTGTACGATATTATTGAAACAGGCCTTGAGCGGTAAATAGTGGCAATATTACTTGAAAGCTATTAAATCATTTTATTTAAAGGATTGGTGGCAAACATGGAAGTGCATGTCTTTTAAGAAGCATTTGTGAGATATGTCAGAGACCCTTTCAGCACAATAATATGTTTGGTGAGATACTGAATGCGGTGCTGATGTGAGTAATAAAATAAAAAAATAAAAACCAATAAATTTTCTTATATTGTCTTTCAGACCTCGAATAGACAATGTTCCTGAAAGATATTTACAAGCCAGAGATGCTGGGAAAGCTGGTGCTGACTGTAGGAAAACATATTACGAATGCACTAAAGAACTATGGTGCAAACTTACCAAAATGACTAAGATCACTTTCTAGAAAGAAAGATTACAACATGTTTTTTGAATGGAAAATAAAAGGCGTAAGAGTTCTATATTTTAAAAGCTCAATATATAACTTCTATAGCTTTCCTTGACTTCCAAATATGTAAGAAAACAGAACTAAAAATATAACCTAATAGAGTGTTGCTTAAACTGTATCCTTTTAATTTTTCCGAATTAAACTGCAAGTGTTTTTATGTTTATTTAAAACATGCCCTCCTATCTAGCATCCTTTTTGTCCCCTTAAGTTTTATCGCTTAGCACCTTGCCTCTGACATCAATTTAAATTAGTTTTGGGAAAACTTCTCCTTCTGTTTTCCAGGTCCCGATTGTCTTTTTCGATTCTCGTTGTTGGTGTGTATTTTTATTGTTTCAGCTTTTTGTTCTTATTGCTTTTTGTGGCGGGTGCTCGTGTGAGATTTTTACTAATTTCAAACCAAGTTGAACTGTAAACAATGTCAGCACAGAAACCAAATGAAAACAAATGCAGCTAACAAAACACCAAGGGGCAAGGCCAGGAACTGAGGGATCTGGGTTCTGGGATGTGGGACCTGGAATTTGGGATGGAGGGGCACTAACGAACAGCAGTCGTCGCAGCAGTGGCAGAAATTTTGTTGCATGCAAAACATTTGTCAAATGTAAATTAGCAAAGAAGTGAGGGGGTTAAGGTTCTGGCTGCCGCTGCTGCTCCTGCTGCTTCTGTGGTTTTTTCTTTTACCAATGCCGTTGACTGTGGGAGGTGTTGCATGTGGGCCAGCGAGGGCCAGCGGCTGGAGGGGCGTTGAACGGGTGTTTGCCTGTTACAAATCGCATAAAATCACACTTAATGCCCGCAGGCAACATGCAGCATGTAAAAAGTGCAGCGAGGCGTGAATGTCGCTGGCACACAAACTTTTGCATGTGTACAGGACACACACTAACACACGGACATGCACAGGAAGTTATTTTTTCAAATAGCTTGATCCAATTTATTTCATTAATTTCGGTTTAAAAGATCAATAAATTCGTAAGAAATTCATATTTTCGTAAGAAAATATAGGTTATCTATATCTAACATTTGAAATTGAATATCTATTAAGTATCTAAAAAAAACTGTAAACAAGAATATAAAATTGTAAAAAATTTTTAAAAAAGTATCATTTTTATATCTCAAAGAAACTGTAGTTAATTTCCCAAAACTTTTTTTGATAATTTGTTTCAGTGCCCCCAAAGTTACACACATTGGTGCAATGTTGCAGCTGAACGCAAATGCGGAAGCATTAACATGGTCACAACCGCTCCCCTCCTGCCCACATTTTTCCCCAGCAGCCTCTAGCCTTCTGCCGCCTTCTATTGTTCGCAATTATCATGGAACGCAAAGGCAATGCCTAATTTTTGTTATCCGAAACTTTTACTTTGCCTCGCTGCATTCACACTTCCCTCACCGCTCGCCCACGACTTCTCCCCCCAAAAAATAAAAATAATCATCAAAAAAATATGCAAAAGTACAAGTCAAACTTTAATAAGCGCAATTTCTGCTACTCTTGTCGTCCTCGGTGGTCCATACGGCGTATGAGCAATTTGCATTTGTTTGTGCCACGTCCCTTCGCCTCATGGGGGGCCCCCAACAAAGTTCCTGGCGATGCTCTCAAGTGAATTTTATCGCACCCAGATACCAAACAAAGCAAGTTTGCCTCTGTATGCGCGGTTGAGCCTTAAGCAAATTCAACTTATAATTAAATTTCGAGAATGCAGAGAGGTAGATAACATTTAAAAGAGGCTCCTCGAAAATGCGATGCCCTTGGATATGTGATCTTCTCGATCTTTAAGAAACTTCTTGAAGAATTCATGATCTATGGTTTAGCAGTTCTGGTTTAAAGTCATTGACTCTTAACATATTTCACACTTTGGTGCGAGTGTTCAATGAACTCTACGGGTTCTATAAGTTCTACGAAACGTAACTGGCACCGGTACTTCCTTATAAGATTATTACAATTTCTCAAGGAAATGTGGGACAGTTGGCAGGAGAAATTAGCACCTTGGGTTAATCACTCAAAATAAATTAGCAAAATGTTTTCCATACCTTATTTTTCTTATTTTTTATTTGTGTAATAAAGCAGAACTTTTTGAGCTTCCTCGCGTTCCGTGCCCTAGAAAGGTTGTTGCTGGTTTTCAGAATTTTAATTATGTCAAATTTGCTCAGCTTTCCGTTACTACTGGTTCTGGTTGTGTTTCTGTTGCTGTTTATTTTTTTGTTGTGTTCCAACATGCTATTGCTTTTGCCTTTTCTGGTCTTATTGTTTTTGTTAGCTGGCAAATGTCAGCAGCCAATTAGAGAGAGTGAGCGAAAGGCTGCCACTGTTGCTGATGTTGCTGATGTTTCTGCCACTGCCACTGCTGCTGCCGCGTCTGCTACTGCGCTGCGTCTTCGTCAACGCGAGTCACTCAATGTCACTCTACCTCTGGCTTTTGCAGTTGTTGCCCCATCAGCTGTAGATATTGGGGCTCTGGATCCCTGGGTCCCAAACTCCCCTAACCAGTACGGTGTCGTAAGGTCGGTATGTATTCGGCTGCCAATGCGCTCCCCAGCACTTCAGCGCCTGTCCACGCCCCCCAAAAGCCCTACTTGGCCTTGTCATCATTTGCATAAGAAATTTATCTCAATGAGTAGCTAATTGGGAAATTGTGACATGCCCGTTGCCTCTTCCCCAAAGGTTTCAGATCCGCCATCCGTTCTACGCCCCAGTTCCCCAAAGTCAACAAAAGGGCTGCGCAAGTCCATGGCACGTTAGTTTTATTGCGCTAATCCTTGAACTAATTTAGAAAGACTGTGATGGAAGCTGGAAGCGAATCGCTGATGTCGAGAGTCTTAGGATTTTAAAATTAAGTTTAGGCATATTGGTTTTTATAATGGCAGTCATAGGATTAGATTAGAGGTGAGAGGGATAAAAATAATAAATGGGTTAATTTAGTCATAATATAAAGGTTTTGACATTTTTATCAAATAAAAGGTAATAAAAATTAAAATACATCTGCTCTTTCGAATTTAAAGCCTATAGTTATAAGTAAAGTTTATACATAACAAGTATCTTTGCGTAATTTCAGAAAAAGCTTAAACATATTAGAACTATTCACTTGCCCCACGTTGTCTAAAGAGTGGCAATCAGCGTTTGACTAACTAATTGCGTATACGCTATGCTCTCTGCCATATCATAGACGGTTTAATTTAGACACACACACTGGGAAACTGGGAAGGGTAACACGCACACAGGCTCATGGCCACAAACTGAATTGGCTAACTGAGCTCATTAGCAGCCGCTGTCAGAGTCTATATTCCCTATCTAGAACCAGTGCAAGTGTGCGGCCTTTCGCCCAATCCCATCCAATTACATATTCGATAATGTGAGGCAAGCCAAATGAAATTAATTGCACATTTTAATTGACAACACATCAAATCAATTTGCATGCCAGTCACTCCACCGCGCCGCCCAACCAGACTCCGATTAATGAATGAATGGATGTGGAATATAGATAAATGGAAATGCAGCCAGGTTGAGGTTTTGGGCCCTGAGTCTTGCCCATTTACCCTCGATTGGTCCTTTTCGCATGCATAATGAGCCAGGTGCGCATTTTGCAGGTCCTTGAAAGCCAATAAATTATCGAAAGTGTGCGTAGGGACATGCCAATCTCGTCAATATGTATCATCATCATACACACAATGTTTGCAGGCCAATCACATGCGTACATTTTAAATGGAAGGAGGCCAAATAACTAACCACATCTGGTCGTTAATTTTTATATTAGCTGCAAATTAGTGACGGTCAACAAATGTTAAATTTTGAATGCTTTATTCCCAACTAATTAGGGTGGGTGGACTTTGAAGGCACCTGTTTAAAGGAAATATTCAATATTTCAAAGTCTACTCTTGTGCTTGCAAGTTGATCTATCCTCTAATTATGTTTACTTAATTAGGATTGTCATCAATTAGGAAAATTAATTAATATAAAAGTGGCGGAGAGTTCAATTAGTTAAAGTCGCTTGCGTCTGTCCACTTTTCATTTGCACTCTTTCCCGATTAAGTGTCTCTTGCAGAGACCCTTCTGAACATTTCCATGGTATTTTAAAATTAATTATTATTGCACAGCACTCTGGCCACGTACATATATACATACATCACGAAAGCAAAATAGCACAAGGGAAAGGGACTAGACAAGAAACATGCAAACATCACCGAAAAATAAAATTAATCTGCAGGTAAAAGGAAGAAATAGTATTTAAAATTGCAATGTCAGCAAATGTAAAAAGAATGTTTTTTGATAAAAGGTAAAGAACTCTAAATACCTCTTCAATAAAACAATATATTCAAATTTAATAAAGTCCTGACCAAATAGAAAAGAATTGATGTAAAACCTTGAATTTCCAGATACTGAATATTAATATTTGCAGAATATTGGCAAGGTCTCATTAGCATATTTATTAAATGTCCAATAAGTGTTTATCCTTTCCACCTGCAGTTAAAGTACAGGTGCAACGTGTGGTTGCGGGAGTGGCACATTCTGCAATTAAGGTCAGTCGATCTGGGTGAGGAGTGGAGTTGACCTTTTAATGCAGCAATTCAACGCACAGCCACACAATTAATACTTGATTAAGGTCGGGACTTGGTTGTGGGTGTGAGAAAGTGAAACAATGTTTAAAGTTTTGTGGTCCAATTCTCCAGGACTTGCATCTTTTTCTTTCGTTTTGTGGCGAATGTGCAGACTTGAGGAACGGCAACTGGCAACCTGAAACTACACATGAGGCTGTCCCTTCGGTCTGGTATGTGTGCATTTTAATGCCCCAGCATGCGTGCATGTAATTTATGTTTTTCGACTTAATTAAAGTTAATTTTTAATGCAAAAGGGCGGGTGGGAGACAAGCTTTGCCAGCCTGAGCGGTCATGGTGGCATGACAAGTGCATCAAAGGCTGCCGCAAACATTTTAACACCACTCGGCATTTTCATGCTGGTGACATTAAACAGCTGCAACACCAGCTGAAACTTTTGTCACGCAACGAGGTCAACAATGGCCACAGAATCCTTGCTGTTATTTTCTGGTATCTGGAACAGATCCTTTTTTTTTTTTTGTGAATTATTTTGTGCCTGCTCACTTTCAGCTGTTTAATAAAAATGCCAATTAAATGCACGGTGGTGATTCCCATTCGGCGGGTGGAAAAAATAACGAAGCACTTTGCAGAGACCTGCAAATGGCACACACAAGTTAATTATAAATTACAAATGACAACAGCAGCAAATTAATATCATTTGCAGGCATCACTAAGCTAGACTGAAAAATACCCAGCTGTAGTTACATTTCTAGTTCATTTAGAATATAACCATTTTTAATAAAGATAACTCAGAGTAAAACATTGTCAATATTTATATTTATTTTTCAAGCTTTTTACGCCCTAGGATAACTTACCAACCACTTTACCATATTTGGAATTTTATTGGGAATGTTGTTTTAGGCAATAGCTTGTTTATTTTTCAAGTCCAATTCAATCTCAATTTTACTTTATTTTTTTTTATCAAAAATCAAGCAGCATCGCATCAACACAAACATTATTAAATATCATCTGTATATGGTGATATACTGTCGAAACTCAAGGGGCAGTGGCTATGCATGATTTGCTCGCAATTCTCTTCTCGCAAGTGCGGCATGTGGCGTTTGTCGTGTTCATCCAGGCTGCAATTAAACGAATGCATTTGAACAGGATAATTTATATTCATATCTGGGGCAACCACTCACGTAAAAACGTATTTTAATAATTTAAACAGAAAGCCCTGATTATGATCGCCCGACAAGGCCGTGCAATAGGCCTTCAAGACACAAGCCCTCCCATCCAAACCACTTCGATCGATCAGTTCGTGGATCAGTTCGTAGGTATCCCTTCGAAAGGGTCTGTTTTCCCTTTTAACCAGCACTGGGGTATTGGCACGAAAGCCGTAGCCATGGGCCCAGACTACGGGCGATTTGATCACATTATTTTTAGCATTAACGCGGAACTTGAAAGGGACGGTACTTTAAACTTTGAATTTCTATATATGGGATAGGATTTGAGTTACCCACAAATATACGAGTTGTGTCTATAATGTCCAGATATCGTTTCGCCCGATGATGAACTAATGTGGAATTAGTTTCCAAAGATGCAGTTAGAGCCACAAATGTGAGAAACAGGCCTAACCGGAGCGAGACCATTGCAACCATCGTAAGAACTAAACTAATATAATGGATATTCAAAAAACAAAAGCTAAGAAAGTTATACTACTCTACTATAATATACTGTAGGCCTGAAACTGGTTTGGCTTATTCATGTACTTATCAGAACTATGCTAATTGGTTACTATGTGTGCTCTACTTTGTTCAGTAACTTGATTAACTCACCTGAATATTAATTTCAGTAGTTTAAAGAGCATGCCACTCTTCTTTCTGGGATTATCCACATCATAGACGACTGTGCAGAAGGACTTTAGCATACAGGCTCTGCCATCAAAGCCATGTCTGAGGTGATACCAATTAATATACATAAAATTGATTAAATCCGATCCTAGAACTCACCCATCTAAAGCAGTTTCGAGCTTTGAAAACAGATCTCGCTTAAACAATCGAAAGAACACTGCGTTATCCTTTTTCTGTTCTTCGATGGACGGAAAGGGATAATTGGCGCGAAAGCCGTATCCGTACGCATATAGGGCATTTATGGTCCAAAGGTTGTTCTTGCCATTGGTACGCCACTATTGGAATGAAAAAAGGAGAGTCCCTGGTGATTTGTTGCCAATTAAAACCGTAATTCCATACCCACCGACATACGCGAGCCCTTGGCGAACTGGAGATACCGCTTGCCCCGACGCAGAATCCTGGTGGCGTTTCCCGGGTTAGAGTCGCTGTCTGGGTCGGATATCGGATTCGAGCTGTCAAAATGCATGTCAGAGCCATTGTCGATGTGGGCTTCGGTCAGGCCGACGAGTCCATCAAAATTGTCAACGGGTTGAGTGACAGACGGTGTCTGATGAGGGTGGGTGGCGAGGATGGGTGGCACCACCAATTGCAACATCAGCAATGCTGCCGCTGACAGGTGAGCCATAGTGTGATGATTTTCCGCTAATTAATACCTTGGACGGGTGATAGGTTGTGTCGCCTGGAAGCACTTGACTTTTCCCAAATTTTTTTCGGCTTAATTGCCGTTCGCATTCTTTGGACCGGCTTGTGTCCAGTTCCAGGTTCCCTTGGCTACTGATATCAATCAGCTCTCGGATATATTTAATCTGGCTGACATAAATACGAGAGTCGAGAATACGAAAGAAAAAACAAACAAACAAAGAACGTGAATCGTCCACTAGAATTCATTTCAGATGCTTTGTTGCTACTGCTGGCGTTGCTTATTTATTTATTGTTCTGTGTGGGGTTTGGTGACATCTCGTGTCTTGGCCATTCCCATCACACTCTGCTTCTAGCCATTCCCACCTGCTATGGTATTCTAGTTCTGGACATGACATATACTTGTTAACACTTTTCTCTCCATCTTTCCATCTTGGGTTGGCTCTTTCCGCCGCTGAGCTCGTCTTGTTGACATTCCCAATTGACCCGTTTTCCATTGTAAATGGAGCTATCTCAGGTGTACTTAGGTGAGGTTGGAAAACTCATATAGATCGGGCTTTGTTTTTTATTCTAAATAAATACAAATATTGTAATTATTATGTTTCAAACAATGTACTTTAATTCGAGCACAACACCTAGTATTTGTGAGCATAAGCTTCACATTCTTATTGCTCCTCCACTTTGCTTACATACATAGCAACCATATCCAACAAGAAGAAAAGCAAAAGACTCTTTGTCAAGCTTATTTTTATTTCGATTCAATTAAAGTCCTTCAGTACCATGGGTGATAATGATGATGGCAAGCGATGCCAGAAAAGTGACGCACACATCAGTCAGCTAGAGTTGGCTCACAGACACCATAAATTCCTTCCTGGAGCGGCAGATGCCGCATTGGGAGACCAACCGGCAGAACCGGGCAGAAGATATATGGAGGGCCATTTTTTAACCTGGCTCAACAAGTGACCTAACCTTTGGCTTCTGGATCGGCTGAGGTGCTGGGGCAGAGAGTTGACATTTAAAAAAATGTGATGAGAGCACTTTTGAGTATCGTGTATTTATTATGCGTAATAATTTTTCGGTGGAGTAGAGTATTTGCCAAAGGCCAGTTCTATTAATGAGAAATGACAGTTGTACTGGAGGCAGTCGTCGTCCTGTCCATTGCGGTAAGCCCGATCATAGTGAACTATATCGGCATTCTCGTGCAGTTCCCTTGTATAAAGTTTTTGCTTTGGCAGGCTGTTGGGCATAAGAAATAAACCAGTAATACTTTGAATAGATTCGTTCCATGACCTTACCTGAAAATAATTCGAAGCATCTCACCAATCATGTTCATCTTGGTTTTCTGGAAGTACTGTCGACTTTCGCAGAGGGTTCTTAAAATACAATTGCGTCCATCGTAGCCCATGCTAAGAAAATCATTTTAAAAAATTAATATATACGATTAATATAATGCTCTTGGGATCTTTTTCCCCAAAAACCCGATTAAAATACCCCTTACTTATCTATGATGGTCTCAATCTTTTGATAGAGGGCACTCCTTGACCGACGCTTCAGGACAGCAGGCGCCACAGGATGCGTTGCAAAGCCGTGAAGATTCTGCAGCACCCACGAGGTGTTCGGCAGGTCATAGGCCGTGCCCCAGTTCAGGCCGAAGCTGTTGTAGGCGTAGTTGGGGTTGCCAATGATGCCGACGGTGAAGCACACGGCCACCTGATCGAGTTCAAAAATGACAAAGCGCACTCAGGAGAGAATGGATGACTGGGAGCTGGATGGGGCTAAGGGATGTTGGGTGACACATACGGAAAGCGAGGAGCCCTCGGGAAAGCTGAGATAGCGCCTCGGACGACTGAGCACTTGGCGACGCCAGCGGTCGTGCACTGACTCCAAGAGTGGTGGGGCAGGAGAGAATTCAGAGTCAGATTCCGATGTGGATGTGTTGGCGAATGACGCGGAGGAGTCGTCCGATGCACGTTCCATCATAGTCATCAATGTTGGCTGCGGCCATAAATCACGGCTGACATTTCCCGGCAAAAGCGGGTTGGCGATGGACGTAAAAGAGGGCGTTGCATTTGTCGTTGCAATTAAACCGTAAATCAAAAACTTTGCAACAATTAAACGATAATTAAACAATACGGAGTGCGCGTAAATCATGGCAATGGCATTGGCTGAAGCAGTAGCTGTTGCTGGTGGCACGTGCTGCTCTTAGTGCAACTCGAAGAAAGACTGAAAACTGTAGCGGAAAATTCTCTGGCGAAGACAATGAATGGGCTGTGGGCAAAGGAGGAAAATTGCCAAAGTGCAAATGTGTCAATTGTCAGTTAACGTTTTAGAATGCTCTTCAGACACTTGCAGCAGTCACGTTTACAATAAACATGGCACAGGCCCAAAAGGTCCAGGGACAGGGGCTAAAAGGTGGTGGGCCCAGGACAGACAGGTTCTGTAACTTAATTGAATTGCCTGCACATGCAACTGCACCAGCACCAGCATCGGCATCGGCACCGGCACCAGAACTTGCACCAGCACCTGTCGATGCCGTGCGAAGAGGTGGAACTGCCTGTGGAAAGTCAAAGATGCGATGACAGAGATCGATGGGCTGTATGGGAATGGCGTCCATATTTGCCAACTGTTCGGGGGGTAATGTAAAGGAGCTATTTGCTTTAAAAGTATCTTTAGAAAATGCAAATGTCAAAAGATATTTAAGACTTTTTTAGAAGATAAGAGTACTTTAAGGTAAAATATAATATAAAATCTTTTTAGCAATGGACCTGAAGAAAATGTGCAGGGGATATTTCCTATGTGGGCGTGAAAAGTTTTTAGCTCTTTCCCCGGATTAGCCGCCACGTCTACGGACGTTGGCTGTCAAGTTGAATGCTGTGGCCTGGGAGACAGGCGAGCAAACAAACAAACAACTTCATTAACCCCATAGGGCATACATCGCATACACAAAGACAAGAATACACCCCCATCGGCTCTCCCCTCAGGAAGGCAGGATCGGCATCGGATAGAGGCAATTGAGGCCGGGGATGGCGCTTAGCTGACCCATTAGAGGGAAAAGCGCTCGTAAACCAGAGGGAGCCAATGCCAAAAGTCAGTGGGAAAATTGCCGGGCATCAATTGTGGGATGCTAAGCAAAACAGACAATCGAAAAGCGAAACCAATCGAGGAAAAACAATCATGAAATACAAGACGAGCACACAAGACACCGAATTCTCGACACGTGAGCCGTGTTAAGGTCAAAACGAAAACCAAAGTAAAAGCCAAAGTCGTTGCTAAAGCCAAAGCCAAATCGAAAGCCAAAGCCGAAGCTAAAGCCGGTCGAAGGACAAATATGGCAACTTTTTGACGACCACTTGAAGCTTAGCTGGGATGTGGAATTGAGGCACAAATTCGACATCTAAAAGGGGCCCAAGTCCTTTGATTACCATGACAATGCCTGTCACTGTATCCCTCCATCGAGCGATACATATTTCTTGGTGTTTGTGTGGGTGTCGGGCTTGTCAATGGGACGTTTTACAGATTGCAGATAGTTTAACATTGCCCACCATATAACTCACCCCAATTACGGCCTAATTTGTTATGCATTTTTCGCATCGGCTTCAAGTTAAAGTTGCCGAACCACAGACTCAGACTCAGACTCGGACTCGTCCTCTGCGGATATTAAACTATTTCCGAAGCATACAAAAAGCCAATTTAAATGCTAATATAAAATACCAACATTTTATTATTATGCCAAGAGCACGCATCCCCTACAGATTCCCTAAGAACCGTGCTAAAAGGGCGGGGGCGTGACAGCCAGCCTGCCTGGGTGGTTTTTCGGGGTGCCAAGTGGGGCATGATGGGGTGGTCTGGCTGTAGTGGAGTGGAGTGGAGTGGGGTAGGGACAACGACCACTTCGGGTGCAAGTTTTCTCGGTCGCACTGTGCGTGATAAGCCAAGTGGCTTGGCTGATTTTGGCACAGACACACCCCGATGGGCGGAAACTTGGAGACGGGTGGGTGGCGGATGGCAAATGGAGGACCTGATCCTTCAGCCATGAAAATTATCTACATATGTACGGGTGGCAGCATTCAGAGTACAGTGCGGTCTAAATACTTCAAATAAATAATTAAAAGTCTATACATTGAAACATAAAATTTGAAAATTGTTTGAGGTCGGGAAATAAGTATGTAAATTTTATAAGCTAATTTGGGCATTTCACTTAAAAGCTAATTAATTAAATAAAACAAAATCCATAGAATTTGAAATTTAAATCCAATATAAAACGACAAAAGCAGCTAGCTCTCTTTTTAGGGGAGTGTTAAATTACATATATGCCCCTTTTCGTATTTTATGAATAACTATGTAAATCCCCGAAACTTATGGTCTTACCTTTATTTAAACTATTAAGTCACTTAATAAAATTATACACAAAGTTCTTTGTTTGCAAAACTTTCGAGAGACTTGAAAATCTCAACTCACAACTTTGTATACATTTTCACACACAAGCACTCTTGGGCAGGTAAAGTGTCTTTGAACCCCGTCTGGTCACGCCCATTTTCCTCCCCACTCACCTGTCTATCATTGTCTCCAAACGGCTGTAGAGCTCACGTCGATGTCTGCGTTTGATTTGCGCCTTGGCCGATTTCTTTGTGGTCCAGCCATGAGCATTCTGGAGGACCCAGGTGACATTGGGTAGGTCGTAGGCAACACCCCAATTGATTCCCAAACTGAGGTACAAAAGGTTGGGGTTACCGATGACACCGGTGGTCAGACAAACAGCTCCCTTAAAAGGATAACAATGTTTATGATTTATAAAAATATTTTCAGGATATTAAGCATCTTTAGAATATATTCATACAAATGTTAAGGATATATTTTCGACGAAAATTATATTATATTAATTTTATTTAGTGCTTTTACCTTAGAATTCGTATGCTTCACTTTATAAAAATTAATTCAAAATCTGTAAAAATTGACCTAATGAACAAGAACTTTTTTCTATTGTTCAAAAAAAGTTTAACAAAAGCAAAATTTATATTGCAGGCCTCTGGGCTTAAAATTATTTATTTTTTTTTAAATTTATTCGAAGCTTTGGTTTAATTTCCTTTGACAGACTTTTTTAAACCAAAACTGGTTGGTCCAATCTCCAATAAAAAATAATTTAAAAGCTTACTTTTTTCATTATAGCCTGAATCATATTAAAAGTAAACCTGAATAAAAATGTGGAAAAAAATTACTTAGCTTTTTAAAAAACAGAAGAAATATTTAACTGTGCAAGCCGGTGGCAGTTGTGGCCCATTGTTTGTTGGTTCATTGACTTACCGAAGCTGACGAACCCACGGGAAATGCCACAAAACGCTTGCCCCTCGAGAGTTTCCGCTGCGAAAATGGGGCCGCATGTGGTGTCAGTGGGTCCTGGTCGAAGTCGGTTTCCTCTTTTGTGACGAGTCCTGGCGGAGGCAGCGTGACATTGTTGACTTTGGCGGCTTCGTGACTCGTTGCCGGAGCAAATACATCCAGCGATTCAACGGATTCACTCTGGCACAGGCCCAAGAGAGTTGCTGTGCAGAAGAACAGTGGTAGCATCTGCCAAGTTGTAGACATTTTTCCAACTGATTCAAACTTTTGATTATTGATTTCCACCACATTTCTTTCATCTTTTTGTCATTTCGTTCAACGAAACAAAGGCCAACATGTTAATTAAATTAGAGTCCAGTCAACTGACCCACTTTAGTGTAATGTCTTGGCCAAATAGAAGCTCGCGATGCGTTTGGCTAAATTGAAAAGCCACGCGAACGAAATTCTAACTTGGCCACCCCATCTAATCTGAAGTTCACTGGTTTGTAGTAAGTTAGTTCTTCGCTAGGCTCCACTCACTTCGCTATGGAGAATCTGATTTGGTTCAAAGGTTTGGTTCTTGGCTCCTTTTTGATGACTTTTGCTTTGGCCAGCAATCAGTCAAGTACAGCTTCTTTGGAGAATCCCAACCGACGCGTCACCTATATGCTAGAAAAGAGCCATCTTCTGCATCGACAGAAACGGTGGCTTACCTTTGAACTAGGAACTTCAATGACTGTAAGTTTGAATCATACATACATATAAATAAAAAAATATATTCATAATGAGAGTCAATAAAGGTAGTTTGGTTGAAAATGTTTTTTATTTGTTAGATCTCTAAGAATTTTTCATAGACTCTTAGTAAAATTAAAATTCTTCCAATCAGCTCACAGCCAACTGCGCTAAAGCCATTCTGGATACCATTCCGAGGGGGATGCTTTGGCTGGCGGAGATCACGAGCATTTACGAGATGCCGGCGGCGGTCGAAGATTGGATACCCCGTCGCGTGGGAAAGCCTAAAGTGAAACCACCTCCCCCACCGCCACCTCCTCCGCCACCACCACCTCCTCCTCCTCCACCGCCACCGCCACCTGCTGTTGCACCCGTTGCATTAACTCCTCAACCTGTGTTTGTGCCCCTCAGTCCCTCGGATCCCATACAGTCCTTCTACTTCGCCTACCCACAAGGCATTCCCACCCTGAGTCGTCGCAAGTCCTACACGCATCAGATGCAGGCCGGATGTCCTGCCTCGCATCTGGTCAAGGATATGTATGGCACTTACTACTGCCGTCCTTCGGCCATGTCGCGTCGCCTTAGGCGCGAGTTGGAAGCAAACGGAGCTACGGTGATCAACCATAAATCTAGTCCGCATGGAATGCTTTTCGACCTTGTCAGCATGATGGCCACCATGTAAGTGTGTTGGATATAATTTCGCGAATAATATGCTATTTAATAAAATATCACTCTTGCTGGACAACTTTTGCATAATTTTAAGAACTCTGACGAAACTTCAATCTATTTAATATTCACTTTTCGCCCATTCAGGTTCAATTATCAGCCCCGGTACTGCATCATGCGAACGTTGTGCGAGTCCCGGCATCTGCTGGCTCCGCCCGGCTTAACGCTCTTCCACGATATCCTCCGCATCATGCTGCGTTACGTGCATCCGGAGATTGCACATAAACCGAAATATCGGGAGGCCTTCACCGCCGGCCATTCACTGCATGAATGCGCCAACCTCTACGGGCCCCACTGTCGGCAGAGTTTTTTGCTCCTCGTCACCGAACGGTTTCGGGGGAAATATGTGCATTGATTAAATAAAATTGAAATAAGGAAAACATGAAAATAAATTTATTGAACAGGGCAGAAACGAGGGAAACAAATAACTAGTGTCGGCCCATATAAATGCCAAGTGGTTACTGATGCAGACAGTTCTTTCATAATGGTCTGAGAACTCTTATTACTTTCGTTTCAGTTTAATATTTAATAATCTATGAAATGGTGCATAAATATTATAATGATGCAAATTGACTGAAGACTTTTATATTATTTGTGTAAGTTATTGAATTTATTTTCAGTTATTACTAGAACTTTTTCATTTCTTTATTATTTTCGCGAACAAAGAATAAATATAAATAAAAACTGACTGCATAAATTGTCGAGTAAAAACATTATTTTTTATTGATTGTGTTAAAAAAAATAATGGAAATTAAGTAAATACGAACGGATAATTGTTGATGATGATTCCCTTTATTTAATACTTCTGTTTACATAATTTGTTGTCTTTAAGGACTGATAAAAAATAAATGAAATAAGATTTATATGAAAATAAAATATTTTTACGTAGAGAAGGGTATAGAGGTATTGAACGATCCAATTGGAAATGCAGCTCCCAGTTGTGGGAGCTGTATTGTAAATTTCATAATTTGTGCTATTTGTTTTGCTCGTTACAATGCTGACAATTGGACTGGAAGTAAAAACAAAGTGAAACAAAGAGCTTTTCACACTGTTGACAGAAATTTACATGCTACAACAATCAGTGTTGGCCGTGTTGACATTTGGTCTATTCTGGAGTAGGTCGAGGAGGGCCCTTACAATCGCTGGTTAATGGCGTCCGTGGTAAGTGACTTTGCAGGTGGCTGCTAATCAAATCAATCAACAAAACGTTAAGCTAATAAGCCGCGAAAACATGGACCTCCCAATCGAATTCTTTTGGGTTTCCAGTTCAGTTTACAACTGAAAGCCCTGCCGTCAGAATGGGGCTACTTCGGACCTACCATCTCAGTTTTGTGTTCTTAGGCCTTTTGGCTTTTGACTTAGTGCAGGATGTGGGGACATCCGAGGTGCAAGAACTCTCTTCCAATACCACCCAAGCGGTGGCTAAGATCCTGAGTCGGCAAAAGCGTTACCTAGCATTTCCTGAGGGATCCTCCGTTTCGGTGTGAGTTTGCAGACATTCGACTACGCGAAGAAATGGCTTTAATGGAGACACTGTTTTAGGGCGCCATTTGCATGACCATTGGCATGATCGGCAACCCTGATGTGGACTACCTCAGTTGGGCGGTCAATTGGGGCGTGGCCTATGATCTGCCCAATGAGAAGTGGGTCATCCAGCACGCTCATGGACTGAATGCTACTCTGGCAAAGGACACAATCAAAAGGCGATCCAGGCGAGCATTTTACGACGAGGTGCAGTCTATCTTCGATAAGTAAGTAAGAGGTCCTTTGAAGATTATACGGCTTCAGACCTTGCCTAATATTTTTTAAATCAACTTTTCCAGTATGGGCTTTAATGGTCGGTCATGTGTGGCCCGAGCTCTCTGTGAAAGTGCCAGGTTTATGCTGCCGAGCCACCACAAGGGTAACATGTTGCAAGAATTGGTCAGGACTGTCTTTAGCATGCCACCTTCCAAGGTGGCGGCCCAAGAGCCTCAAGCTCACCATCAATATGATAAAATCTATCGCCGCTCCAAAAGGAATTCACGAGAATGCCATGAAATTTATCCGGGCTGTCAGTTTTCTTTATTGGCACTTGCTCTTGGAAAATATATGTCGGCTACTACCACTAAATTTAGCGCAATAAACTACATGTAAAAACAATTAATAAAATGTAAGACTACTGAAACATAAAGTAATCTTTTATTTAATAGAGTACTTTCCCGACCCAGAACAAAACGCATAGTCATATTTTTTTAAAACAAATTATTTTCATTCTTCTTTATTTAATAACGCGTAACATTTATTTATATAGTAATTGTTTTCTCGTTTTTAATGTGTTGTTGTTTTTTTAATTGTTCTCAATTTTAGTGTTATTTTTCGCAATTGTTGCTATTATTTTAATTTGTTTTTGCGTTTAGCTTAAGTTCGTTATTTAGTTTCTTACATTTAACTTTTAATGCATTTTCATTTTGTTTTATAGTGTTACGTTAGTCAACATATTAATTTTCATTCTATCAATTGTTTTTATTTTTATACTTTTTGTTAATTTTTGTTCTTTAATATTCCGTTGAGTTTTCATCAATTTTTCAATGTTTGTTTCAATTTTTTGCTTGCTGGCTGAGCGTGAGTGTAATTTATTTTAATTTTTGTTTGTATTTTTTATGTAATATGTTTGCTGTTTTGTTGTTGTTCAAGAGAGTTTCGAATATATATTTAATATATATAGTGTTTATGTATATATATTTATATATATTTATGCATGTATTCGTTATGTATTCATTTGTTAATGTGAAATGTAAATGCAACGCTTTCTCCATTTAAACTTAAGTATTGTGTCTCATTTATTTGAAATACTGATGCACAAATGTCCTTTTGATCTCTTTTGGAGTAGCTTGTTGCCGATCTTTTGCATTGATTTGCAGTGTCAAAGGTTGCTTAGCCTATTCTTAGATCTCGTTATGTTTTAGTTGCAAATATTTTACATAACTTTTCTCATGGATTATCGTTACTTAGCTTACTTACGTTATGCGATTCCATTTAACTAAATTTTCAATTTAGTTAAAATTGATTTTGTGTAGAATTTTTAGTGAGCGCATTGGACGCCTAACTAAATGTTTTTACCATACATGTATTTATATCTGGCATTAGTTTACTGCGTATATGTATGTATATTAAATATTAAACTTTTCATTTTTTATTTTTATTTTTTTTAATATTTTTTCTTGAGCAAATTGTTGTTAGTTTAGCCCGTGGGCATTATATCTTTAACTTTAATATTCGTGGTGTTGTTTTCCCCAGTGAGTTGCAAGATTTGAAGATTTGCCATTTTCTTTGGTTTGTTTGAAGTTAAAAATCTTGATGCTAAAATTGTTTTTATACTTTGATCGAACGAATTGAAAGAAAATGTACACAAAAATTTGCAACGGAAGCTCTTAAGACTATCGGCACCTAACAATTAGTACTAAAAATATACACACAGGTTTGAATGCATGTATAATTTTTAACTCTAAACACTATGCACTCCAAAATACATGTATATAGTTAGTATTTGGCTTAATTATGTGACTGACTTACAATTTATGAATTTACACATTTGATTTTGGCTTCGTCTAGCGCACACACACACATGCAATGCCTTTCACACGGATTCGTACGGAACACATGCACACAAGCAATAAATATTCGCGAGTATTCGGGTGGTGTTGGTGAGTATGAGTGTAAATGTGTTTGTGCAGTTTGCAAATCTGCGAATATGTTCGAAAAAGATTCGATTTAAAATTTCTACCCTTGGAATAAGTGTTTTTCTGTAAAATGGGGGTATAGGGTCCTTAAATTAGATGTCTGTGTGTGGTCTGTGCATTGGAAAATGGAAATATCTTACAAAAGTCGTATAGTCTTTGTCTACGAGTATGCAGAAGAAAGCATTTCAAATTCGATTAATTGCATGGTTTGCCGAAAACCATGTCGGGAAGAAAATGTATTGGCTCTGACTTGCGTGAATGTGTGGCGGTGTCTAAATTTGATTTTAGCTGTCATTGAAACCGTTTGAATGGATTAATTTAAGTGTCGTGATGTCTTGTATTTTCGCAAATTGAGTAGCCGAATCGGATCGGAATATTTTGGCATTTGAAACTACACGACGAGATTAATTGAGAAGCTTGTGAAAGAGTGTAGTTCATCTATTGTCAGGTACTTGATTAGTTAATGGGAACTGAAATGGGACAGAGTTGAGAAAAGTGGTTGAATGTTGCCGTGGATTCTGTGGTTACCCCTAAATGTATGCAACAATTATTGGCTAAATGATTTTGCAGTGCAGTGTGTGTGTGTTTTAAGTGTTTTATGGTGTGTGTTTATATAGAATGCATTTTTGCATTAAACCAGCTCCATAGTTGCTTCCAATTTTTCACTTTTTTCTGTTTTCTTTAGCAATACGCAGACTTTGATTCTTGTTGTGTTTGCTACAAAAGACGACCTTTGATTGGAAGACATACGATTTTATGTTTTTTGAATCTCAGGGTCAAGCCGCATATTTATCAAATACTTCAATTTTCTGTTTACATCATAATTATTTTGCATTTGTGTTCTTCACTTTGCTTGTTTTAAATATATTTTTTTTAATAACTATTTCGCGTTTAACTAATTATGATATTTGTTAGTGCTAATTGTGTGTGGCTTTAAAACGTTTCTCAATTTTTTTAAAATGAAACACGATCAGAATAAATGCCCCTATTGAAGTCGAAAGCATTGCAAATTTTCAAATCCTTCTCTTGAAAGCAACTACAAATCTTTTCGGGGCATTTTTCTCATTGTCAACCGTTTTGTGATTTTCATAATAGATGTGGTTTCTCAATGATCTTCCAGTGCTTTAGCTAAGATTGTTTCCTATCAAATTGTGAGTACACGAGTTCGTTGTCTGCTGTAACTGTAATCAAAAAATCAATTGTACTTGAAATAAATTCTATTCGCTTGCCGGATGATCGATCGTTTTTGGATCGGCGGTTGCCTCACAATATAAAGTTATTAATATTTTTAATATATTATATACAGAGATGTACTGCTTCAACTGTGTGCTGTTTTTGTGTCTGCATTGCGGTGTGTGTGTGTGGTTGGTTGGTTGGGTGTTGGTTAATTATATTCTATGTACAGAGACTTAATTGCTTCGTTTTGGTTTTTTTTCCTATATAGTTAGCACTTAGCCTCAATGTTAACTTCGAGCCCCGTGTTTCGTATCCAGACCTTACTTGACTAGGTTGAGTGGCTGTACGAGTATTGAAATCTTTTTTCTCATCGAAACAATCGGAATTTCATGCTCTTAACTAGTTCGTATATCGTTAATACTCGTACTCGTATCATAATTCCACGATTCATACATACATATACATACGTGTGTGTATATTTTTTTATATGATCTATTTGCAATCCATTCTTTCTTATTTGTGGCAGTATTTAAATTACACGGTTTCATCTTGATTACCTAATTATTTGGTTTTTTTTTATATTTGTATACCAAGCGGGCTAAACATTTAGCTAGAAACCAAAATCGAACATGTTGAAACTGAAGAGCACGATTCAAAAAGGCAAATTCAAAATGTTTGACATTATTAGCATATTATACAGTTAAACATGATTAATTCAGCTTTACGGTAGCTAAATTTAGTTAAATTTATTATTAATATTTATGAATCAATGTGAAAATGAACTGTACAACAATGAGTCTGACCGATCGTAGGTTGCATCGTAGGACCGACATTTGGAGTGATTGAGTGAACGATTGTTTGTCTCTTTGTTTGTTTGTTGGTGCAACGCGTGTGCCCGCATGTGTGTGTGAAACCAACACACTAGCACGCCTACACACCCACACATAGCCAAACCTATTTGTTTATAACCTAAAAACACAACCAATGAGAGCATATACACTTCTATGTATTCGACTTTAATTCAATTTTCAAGTTTTCTCTAGTGTCTCCGCGCTTCGTTCTCCTGTCTTGCATTAGTTAGTAAAACGGTTTTTAATTATTTCTCTATTTATTTATATTTGGCTTTAGCGTGTCGATTTCCCAAGTGAAATAATTTACAAAAATGGTATTTGTTGAAATGAATTTTGTCTAACCTCCAGCACATTCTCCTCGCTTTTTGATTTTCCATAAAAACATTTAATTTAAATATGCAATTATGTTTTTAGGGTATTCTTTCTCATTTAGTTGATTTTATTCACAGAAAAGTTACGCCATTTACTTGTCAATAGTTCTTTGTTTTAATTTCATTTCGCTTTGCTGATTTTAAATATATTTTATTAGTTGATTGTCTAAAACTATAACAAAAGACTTGTTAAGCTTGAAGTTTGTACATAATTTTATGAAATTAGGAAGCTTACAATGCAATATTCAATGCAAAATTATTTATGCAAGAACGAAAACGCATTTTAGATTGAATATTAATAATCAGCACATTTAAATACATACCAATAAAAAAATGCTTGTGTTATAAAATAATAGTTAAAGCCTATGCAAATTTTTATAGAAATATATCGTAGTATTTACAGGTCACACTAAAAAAGGGTATCTATTTATTTGCCAATGGAGATACTTTGAAAAATAAATATGGGTTGCTATTTATCGTGGGGGTGAAGTTGCATATTAAATTAAACGTTGTGTTCGGAATATTATTCAATAACTTTTTGCTCTCTGTAAACAATTTGTTGCCATCAATTTTTTTTTATCCTTTTTGTATATTTTTGCGTTTTTAATGTTTTGCATTTAAAAAGGTGCTATGTGTTGTATTTCATAGTCTATGCATTCAAACGTACGTTTAGTATATCGCATTTTTTTGGTTTTCAGACTTTTTATATTCGTTTGTCAAAACGGAAGTCGATAATGCTGTCAAATAGGTTTTAATTGTTTGTTTTTAGCATTTTTTTGTCATTTCATTTCGTTTAAATTTTATAAGCTCAGTTTAATACTTCAATATTTGATGCACAAGTATAATTTGATATTGCATATTGTGTGTGTAGTTGTTACCTTTTAGTTAATGCGCCTTCTGTGTTGCATTTGTTGTTTCAATTTTAGTGTGACAATTGTGTGTTGTTTAAGTTTAGTGTTTACGCTCATATTTAAATACTTGATTTATGATATTCCAAAGTTTATTTTGTAGGCTTTATATTACGTTTATTTAATAGCTAAATATTTAAAAAATGTTAACTGTTGATTTTTATGCACTTTACATTTTAATACACCCAAAACGGCATGCTATTTAAATTGTCATTTTAAATGTTTCCTTTTTTACCTTAACTCTACTGTGTCTGTGTGTATGTGTTGTATTTAGTGTGAATTTTAAATAAAAATATATAGTTGGATATAAAGTAATAAATAAAAACAAACAATTACTTATATAACTAAAAGTTCCCTTTGCCATACTCTCTCCGCTGCACTTGCTTCTCAGCCTTTTCAGTTTCAGTCGCAAACTGTGCCACAATCATTGGCTTGGAAAACTATTTTAATTAATTCACACTCGCAAATGTTGAATATTTTCGATTAGGAATTTTAATTAAACTTTTGCCGGTTCTCACGCACAAAAGTCGGCTACATGCAGGCATTTGGCAACAATAAGCAGCACCCAGGCAGCTTGACAACTCTGGAATTTTGCACAGGGTTTCCGTTGTAACGCGGCATTCTTGGCCCATAGTTTGTGCGGCTTTCACTTCTAGATTGGCATTATATAATGTATAAGTTCCAATCGCAAGTGCATATTTGTTTACACTTTGCATTAACTATTTACAAGCCTGATTGTAACCCTTATACACTGACAAATAAGAGAACATATAAGCGTTTCAAAGGTTAAATAATTTTTGAATAAAAATAATATTTCAAATAAAAGGTATATTTATCTTTCTTTTCCTATATAAACATTTTTTTTTTTAATAAATCTGTCTATTATTTGGTACTGTGTGGAATTATGCACATGCCACATTCCACACTTAATTTGTTGCATGCCTTTTGGGGCTGCCACGCCCCCTTTTTCATAGCGCCCTTAGTGGAATTCGTTGGCGGTTTTCGCGATTGCATAATGTTTACTATTCTTGTTGCTTTGGTGGCGAAAACTTTTGTAAAATCAATTAAAAATGCAAAGGCAAAGATGAGTGGGCGGTAGCTGGGAATTGAGAGTTGGGAGTCGAGGGCATTGGGCGTGGCATTCAACCCAACCTTGTGGCAAGTTTCGTTTGCTTTGGCATTTAAATTGAAGGTGTTTTCTGTGCGGCACTCGACCGAAGCTATTGGAATGGCCAGAACTCGGCAACAGCACTCGCGTGCCCCGTTGAAAGTAATTAAAAAGTTTTATTTTAAATTGAACTTGCCAAAGGTTTTCCGAACGCTTCGCATGCTCTGGTGAATGCATAATGAGTGCACAGAACTACACAGCCAAGCAGTGGATGGCTGAGAGCAAGGATCTGCTGCCGAACAGAAAAAACTACAGCTGCAGGGGGAAAGGAGAAGAAAACAATCAACATCCCATGAAAACCGACAGCTGAACCGAGTGCAAATGAAATGCGTATTAAACGCAATAATTTAATTGATTAAAATTGCTCCAAATTATACAAACAAAGTGCTGGCAGAATACCGATTCGCTTTAGTTATTGTTACTTGTCTGATTGTGTGGGCGTGTTTTTAATTGAAATTGTTGTGTGTTTTTGTTTTTATGTGATTTGACTATCTGCAATCCTATAAATACGTACTCTATATATTTATGTGTATGCTTGCTCGATATACTATATATTTTTTATGGGTGTGTTTTTTGTGTGTGTTTTTGTTAGTAAAAATGTGTGGCTTTAAAAATGTGACGACTTCGCTTATTTCAACATTTAACTAAATTTATTTCAGAATTTCGCGCTTCCTACGAGCCGAGTTGCCTTGCAGCAAGCTATCGGGCTTCGTTTTTTAAATATTTAATTCAAGACTACATTTGCTTAGCTACAACTAGTTACGGCTTATTCGCTAATTAAATGTAGTTTATCGTGTTAATTTTTTGTTTATTTACTTTAAAAATAGTCATGAATTTGTATGCAATTTAATTAGACCCACTCGACGTGGGCCAAATTTGTTTGCTTGCTTTGCTAAAAATAATGTGAAAAATATGCACAAATAAATAAACAATTAAAATTGATTTTATTCTTCATATGTATATTTTTGGCACTCACACACTCACTCTGTTCATTTCGCACACTGACACACTATTACTGAACACATACAGTCAGATTTAAATTTAAAATGCAATTTTAAAACATTTTCTTTGTTTTTGTTTCATTTGGTTTTGTTCTTTTTTTTTTGTTTGCTTTTTTTGTGTGAATCGTTAAAACTAAAAGATGTAACAAGGAACTTTTTGGCGCTCAAAAATACAATATAACTTACAAAACCCCATTCGCTTTATACAACACTGGTCCAGGGATCCTCCCAGCGACGATCTCCGACAACCTGAACCCCGATCTTAGTCGACCCGCAATCAAGTACATCAAAACTCTTATAAACTAACATCAGCTCCACAATCGTCGATCTTCTGGCTTGCGGAGCAAAACTCTCTCTTCCAAACTGTCCGACACAGTCGCGGTTAATCAACACCACATCCTCGCAATTTATTACATACATATTTTGATCAACTGCTCCAAAAACTGCCCTCCTTTCCACTTTGAGTTCAATTTAGTTCAATTCATTTCGCAATGTTCGCTTCACTCGCCTCGCGTTCTACGACGTGCCCCATGAGGTATCCGATTCGTTGGTGCTTACTGTGCTGTTGACAACACTGCCAAGGACACTGCTATAGTCAGTGCCACTGCTGGCATTCGTGTTGTATAGCGCCGACGAAATACTCATGGTCTGGCTCATCGTATATTATCCACGATCATCGTCGCGAGCGGCGAACAGGGTCCGCAGCGAGCTGATGATTAGATTCCACCAGCCGGCCGCGAACCCAAGTGGTCGCTATAAGGAGTTCTCGCTGCCCATCTTGAGCAGCTCGAATTTCTTCTTGGCAATCTTCGAGTAGAGTATGTCAATCGGCTGCGACTGGTCGTACAAGCTCGGTGCCTGCAAAATAATCAGTGCTGTTCCGACCACGCAAGCGATTGCGAAGATCCACAGAAACATACGATCCAACACCATGGCGACGTACTTCCAATCCTCCTCCACCTGAAAGATATGTAATTAGGGTATATTAATTCAAATATGAAACATACTATTTTTAATTGGTAGCAACATAGCAACATTAAAATTCAAAATCAAATATTCGGATGTTTAATCTCCTGCTGATTCCTGACCATTAGTACCATCATCATCAATCATTTGGCCTTTCGAAAACTAATAAAACGGCTTTGGTAGATCTATTTCAGATTTGCGGTACGTCCAAACCAGTTAAATTGAAATGTTTCAGGCCAAACATCGATTTTAGCAGAATGGCTGGTCTGCCAGGACTACACATTCCCAAGCACACACATCTACACTCAATTGCACCCTCAGCGTTTCGTCGACAAATGGCAAACTGGTGCGCTGCTGCAACCGCATGTTGCAAACTCTTCGTATTTGCGCACAAACAACTCAATCACTCAACTCCAACGACGGCGACAGCGCCATTGCCCTCTGCCTCTACCACAAACACGATCCGGAATCCCAGTCCTGGCGAAACAGGAACAGTCAGAGCCGTCATCGTTTGCTATTTTTGATTAGAGAAAACGCAGGCAACGTGATTTAACCGGCTATGGTTAGTTTTTGGAGCTGAGGTGGTGGCGCTGATTTTTTTTTGTGCCTGGGTGGCTGTCGGACCCCGTCTGATTGCATCTAATGCGGGTTATCAAGAGCAGACGTAAACAGAACACCAGACATGCTGGCTGGTCTCGTGGCTGGCTTGTTCCAGCTGCGATTGCCAGACAATGATTGCCGCTGATTGCCAATAAAGGCGAGTGATTCAACGACTTTCTGTGTGAATCGAAAATGGCAGAATGAAAAATTAAAGGAACCTCTTCAATTTACGACTCTCAGCTTATCCGTTGTGGGTGGATCATTCTATTCTTAAAATAAATTCTCAAATATATACTTACACTTTCGAACTTGTCCTTGTTTTTCACATGCTGTGCTATAAAGCGCGATCCCTCGATGGTCTTTTCCATTTCGCGGGCGTATGGCTTCTCAAACGTGGGACTAAGATCGGCGGCTGCGGCCGCGGCAGCCGCTGCAGCTGCCGGACAGCATCCGGGACTGATATCCCCATTTAGACCCGAGGGGCTGAAGAGGTCATCGTCGGCACCGGGCAATGGCAGTGAGGAGGGCAGAGGTGGTTCACCAAAGCAGTGGGCGCTGATGCCACCAGCCGCGGCCAAATCGAATCGGTGCGAGGCGGGAAGAGCTGAAATATTTCAAATGTGAAAGATTAAAGTATTACATAAGAACAGCATCATTCTCTTACAGTTATTTAGCCTCTAAGTATTGTTGAGAATACCTAACAAGACGCAAGCGTACACTGCGTATACTTAATGTTTAGTACCAAAAACTAGAAGTACAAAAACATCGATAATTTATAAACATCGATGGATCGATGTTTTTTGCACCTCTACCAAAATGTTCATATTTGTATAATATTATGCATAGTAGGCTTTATAATTTCGTTTACATCGTTTTGACAGCCAGTATGTAAGTATGCATTCAATACAAATCGTAAGCAGTATCAGTAGGTAGGCATAAGGTAGGCATTATTACTTCTACTAAAAACCGGCAAACTTTCCAACCATAATTTTTTCAAACTTTTCTGTTTTCTTTTGTGTGTTAGATAAGACAGAGTTTTACCAAAAAAAAAGCGAAATTTGAAGCAAAATTTAATGCAACATGGAACAGTCGCAATGGGTGCGGTTACGACTAGATCGTCCCGATTCTTCGATTAGATTGACAAGACGTCCACGCATTTCCCAAATCGAAAGGTCCACAGAAGCTACAGGAGGGTCTTTAGAAGTGGCAGGAGCTGATGCGGCAGGAGCTGCAAGAACCATAGCAGATAATGATGCAGTAACATTGGATCCCACTGGACAAAACTTGGAAGAGGTCAACAGAGCCAATGGGCGGGAGCCGAACGATGGATCTCTTTATGATTGTAACATATGTCTGGACACAGCTAAGAATGCGGTTGTGACTATGTGCGGCCATTTATACTGCTGGCCCTGTTTGCATCAATGGCTATTGACGCGACCCTCGAGGAAGGTTTGCCCAGTATGCAAGTCGGTTATCAGCGCAGAAAAAGTCATTCCACTCTATGGACGGAATAGTGCACAACACAATGATCCACGCTACATAGGTCCACCCCGACCGAGAGGACAACGTACTGAGCCAGCACCTGCCTTCTTCGGAGTTGGAGGCGGTTTTTTGTTTTTTGGCATCGGTGGCTTACCGTTCGGGTTTTTAACTTCAAACAACTTTCGACGTCCTGTCAATCGCGGCAGGAACAACGCACAATTGCAGAACGGGGACGAAGAACTTCTTTCAAAATTGTTTCTATGTTTTGCTTTTATACTCATCGGATGGCTGCTTTTCAGCTAAAGATGTAACCAAGAATGTAACCAATGCTTGTGGTCCTTGTGCTCCGGAGTACATACTGAATACACAGCTTCAAATTACTATGTTCCGATGTAAATGGTTACAAGCAAATATTCGAAAATATATTTGCCGCTAATGTTAGGTGTTCGTAAACATATTATGCTACATAGTACGTATGCGTTTTAGGTAATTGCGTATAAGAGTTAATTAATTATGAAGCTGCAAGGTTTAAGGACCAAAACAGAGGAAAATAAATAATTACGTTATATAAACGAAAAATCTTCTTTCGATCATTTATTTTTCACATGGACCTTGCATTAATGGCATTAGGCAAATAAAGTTGTAAATGCAATTTGTAACTTTGCTGCTTTGTCTTTGGCGCAATTCTCCGAGGCACAATGTCCTCGAAGGAAGTGAACGGACAAAGGACCCTCAACCTCGAGCGCACGGCTCAGCAGAAGCAGCACTACTGACTGCACTGCCCGGTATACAATACGGAAACTCAATAAATAGTTTTCTGCATTCTGTTTCCCATTTATTTCGCTTAGCCATTTGAAAGTTTCAGCTTCTTTCTTTCCTTTAGTTTCCTCCGGCTTCTGCTGCTGTGAAAGCCACTTTAACGGAGAAATTATTCAATTTTGTAACCAAGAGCTTAAGTAAAAGCTTGAACACTCTTTAAGTATTTTCTTTGCACGCGAAATTGGATTTAGTTTCAAATACACAATATTACGTATACGCCAGGAAACTGAATTTAATTTTGATCTACGATGAAAAGTTTGGCTTCAGTGTAATGCCTCATTTAAATGCTGTCAGTTGGCGGTGACAAAGCGATACGAAAGCCATTTCAGGGAACTTATTATTCTCCGTCGAAACTTTCCCTTTTGCCAGCGTCCTTGCAGTTGCACTTGTTAATTGTCATAAATTATTTGGACCGCCCTGGCCCAGCGTCATTATAAAGTGGCGTGTCTGAATGCATATAATTTCAATGTTGTTGTGCATATTTAAAATGGAATATAAACTGGCAAGTTGCAAGTTGTACGTTGCAGGCTGTTCGCTCCATGCTTCGTCGGTAATGTGCCCACTAAAGCCAGTTGAAAACATGCATAAATTTCCCAGCTGCGGGAGCAGGAGCAGCAGTAGAACAAGCGGCACAAGAAGCCCAAGATGCAAAGTTCTACACAGAAAGTTTGCCTCAAGCAGAGCAAGAAAATAGAAGAAAACTTTCCCCAGCTCTCAGTGGGATTCTCTTCAGCGGCTTTCACCGAAAGGAAATTCTATTGTTAAGACAACCGACGGGTGGCAAACTAGGGGGTGTGTTTGGGGCGTGGAATATCCTACCTGGTATGCCGTAGTCACCGCTGAAGCGCTTGGAATCGTAGTTGACAAACTTGTCCACATCTGGGGGCAGGTGATAGACATCGGTGAGCACTTCGGGCGGCTGATCCTCTTCGGGCTCCTCTTTTTTGGGCCTCTCGATGCATAGGAGTTTCGGCAGGATCTGGATGAACAGGCGTTGTACCCAAGGCGCCATACGATGTGTAACAGGTGATCTAAAATGTAATACAAATTAATTATGTGCAAGAGATCAGGGCATACATTTTCGGTTGCTTCTGGAAATCAAAAACTCACCTGAAGTTTACATTAAGCACCGCAATGGTTACCACTACGGAGAGCGTGACGAGCATCATGGTGAATAGCAGGTACTTTCCCAGTAGTGGCACCGTTAACGAAGTCGGCGGAATGATCTCGGCGAGCAGCAGAAAAAACACAGTGAGCGACAGCAGGATACTGATACAGAGTGAAATCTTTTCACCAGAGTCACTGGGCAGGTAGAAGACGAGCACCGACAGGAACGAGATGCCCACACAGGGTATGATCAAGTTGACTGTGTAGAAGAGTGTCTTCCGCCGCAGTGTTAGATTGAAGACAATGTCCAGGTAGGGCTCTTCACAGCAACTGTAAAACTTTTCGTTCCTTACTGCCGGCACTCGCATAATATCCCATTCCACTGAAATGTAATAGTCCTGCAAGTCGATGCCCACCTCGATGTTGTCCGAATCAGCGGTTTGCTTCAAGTGCCTCAAATCCACCTATGAATGTGATAAAAAGATAAATTTATAAATATTTACCAAAATATTACTGGCTTAAATCTAAAGAAACTCGTCTTCCAACCCAGCATCATTTTATTAAATAGTCTCTGTGGATTAGACAGATCAAAGAGTGGGATAATCAATAGAAAAACAGGCACCTGCTGTTTTCTTTAAAGTTACTGATTTATGCCCCGACAACTTTGGTAACTGCTGCACCTGTTCGCCCCGACGCGAACCCAAGCCAATCATACATCTATTTATGTTGATTTGTTGGCCCATTTCCCTTTGCAACATTTGCCCCAAGTGTCGCTTACGGTTTCCCCCTGCCGGCGGAAAAATCAAAGGTGATGGAAAAACGTACTTTCTGACAAATTTTTGACAATCGTCAATTGCACGCCGAATAGCACGGTTGGAGGATGCGGGAGGATACGAGTCTCATTCCGAGTCTGTTCCGGCACCTAGCTCGGTGGCGGCAGATGGCAGGAATCGAGATAAGTTTCGCTCACGTGCGGCCCGAAACGCAAATGACATTACGCTTGTAACCTTTATTTCATTTCCATTTGGCTTGATTTGTCATTTCTTGTCTGTTGCTCATTTATCAGTGGGCCACCAGCATATTGCAGATAATAAACTTGGAACAATAAACCCCTGATTAATAGATAGGGTACTGAAAGTTACTTATATGGCTTCCCTATGTATTGTTTAACTATTTCCTAACATTTGGCTTAGGGGTTAGGCTTGTAACTTTAGATACAACCTTAGCTAGCTCAAGACTAGTATAATAGTTATTGCAAGCGAGGGAAACACATAAGCCTGTCAGCCCGTTCAGACAGCCGTCATTAATAGCTCGTCCTACATTTGCGCTGACACTGTAAAATGGCCAAAAGTCGATCCCGAAAATTCCATCCCGTACGAGTCTGGGGGCTTACAAGGAAGTCGAAACTCAATGAAGCATGCTCGAAATTTGTGATGCGTGAAAAGGAAGAAAACGAAAATTTATATGTTGAATAATGTGCTGTCATTTTTCGATTTTTCTCCCGTGTTTTCGTTTTTCATCCATTGTTGTTGCTCATAATGCCCATGAAATAAAAACAGAAGGCAAGGCCCTCCAGCAACGCAACAGTTGGGCGTATTTGGAGTATTTTTTTAATATCCCTTTTTAAAGGACACATCATTTTGTAAAAAATTCCTAAAAGAATTGAATTTTTTTTATTTCATTATATAGCTACATATGTATATGGGTACTGTATTATGACGTTTGGATTATAGGCTTTAAAAGTACACATTTTTTCGAGTTGTCGAAAAGTTACTATAAAATATGATTCAGGGACTCGAAAAAACTGTAATAAACACTATAAAATGTTTTTCACTTTTTTGTTTTGTGGGTATTAAAAGCTTCGGGGCTTTGAACTTTTTCGCATTTCCCTTTTTTTTTTTGGCTCAGCTCGTCCTTCTAAATATTTATGCGTCCCTACACAAAAAGTTTTTGAAAAGGCGTGGGCGTGGCTGGTTCATTAAACGCCAGCTGGCAGCTGTTATCTCTTACACACACACGCATCCCCGCACATACAACCACCCACCACCCACACTGCCTCACGTACGTGAATCAAGCTTCACTTGATTTATCGCATGACAGCAAGTGAAACGTGTCAAGTGTACGGGAAAAAACAAAATAAATATTAACAGCCAAATTCGAATAAAAGCACTCATATATATTAACCATGAAAATCCAACCGATTAAATAAAAGAGGACCTTTTCATTTTTTAACATATTTAAATAGTCATTTTCTTGCAATCCTCCCATTCTCCCAATACATATTTCTTAAAATTAATGTATTTATAATCGAGTCAGAGCCACGTTTGATTAGCACTCAGGCGGCGGTAACTGATGCCCAGGCGGTAGGCCCAAACTCAACGATTTTATATTTTTCAGGTTTTACTTTCCATCGAATTTGATTGATGGGCTGAGACATAATCTGTTCGTGGCCAGAGTTGCCAGCTGTTGCCAGCAGAGATTCTTGGGCAACAACGTTCACTTACCATGTATCCGTCGTACGTCCAGGAGCCGAACTTCATGAAACATGTCTGCTCATCGAAGGGAAAGTATTCCACATCAATTTCGCAAAAGGATTTGTAAATGGCGGGCGGCTTCCACACCACTTTGCCAGTGTGATGAAGAATTGCTTTTGTCATTATTGTCACTTCATAGTTTCCATCGGCGCTGGAAGAGAGAAGAATGGGTATTTATTAATAAATTATAATATTTTATTTAAATTACTTAAGCTTATTTATTTTCTATAAAAGTTGTGGGCTCCTTTAGCTTTTATTAAGTTGGCAATTAGCTAACAAAAGTTTTTTGTGCCCCATAAAAAGGCTCCAGCTAAATACAACTTAAAAGTGCTGAACTAATTAAAAATACATTTTAGCTTCTAATTACAAATTCATTTTAGACTACAAAATTGCGGCTAATGTTGTTCTTTCTTTTATACTGCTAATTCTGTTTCCGCTGGGATGAAACACGCCTCCATATCAGGCATATAGAATCGGTGACTGCGGACCGTAGTCCATTAGCGGCAAGGTCCTTTTTAGCTCCTCTGGCTATAACCACTGGCCAGAGACGTACACTAAATCTAAATCCAAAAGCAAAGCATTTTAAAATGTTATTACAACAACAGCAGTGGCAGTGGCAGTAGCAGCAGCAGCAGCAGCAGCAGTAGAAGAAGCAGCAACAACGATCAGGCAACCATTAATGGCTAAAAACCATTTAAAATGGCTGTCGGCAATGCACAGGCACACATACATTCACATTCACAGTCGCAGGGGAGCGAGATGAAGATAAAGAGGAAGTAGCATGGAGTCTGGGGCGACAGAGAAAGAAAATCAACAAAGAGAACAAAAGTTTATAACCGAAACCGAAAAAAGCCAAAACCACGCCTGGGGGTCACCGCAATTGCAGCCATTATCTTAACGGTGATTCACACACACACAGACTGACACAAAAACACACTCTACACACAAACAGGCCAGAAGAGAGAGCCGGACAAGACGGCGTATGAGTGTCATCGTTGCGGTGGCAGTTATCCTGGCCATCCGAGCCGACGGCGCCTGCCGCGTCTATCAGCGCGTTAATCTCAGCGCCGCACAGCGAGCGCCATCTTTGTATCTCGGGGCCCAGTCAAAGTTTTAAGGCCGAGGCCCAAATCGAAGCCACAGTGGGATGTCATCGACCAGAAGTTATCAAAGGATGTGGCTAAGACTGGATTTAATTTTTGTGCAATACTGAATATACTTCTTGTATTATTATACTTATTATTATTTAAGTGATACGTGATTTAAAGTTTAAAGTTAAGAATGAGCATAGGAAATAATCTATATCAATTTTTGTACGAAATATTTCTTTAGAAGTTGTAATTATTATTTATTTAATCTTCTGAATAAAGCCTAGTACCACTGTACTGTAACCGAATTAAGGGAGTTGGCCAACCCGCTGCTGGCCAAGAAAAAACTTTTTGCTGACTTTGTTGCCGCTGCTGTCCCCTCGCTCCTTTTGCCTTTGTCTTCCTTGTATTCCGTGGGCTTCCTCGTCCCAGCCTCCCTTCCGCCCACCAAAGAGGTCCTAGTATTTCTCCACGCCATTTTTATTTTTATAAATCTAATGAAAGATAATGAAATTTTATTTCGTTTCTTTTGATTTCAGCGCAGTTGTCGTCAGCTTTCATGCTCAAAACTAAAAGCCAACAGCAGTTGAAAAAGAATCACAGATACGAGCGGCGGGAGCAAGGATATACTGGGAGGTAGCCCATCTAGAAACATACAATAATAGAATTAAAGTGGCTGTGGCTCCTGCTTCTGCTACGGTGTGGGTGGGTGTTGGGCCGATGGGCTATGCGGAGTGGGCGTGGCGCTTGGTCGAAGCACAGGCTTCGCAAAAGTTCAGCTGATAATAAAGTTGTCAACAACATTCATTTAATTAAAGAAAACAAAGGCAAGCAGAGCACTCTCTGCTGGGAATAGTATGGTGAGTGCAGGGAGGGAGTACCAGAGTGTGTGGGAACCAGAGTGGTAATGGGGGGTCTAATGCTTAGGCAGAGATTTATGGCATTCGGCTAATATGGCATCTCAAAATGGTAATGCGTTTTGGCCACTCACCCTCACAAGTTTGGTGAAAGCGAGTGTGTCCTCGGATTTAGCAAAAATTGTTTTTTCGACCGAATGTGGTATACGGGTAAAGCCATACATCTGTTTTAAACGGCTTTTATGAGAAGTATTTGATTGAAATTTAACAAGAGAACAGACTATGACTAAGCTCTAGGAAAAATAATGAAAATAAAATAAATATCGTCCCACTTTCCTCTCCTTCCAGAGTCTAGACAAATAACTGTTATAACTAAAGAAAACGCGAGCTAAATAGCCAAGAATAAACTCATGTATAATGCCAGTTAACCAAAATCATAACCAATCGCATAAACCGCCAAGTGCGGCCAGAATAAGCTGGCTTTGGGGTTTGGGTGGCATAGACCAAAACCGAAGCTGGTCTTGAGCAGTCGAGTGAGATTTTAATTTCTTGGATCAACATGAAAATTAATTGCTGGAATTAAGCGGCTTTCACAAATACAAACAGTGAGCCGAGTGGGAATCTGAGGAGATGCTGCTGTGTCGCCGAGACGTTCGGCAGTCACGTCTGCCGGTTGTATGCGCGTTTGATGAGCTCACATACGGGCAGATAATTAGGCCAGCTCCCAGGAGGCTACTGGCGCTCTGTTCGAGTTGAGTGCAGAACAAATGCAGGGATAATTGCAATTAAACATTAACAAAATTTTACCAAAATGTTGCAATACGCTGTAGTAGCAATAGTTCTTTGGCCAATGCATTGCCGCAAACAATTACAAAAACACGCGGCAATACCAGAACGCTCGCAATAAATTACAACTTTTGACGCTTGTTTCAAATTCTTTTGTGGGCCAAAATTTCGGCCCTGAGTGTTGGAATGTTTCGGCCCATCCGTCTGTGTGTGTTTGCGTATGCGGTTTAAGTGCCTCACGCACGCAGGTATTTGTGGTGGTAGCTGGCACAAATTTGGGCCATTTACAAAAGCCCGGCCCCAGAGCCTGGCCAACTATTTATTTTGTTGCCATTTCGCGTTTAGCAGACAATTAAACATTTTTCATTGCATACAAATGGCCACGGCGAGGGGGCATCCCGGCGCGTCCCCATTTACCATAGTGGCAGGAGGAAAAAAGTTGCATCGTAAAATAGATTGCCATCGTCCTTGTTGCTGTGTTGATGTGTTGCACTGTGTGCATCGTGTGACAATAAACGCGTTTTTCCTCCAGCTGCCGCACATGTATTTGCATTTAAAATTACAACAAACGAGTGCAAGCAACGCAGAGCTGCGTTTTTTTCTCGCTTTTGTATCCTGCAATACGTTGCATTTTGCTGCAGCTTGGTACTTAATTTTTGTATAAATTTCTGTTGCCGCTTGCCGGGGAATGTTTGCTTCAAGGATCAAAGGAGTTGAGCCGGCTCCTCCCAGAAGTGTAAACAAATCAAGCTAAGAGCACAACTGAAAGAAATTGATATTGACATTGGACTTACGTTTAATATCCTTGTGGAAACATTAAAAGCCGACAAGATAAACATTCGACTATCATTCATTTAATTTTTATGAATTCGGTACAGATTTGTGCCGAGATTCTACGGGTGGAATGCCATAAAAAGGGCCGTAAGAAATCACCTCAACTAGCCACTAAATTAAATGGACTTTGGCCAGGCCATTCGGATTGGCAGCCGGAAAGCAAAGCACAATTAAGTTCCTGGCACAAAGGACACTTCAAGTTCAATTTTATGCGATTGCGGGCGGCGGCAACAGAGCATGGCTTCATTATGGTGTGTACAAATTATTTGCAGTTTAAAAAACGACTCAACGACCAAAGCCGGTCATATAACACTCGGAGTGTTCAAATAGGAAGCCATACACTGAGAGAAATATAAAAAACAAAAAAATAAGACTAGTAAGACTTCAACTAGTCTATTACTTTTTAATTATATGTCATAATATTATGAACAAAAAAAATATGTATTTAAAAAAAGGATATTTTATAAAATATTTAATGAATTGGAGATTTAAGCAATAAAAAAAATAAGGTAAACCATTAGTATATTTCTTTAGATGTCCGATGCCGTTCTGTGTGCTTGGAAGAGAAGAAGTTGCCATAGTTACTCACAGCTATAGGGACAAAGGCTTTGTCGTTGCTGGCAAATGAAATTTAAGCTTTTTCCAAGCAATAAATTACGACTTTTTATGACACTGCCAGCGAAACACCCCAAAAAGTATGCTATGCGTATAGTTGCCTTAGCCAAGCCAGTAGAATAAAATACAAAAAAAGTACGTAATACGTATCTTCGCCATTTTGCCCCACCCATCGACATACATAAAGGGCCCATAAAGCGCGTAAGCCGATCTGCCAGTGAAACAGAAACAGCAACCGAAACAACAAGAACAACAGCGCCAGCTATGACCAAGATATCCTGACCGATGTCCTGGCCATTCGAAAGGAAGAAAAGAGCTCGCCAGCCAGCTTGGCAATTCGACAAAGTCAAGTGTCTCGGCAACCAAGCTGAAACTGGACAGTGGTAAGTATATAACCAAAATAAAGTGAAAATATATTATGGATACAAGTCTAAGGATAGGGGAAATTTACTGTCTTAAAATAATATAGTTGAATAGAATTTTTTATTTTATTTTTTTAAGACTTGACAAAGCAGCTAATAAATGAAATGAAATAATGTTGACTGCCATCTCTGTGCTTATTCAACTTCCACTGAAATTCTTGTTAATATCAATCAAATTTTCCACACGATCTCATTCAAACGCTCCAATTGTTTCAGTGTACAGTCGCCTAATTGGCTCTTCTCCAGAAACCAAATAGGATGCAAGGCAGATAATAATAATTATACCAAGCGGAGCCAAATAAGGCGTTCAATTTGAGAACAGGACTAAAACCAACTCGAGACATAAGCCGGTCCCCAGCGTGCTCCGAAAAGCAAACCGCAGGCTCAAGTTACATTGAAATAAAAATACGTTAATCATCGCCTGATAAATGGCCGAGTGGAGAAACAGTTTGGCTTTGATTTATACCGCCGCCTATTCGGGGCAATTATGCAAATGGCAAGTGGCTCCAGGGCAGGAATTTGGGAGCTAGGCCTCCAAGGACTCGGCCTAGCCACCGGCTAGGACCAATGTGAAAATTAGTTCAACACTTACTTGTTATAGAGCACAATATCCGGCAACCATATATGCTCGGAGGGAACGTGCAACGTGTCCACGCCGCCATAGTCATCGGGATTCCATTTCAATTTGTAGTCATTCCATTCCTGAAATTGCAAAATTTTACAATTATAGTGAGAGGATAGAAATATTAAAGCATTGATAATAAATGTCATAAATAATAGAAACATAATGATAAAAATACAAAATTAGAAAATGCTGGGACACTACTCAGTGAATTATTCATTTGTGGTTCTGGGCGTTTAACTCTTGTATCGCTGCATTTCAATTTCATTAATTATGCATTAACTCATTGGTTGCTAAGCTGTTGGCATTAAATTACATTTTCATAATACAATTGTGTCGTTGTGGAGATGCCCATTAAAATTGTTGTCTGAAGGGAGTATGGGTTTGTGGGAAATTCAAAGTATTCTACAATGTATACAAAAATTATAAACTTTGCTTATAAAATGATTTCCACTCAAATTGGGACTTAAAGTTTCAACTTGAATAAGTCAAGGGTATCCTTAAATCCTGACACATTAATACCATCGTGACTTGTTTTTTTATTGCTTATACATATAACTGTAATTATGTTGATTGCCACTTTCCATATATACATACATTTATTCGACCAAACCGAGTGGGAGCCATCACACTGGGGATTATGTGAGTTGGGCCTGCCCGGGCTTTTCTCGGACACGCTTTCGTGCTGACCAAGCATGAAATTCCCGATAATTGCAAATATAATTGAGGTGCTGGCTGGATGCTCAAACGCTTTAATATTGATCCGACTTACACACGAAAACTTGTTTTAACCGTGATTACATGAGTATCAGCATTTATAGTGCGTTAAGTATATTTTTTTTCGAAAAAACTATAAGCAGATGAATAAATCATCTTCTCTGAAATGTCTGCTATTAATCTGCATCTTAGCTGATAGCACCGATTTGTTAATCATAAATTAGGTGAGTTGCAAATATTCGCGACGGGGAAGTTATGTATAGGGGTGTCTAGGGTGTGTGTTGAGTGGGTAATGCAAATTTGATTGCTTAAATGCATGACCATGCACGTGCCGATAGGCAAATGCGTTGAATAAATACATTCGAACTCGAACATTTATGGGGTTACGTGCGCAAGCGTTTGTGACTTTATTGACAGACCACGGCCTGTTTGTGTCATAAATGGGCGTGGCAGCAAAACAAGTGACAAGGCAAAACCATTAAAGCCGGTTATTTATGGCCTGTTGACACAATTTGAAAAAGTCACATTAAAACTTAATTTTTTCCATTTATTTTTAGAAATTTTAATAGAAATATAAACTACATAAAACTGACAAAAGTGGCATGAAAAAAACATTAAATAAACAATCAATAAAATTCTAAAATTTTGATTTTGACCATTTTAACAACGAATTTTTATAATGAGGTCCAAATGTACATTCGAATTTGGCCAAAACAAACACAGGTGCGGTTGCCAAACACAATGGCGCAAATTATTCTGGGAATGCATAATTTATATATGATTTCGGATTCTGCTTTTATTATTGTTTTCGGGTTTAGTGAATTGTCAAACCAAATACTTTGGATAAGCCCCGCACACTATTGACTGCAATTTGCGAGCGAGGAATTTGGGTGCATGTTTTATGCAAAGCCCGAAAACTTTAAAGCCTCCGGTGCCCCGTCATCCCTTTCCTGGGATGAAACTGCGAGGGTCTAACAGCAGTTGGGATAAAATTCGGATTTCGGACCAATTGATATTCCTCTTGTGTTTTTTTTCTTTGTGTTTTCGAGTTTTTTGCTTTTTGGCCAACTGCTGTTGGCCGCATTAGTGAAAAGCCAATGGACATGTTGGGTGGTGAGGAGTGGTTCTGGCATTGCTGGGATATAGGAAATGGCAGGAGTTTTAGCCATAGAGTCAGAGTCAGAGCCAGAGCCACTTGGCCAAGTTTGAAGTTAGGCATAATGCGAGCGCGTCGCAATTGGATGGCAAAATTTATTCTGCATTCGACGGCATGCAAATGGCAAATTCATGTTCCTCAAAAGCCAAATTACAGTCGGGAAGGCCGGCCCGGGATGTATAGTGCATATATAGTATATAGTTGGCGTTTGAAATGTTCAGACTTACCTGCTCCACCCAGACATTGGTTGTCATAATTTGATTCTTCAGATTCTGCAAATATACGAGATAAAAATTGAAATATTCGTTAAATCCAATTGAGAACAGGAGTTTGCTTAAATTTAGCACTCTTGGCCAAGTGCAGCTCTAGTGGTAAAAAGAGAAGAGGAGTGGCATTTTTTCAAGGGGTGTGGCATGCCCGACAGCTCCAGCATTGAGTGGCAGTGGCCATCAAATCGAAATCGCTGCGCCGGCTGAATATTATTTTAGTGAACTGAGCTCGGATCCTTGGATATTTTCCCACCATTGCTGCCCCGAGTCGCCTAACAAATCTATTTTAAAGTGCTCTGCTAAGGGGGAGAATAAAATGGGACGAGTAGAGTCGGTTTCAGCTGAAGTGAGTTGCAGTCCTCCAAAAGCATTCAGTTTTAATCAATTTATGTGCTGCTGGCGGATAACCTCTTTGTATTCATTTTCCCTCCCTCGTTCTCTAACTATGTTTTTCGCACGGGGGAGCTAACAGGACTTAAAAACAGCTAAAAATATCGTTAAGCTTAAGTAACCATTGCGGTAATCCGCTAATCGAATGCAAATTTCCCGAGGAGGGAGCTGCAAAGTGTCCCCTAAAATAAAACGAAATGCTAAGGTAAATTTTTCCAGGAACTGCAATTATTTGATTAAAAATTGCACATCCCCTCATTCGGTTTAATTAATTTTTCACTGCCTGAGAGACTTTTTCGCAGGCAGTTTCAATCTTTTTCCGTCCGGACTCCGGACTACCATATAAATAATTGAAGCACATCCTAGGCAAAGCAAGTGCTCTAATTATCCTTGGGAAAAGAAGCTGTTCAGACCCTCTGAGATATATCGCGCGTCGTTGCGGGAAAGCTCTCATTACTTATGTAGGCGCTACTGCTTCTGTGCCGTCTTCCTGCAGTCTCTCATATTTATTTACGCGTCGGGCTAAACTCATTAAATGCGGGGCGCTCAATAGAAAAAATTAGAAAACGATAAAATTGCGGAATAAATCACTTAAGCACTGAAAAATGTAATTAACGACAGAATGATAATGATGCGCCGTAACGCGTTCTTCGCATTTCTCTTCGCGTGGGGGAGAAACCTCAGAGAAGCCTCAGCGAAGAGGGCCCCGGCAATATGTCGAGGCACGCAGTGTTAATAGATTTTCCCAGCCACGCAGCGAGCGGATGCCCCCTAACTAATCACCCGCTCATGGGCTCTTAGCCCTTCTGCGGGCCATCTCATCCCAGCGGTATCTCAGACCGTGGAAAGGTCATTAGGCGAGGGCGCCGCGGAAAACCGGCAATAAAACGACAAAGCCAAGGGCCGGGCACAATGACAACGAAGGCGATGAGGACCCCATAAGGAAGATATAAAATGTTCGAGGCGCTTAGAAGCGGCCAAATCCGGAGGAGCCGGGGCGAGGCTTTGCGCGTATCCTTTGTGTTTTATGTGGGACATCCGTTGCAACCAGTAGCTGGGTATTTACACTTGAATATTTTTTTTATATTTCATATTTTGTTATGGTTATTTTGAATATTTATTTAAAATAATTTATTACTCATTTGCTTTATATTTTAGTGGGATTATTAATAGACAACTATTAACACTTAAAATTGACTAAATCCAAATGTTCTTGGCTGAAAAGAAACACAAAAATTGGTTCACAGGAAAACCATATTCACCGAAGAAAATCTCGGTCAGATCACACCTTGGACTATAATTGATGTTGTTATTCTTGTTGCACGTTTCGCTTATTCGCCCTCATTGCGGCAGGATGAGGTGTGTAGAGCGACTGCAGGACCCAACTGGGAATGCCGGATATACAGCATTTAAATTGCTTAAGCCGGGTGCTTTAAGGAAGCATCCTGCAACTGGATTTGCATCTCTGTGGATTGTGTGTTCGGTGTTTATATCCAGTCTGGAGCTGGCCTGGGCCGTGTCCATGACTTGCCTGACTGGGCTTGTTTACAAATTTAAATCGAATTTCCTGTGTGCCGTAAATAAACTTTGCAAAAGGCATTTCACTCGGCATACAAAAAAGTGTGTGCAGCCGCATTTGAAAGGCGGTGTAAGCTGAATGAGCAGTAAATTAATTTGAGAGCATTTCCTGCATTGCAAAAATGCCCAGGACCTAATTTGAAAAATTAGCAAAGGGAGAATATTTGCAAGGTAAATGGCAGCCAAGGTGAAATATCAAAGACAACTTATAAGATGGCCAACTTTATGGTTTTTGAATTACTTCAAATGGTGAAATCAGGGGTCTGATTGCTCTTCGTTTAAATATCAATTTTGTTCCTAATGTATATTAGTATTTAGAAGAAACATTCGTAAGATTCTGTAAGCTATTTCCTTTTAGATAGCCTTTGGCAAGTGAAAAGTTAATATTGTGCAGCTTGATTGCAGCCTGAGCCTACAAACTGGCAGCTTACAATGGCTCCATATTAGTGAAATGCAGAACGCAATTCCAGTTGCAGTTTCAATTTCCCAATAATATTTGAAATTTATGGGCAGGCATGCAATTAACTGGCTCGCAAATGTGCAACATTGGCCATTTGAATGCCGGTTGGTGGCAAAACGAGAGCCTGCCTCACAGACCAAACAACACAAGACTAAGGATACCATACACAAGCTAAGGGGCTACCGAAATATACATATGTCACCTGGACGGGCAGTAGTTATGCAACTAATAAGCCAAAGGTACATACTCAACATGGATCTGAAGGACGAAATTCTGAGCCAAAGAGCAAGCAAATGGAAAATTGCAAATTACAAATTCTACAGCCAAAACGCATTGCTGCTTTGTTGTTCCTGTTCCTGTTCCGTCTCTGACAGTTGATTGCAATTTCCAGGGCAACAAAAAAAAAGGAAATAAAAAAACTACAAGCACTGATTTCTGTGTGGAGAATTTACAAGCAATTGTATGCCAATAAGGAAAAGCAGGCAACACGTGTGTCCCACAGCAACATACACTCACTACAAAGAAAGTGAGAAGGATACCAAGGAAGCAGGGTCTGGACACAATAAAAAAAAACGTTGACTACCAGTGGACTATTGCAATAAAAGAAATTCTGCGAATATTTCAAGCCAGCCAGCAGTCAAGCGCACACAGGGCGGCTGTGTGATATTCCTGTGTGCACGAGCTCACATACACAGAAAAGCAATTTCGATATAAGCACCTTATGCCAGATGCCCGAATGCCAGTCCACAGTGGAATGAAGCCAAATTAAATATCTCTTACAGATTACATGGATTTAAATAATCCAGATAAATGCGTTTACATATCGATTTAAGTGGAACAAACCCGGGTTTCCAGATAAAGCTTAGCAAATAATTTGTATTTATATTAAAAATTAATTCTGTTCAAAAATTCACAATTATTAGCAATGTCATTTGGCTAACTCTAAGTTGATGTCTAAATTCCTTTTAGATTAATCTGAACCCCTTTTTTTGCCAAATCACTGCCATGTTGGTCCAATGTGCATTGGTATGACTGTTCCTGCCGCTGACTGCTGCTCCGGCCAGGCATGCCCTTTAGTGGTCTTGGTGCTTAGCGCGTGATTTATAACAGCCAGAAAAGTAGAAAAAAAAATCAAAAGAATAGAAACACGAAAAAATACGAAGCCAAAAATGCAGCAGCATGGAGCAGGAGCAGAAAGCAAAGAGCAGAGCATACAATTTTTCGAAGCGAAGGGAGCGAAGAAGTCCGGCTACTGTGTGGCCAACAGCACGTAACTGTTAGCCGGTTTCCCATTTCCGGCTGTCATGTGCAGCCAAACCGAGCAGAAGATTGTGCACCATTTGCCTGGCCTGGTCTGGCCTGGCATGAGCTGCAATTTAAGCTCCCCCACCACTTTATTGATATATGTATGTAGGTAGGTAGGCTGTCGGTGGTGTTGCTTAATTTTGAGATTGCCTAGTTAATCAAGAAAACAATAAACTGAGGCCAGCCATTGATTTATTATGCAAACAACCATCGAGACAATGAAGCGGCGGCGGGGCAGCGGGAGTGGATTAGTTGCCTGGCTTTTTAATCGCCGGGTAAACAGTTATTAATTGCACGCCGACTGTTTGCTGTGGCTTTAACAAATTCCACTGCCTGCTTACCGGCATCGCTGGGCTTTCGCGAATTAATCTGTTATGATTGTCATTCGATAAGCTCGGAAACAGAAACAGAAACCGAAACGGGGGCTGGGGACACACTTGTCAAACAAATGGATGAGTCGGCTCAGCTTGACGGCATCGTTAGCAACAAATTTAATCGAGTTTGCAAGTGATTTGAACTGGCATTTTCAGGGATCACAGGGGGCTTGGTCAGCAATCCAATTTTAATCATTAATTTTATTCATAACTCAGTATAGGCTGTAGGAATGGTGTAATCGGTTTTAGGTTCTAGGGTAAAGAAATAATCAATCTTATTTTATGATTTATAATCAAAGAATGGAAGATAAAGGTGAAGAACTTAATACCTCATACTTCAACGCTTTTTTAAGGTACTTCTATACTATTATATCGTAACTAATATTTGTATATTTTAAAAACTATATTAGTAGAAAATTATGTACTTACCACATCGATCAGCTGGGAGAGCCGTAGACCCATCTTGACGGTCAGGCGGTCTGAGTTGTTGCCCACGGGTCGGATGAGGCGATTGTAGTTGCTCAGCAGGTCGTCGTAGAGGCGCTTCGCGTCTGGGTTGGCCAGGCCGCCGGTGGCAAAGTGTAATGCTATGAATACAGCTGCGAATAGCACGCTACCCATCTTAGGCCAGGTCCAACCCTGAAAGAGCACAGACAAATAAATATGGAAATAAGTTTCGGATAGTGTCTTCTGGCACAGCGGCTTCAGTTGTGCTTGCATTAGCATTATTTCAACATAAAACATAAAAAGTTTGCACTGCAATTGTGCAAGTGAAACAGACCGGAAGCGGAGCTCTAGGTCTGGATGGGTTGGGTGGGTCGTTTAGGGTGGACGTGTAGTTTGGGTGGGGGCGTGTCGTCGTAAATTTTGCAAAGTGTCAAAAGTCTTAGAGCTTTGTTCCCTTTTGTGCAGCAGCGTGCAGCCATAAACACCATTTAATCTTTGGCTCAAACACTCAAGACACCAGACCAAACATGCACATGTGTGCGCTGAAGCCTTTTTCCGTATCCTGCGTCTTCTGGCTGCCATGCCCTGCCATATCCACATGCGCTTAACATTTTTGTTATTCTCCAATTGCTGAAGGACAGTGTCTGGTGTCCTCGAACTACCCTTTCAATATGCGTCTCTGCATTTTATGCACAAAAATCCCAGCTTTATTGTGAGTGACATGCTCAAGTGCTGTCGAGTGCAGCTACATTAAGCACAAACAAGCAATCATAATCAACTCAGACTCCTTCTTGGACCACCCTTCTTGGCCAATTACGGAAAGTGCACACACAGCAGAAAAATGTCCAAAAATTTTGAAAAATATTTGCAAATAAATATTGGTCCGTTGACTTCCGTAATTGGCCAGCCATTGCGATATCCGCATGTTGGCTATTTCCAAATTGTTTATTTCTTCAAAAATTCCAATTTAAACAGAAACAGAGATATGTCAATGGCAATGACAACTTTGTGGGCCAAAAACAAATCCGTTCACACAGAGTGGGAATAAATTTGTATACACATATAGTTCTTGACCAGGATGAGCTTCACTCTTCTTGGCCAACTCAAACAGCCACTTGGCCAAGTGGTTTTATGCCGACTCAAGATATTCAATCCTAACGAAAGCAGCACCAAACTGTAACCTAAAACTTTTAACTCAAAAACTGTAAGCTCGAAACTTTGCTGTCTTCAGCGCCACGGATTCGTTTTTCATTTATTTTGTCGGGTTCGTGGAAAGTTTTGTGCAAAAGATTTTCCGTGTCAGTCGCTGGGAGGGGAAAGTTTTCCGTAATATGAGGTGTACATATGTAGAAGGCACAAGTACGGGGTAAGGGAAATGTAGGGCCAATTACATTTATCAATTTGATGGTTTTTGTGGAGCGGCTAAATTAATTATGCTAATTTCGTGTGTAAATGGTTTGTAATTTGTGCATTGATTTGATAAAAATTCGTCTCTTATTCTGCCTCGAAATAAATCAAATCAAATTCCGACGTCTGCATAATTTAGCACAAAACACGTGTCAGTGACCGCAAAACAAAGCAAAAAATTTGTGCTCATATATGGCGAGGAAAGAAATAATAATAATAACGGCAAGAGCAACATGACACATACAGAAAATGGCGACAGGGCGACAACAACAACGTCGGCGACAGCAACAAATAGCAAACAACAAATGGCGAACAACGAAAATGGCCGACATAAACAACGACAACGAAAATGAATGTCATTTCGAGGGCTATTTATGCGCCTCTTAGTTGGCAGATTATTTCATTTTCATTTCCATATGACCATTTATATTTATTTATTATTTATACTTCCCTCTGCCACATTTTGCCTGCCCTCTCTCCTTGCCCAAAGCTCACCACATACACGCACTCATGTCTGGCCACAATTTGGCTTGCTGCGGATGTCAACGCTGCGTATGCGCAATATTATTTGCTGACTATTTATTAATATACATATCCATATACATATAAATATATATACTATATACATTTTGTGAACTTTTTGTTTGGATACTGCTCACCATAAAAACCAGACGATGACGTGTCCTGCCCCCAAAAATAGCTCGCACTGCCATTAATGAAAAATGTAAACTGAAAAACTTCGCCCATGGAATTCAGCTGCTCAACGAGGTCCTTTTTTTTCCGGACGGAAAAAGTTTTAGGAAAACTAAAAATGCCAGCCGCCATTTTAATTACACAAATGTTCCATTTCCATTTGATTATTTGTTGGGGCCATTCCGGAATGAAATGCTTTCGGAGTTGGCAGCATAATGAAGCCAAAAAACTGACATTGACTGCTGGAAACAATTTAAATTTCAATCCGAGAGGGGTCGGACAGCGAGAAAGCGTTTTTTTTGGTGGAATGAACTTGATTCTGAGTAGGAAATAATCACTGGGTGCTTAAGCAGGGTTGAAAGTTGACTACGAGCACGATTAGTTGCAGCAGCAGCAATATGATACGACCCCACCCAGGCAACCCAGTCACAGATATAGCAGGACAAATTGTTATGTAATTGCCAGATGTATATAAAGATATACACTCGACTCGACCGTAATACAGCACCGAACAAACACACTGCTTCAGTGTCTCCTCGCTGGCTGCTTTCTTCTATTTTATTAACACTTGTTGGTCTGCAGGAAAGTATAAAAGAAAGCGGGGACAGGGCATTGGTAGTGGGTAGCATAAAAATAATAAGTATCAAAAATAACTGACCAGCTCTATGGCCGTAAAGAGAATGAGACGGGCATTGAATGCACTCGACGTGTCCAACGGCGGCTATAATTTCAATCACTTCCCCAGCAACTGCAACAGCAACAGCAACAGTAGAAGCTGAAACTGAAGCAGAAGCAGCCAAAATGCGGCATTAAAAACACTCGTAAACGTTTCGGAGGGTCCCTGGAAAAGCTGAGCTCTAAGGGGAGGATTTTAGTGTATCCGTTTCATTTTGTTTTTGATTTTTTCTTCTCATTTTTTTTTGGGTTTCCTCCTTGTTTGAGTGCAGCCAACGAAATTGCAGCAAATATTGAAAGAGAAACTATTTGTTAGCTGGCCGTCAATTTGTTCGTAATGAGCTGCGGCTTGCTGTTACTGTTGCTGTTGCTGCTGCTACTGCTGTTGTTGTGCCACAAATGAAAATGTCTTTCAGCGTGGTAAATATTTTATGTCATTTCTGTGCTCGTCTTTCGTGTGCTTACTTGTAGTTGCCTTTTCCACGTTTTTTTGTTGCCACCACCCCGCTTGTATTCTTTTCGAGTTTGGTTTCCTTCTGTAGCTGCAGGATACCCGCTTACCCCGCCTTTTATTGCCTTTTTGTTTGGCATTTTTAAGCGCCAGTAAATTTTTTAGTAGGCAGAGCTGGGCAGAGCAACCGCAGTAGCAGTAGCAGCAAAGGCAGCCACGGCAGAAGCATCAACGGCAACAACAATAACGAAGTGAAGTTCTGGCGGAAACGGCGTCGACGGCAACATGGCTGGCGAGTCAACTTCCGCTTGCCTTTTTGTGGGTGTGTGTGTGTGTGGGAGTATGTGTATGTAAGTGGTATATGTTCGGGGCTGGGGCATGGGCTGCGGCACCCTTGCAATTTTCCAGTTGAGTTCGTTTTTCATTTCCGTGTTATTTGTTTTGCATGCGCCACACTCCACACTCCGCACTCCGGACAGCCTTTAACACACTTCTTTGTTACTTTCGGTCTGGCTTTTTTCTCACTTTTTCATTTTGCTGGTTGCATTCCTTTTTGGGCTGATATATTAACATGGCCACAAGGGCAGCTGCCATTTTCGGCATTGTTGTTGTAATTGCTTTTGTCCCAGCACCCATGGTAATTGAATTTCACTTCGAAAAGGGCGTCAAAAGGGGAACACGCACAAAGCGCACAGCGAGACCATCGCACTTAATCCTTAGCCCCCAATTGCACGTGAATCAACTGCTCTGTTTTCAGTTCTCAGTGCGCAGTCCTGGTGAATTGAAGCAGCTTAATTTATACAAACTACAAATTCATTTCACATAATTGCTGATGGTCTGTCCTTGCAACGATTGCCCTGTTATTAGCTGCCGGACTGTCTGGCTGAGTGCATTTTTGGGGAATTATGCAAATTTCCCTGAGAATTATGTGGAAAATCTTGATGCATGCATAATTTGTAGATGTTACCGAGTAATTTCCTGGCCAAATACAGCAGCCATCGGTGTAGTAGCTGTGTAGCTTTTGTCGAGTACATAGCCAAAGGGCACAGCACACAAATCGAATAGGGAAAGGAAAGAAGCAAGGGAACGCTGTACCCCAGAACGGGGAGAGATAGTGAGTTGTATAATCAAAGGTACGCACACACAGATACACACACTTACATACCCATAATCTGGTTGAAGGTGCTCCAAAATACCTGGCACAATCTTTTTTATATTTTTTAGTAGACTTTTTTTCGGGTAAAAGTAAAAGCAGAAATTTTGTTATTTGAACTTTTGCTCATGAGCGCCCTCAGGTTGCTTGTTAAACATTCTTGGGTTGCCCGTACTATATACTATATACACATACCTGTGGGTGAGTGTGTCTTTTTTTCGTTTTCCCTTCGTTTTTTTTTTTGTGAAAAAAGTAAACTTCAACTTGAAACATGAAAATTTGCATATGATAAGCAAATAAGCAGATGTATGGCTGTTGTTGGTATGGCCCGAAAGTCAGGTAGCTGGAAAAGTTTTATTAGATTCTTGATTCGTGAAATGCGAAAAGGGAAATATCAGATGAAAGGGGCGTGGCAGGCAACAACTTCGACTATGAATATGCGGGCCAAAACGCTTAGAAATATGCAAAACATTTGAAAATTATTTTTGAATAAATAACAATTTTTAGAGCCAGATGAATGGCCGTGTGTGCGATCCAAAGGGTTGCAAATGAGCTGAAACATCTGAGTATTAGCTCAGCAAGGGAATGAAAATTGAAAGAGTGTAAAAAGTTAGGGCATGAAAAGAGGCTTACCCTCTACGATGCCACAATCACTTTAGAAACGCAAATGATGTGCAAATATGGGAGACGGCACGAGTATGTATGTGCCCGTACAACGTGGCGGATGCGCAATATTTAATTTGAAGTGCTTCGAGCTTTCACACACATACTGCCAAATACAAGACACGACACAGACAAAGCTAATTTTTCCAC